ACCCCCTAACCCCCTAACCCCCTAACCCTCTCACGCCCATCACGCTCTCTACCACTGCAAAGGGGGGTTACAAGAATCGTTGGTCAGCGCAATGTGGCTGGGACTGACACCAGCTTCTCTCGTCGCAATGCTCGTCGTCGGCGGAGTGCTGTTTATCGCTTGGTGTGTGTGGGATTCGTTCTTTGCCGAGTATCCCTTCATGCCCCGAAGGGCGTTCAATCGCACCTTCGTTGCGTGTGTTTTGATCGACTTCTTCTACTACTCGTCAAGCTATCTGATCGACACCTACTTCAATTCATGGGTGTATGTCATCGTTGATTGGAGTGTTAGTATTTGCTTCAAAGGCTTGACTGACACCAGGACCGCAACTACGGCTTCTTCATTAACACGGTATCGACCGCTGTATGCGGTCTGGCGATCTTCTCTGGCCTCATCATCCGCTACACCCATCGATACAAGTACATTCAGATCGTGGGACTGTGCACGCGCACCATGTGCGTCAAAGAAGGTATCGTAAGCATGGCTGACATCCCAGTGGTCTTGGGCTCGTATACTTGGCTACCAAGCGCCCATCTGACGCCGTACTTGTCACTTCCCAGGTTCTTGTTGGCACCGGCGGCGCGATCAGCATCATCAGCAGCTACATTGGCGTGCAGGGATCGGTGCCTCATCAGGACATGGCCATCGCGACAGCAGTGCTGAACCTAATCTCCTCAATCGGCAGCTCTATCACTGTTGCGATCTCAAGCGCTGTCTGGAATAAGGAGGTGCCGGCAAACCTTGAGCGTTATGTCGGCGACATTTACAACGCCACTGGTCGCGCAGAGATCTTCGGCTCCATCTACATCGCTCGTCTGGCTGAGCCCCGCCCCCTTATCCAGCAGGCCTATATGGAATCAACCAGGGGTCTCTTCCTTGCCGGTCTTATTGTCAGCTTTGGGTCCATCATCGCGGGCGTCTTTGCTCGGAACTTCTACCTGACCTCGGCGCACAACGCTGTTGAGCCGCACAAGATCATTTCTATGAGCAAGAAGGATGATGATGAGAGTCACGATCACAAGGCGGGTTGGTAATAGGACAGGGATGGAGTGTAGGATGACGGTTGGCGATTGGCAGAATGCGCTGCTCTATCGTAGATGCATACAGTCTGCTGTAATGTACAGAGTGTTTCTGTGTGTGGATTTGTGACCTTCTGAGCGTCTGTAAACCGATTGCTTGTACATCTAGTGGAATGGCATACGCCGAACCTCGTCCAGGGTGAAGCCATGCTTCCAGAGGGTCTCCGGCTTGAGGTCCTCGACCTCTTGGTCGAGATGGCGGAACAGGGGCTCGCGGAAGCTGTCGAGAATCTCGCGCATCTTCTCGGGGCTGTACTTCGACTCATCCATCATGCTGGCGCGCAGAAACTGTTGGTAGCGCTCGAGACCGTCGTGGATTGCGGCGTGGTCAGCCTTGTGCTCTGCGCCCTCGCGGAACGCGGGGTGCTTGTGGGCGAGCAGCGGGAAGATGTAAGCCTCCTCCTGAATGTCAGTGCAGCACTCTCTTATCTAGTAAGCTTACAATCGCGTGGTGGTTGCCAAGGTGGACGACGAGGTTGTAGCTCTCGCGCAAGAAGCCCTTGAGCGAGTACCCGACATCGGCGTAATCGGCGGCGTGGGTGTATGAGTTGTTGAACGTTGCCTTGTGCGAGTTGTGGAAGCGCGTCATGCCCTTCCACGCAGCATTCCAAGCGTACTCCTCGGCTTGGGTGAGCTGTGGGCGCGCTTGTGCAGCCGCAGACGTTTCAAAGGAGGCGACAGGCGGCGTCGGGGCAGCGGCGTTGGAAGCTGGAGCGCTGGTGGCGGCGTTGGAAGCAGCGGTCGTCATCAGAGCGAAGATCTTGGTGCGGCGGGTAAGGATTGGGCGTGTGCTAGTAAGTCGCAAGGAGATTGTGCGAAACATTGAGGACTTGAGAAGGACTGGCAAGATGCACTCGTTTATAAGGGCGGCGGCTTCGGTGGTCACCGTTAAACACCGAGCCAAAACCGATAAGGGGGTCATTATCTCTGACAATCGGTGGTTGGGATGACTCATCAACACCTTAAAGCTATGGGTCAAACCCCCCCCCTCCCCCAACCCCCCGCCCCCCCTGCGTCCACGCCAACGAGCCGTATGCGCAAACCGTCGCACGTTCTGGTGTCTTCGACTCGAAATTCCAGAGGATGCAAGTAGTGAGGCAGTGCTGAGCATTCAGAGCGATGAAGCGGATGACCACCCCGGTGACCCTCCCAACGAAGTCCTTTCACGTCATCCTCCACATGTCATCAACGACTACCACTCTTCCTGGACCTCGCCGCCCCACTCCGCCACAATGGAAGACGCAACGCTCTACTCCTTTGCAATGAGATAGTTGAACACACGCTTGAGCATGAATGCCGACTCTTTGGGAGTGCGTGTGAAATCAGGGCTTGAGCGATCGACGCATGTGATGCCAAAGCGGCTGTTGTATCCTTGCAGCCACTCGAGGTTGCTGGTGTCAGCAAAGTGTTGGGCGAAGACTCACTCCATGAGGCTCCAAGCCATGTACCCCGCAATATCAATGCCGTCCTCCGTGCGCGCAAGGACAGCCTCACGGATGTATCCTGCGTAGTAGCTTTGGCGAGCCTTGTCCTGCACCGCGTCTTCAGTGGCGAGCTTCGTTTCCCCCTCGATCGCGTAGCCATTCTCAGTTACGTACAACTGGTGTCCTGACGGCTTGAGGTAACGCTTGTCAAGGTATTGCAACAGGAGACGGAAGCCCCACGAGACGTCATAAGGGTGTCCTCTCTCACCACGGCGCCCAATCGGAACCCCGTCTTTCTCCGCAACGCGGACTTGGAGCCCCAGAGCACGATCGCGGGCGCTCGCTCCCTCCAAAGAGCCCACCTCACCCGTTGCGTAGAAGGTTGAGTAGTGGTTGAGCCCGAAGAAGTCGTTAGAGCCCTTCACGACTGCCCACTCTTCCGGAGCAAAGTCCAGTTTCGTCCGGTCGAAGCGTTTGTACATGCTCTCCGGGAAGTGCCCATGGTCTGAGGTTAGCTCTTCTCATGATTGCTTTTGACTCACAAATCGGGTCGGCAAATTGGCCCAACATGTGGTCGATGGCGTCCTGTGCAGCTTCAATGGCGGCAGGCGAGTCATCGATGGGCACAACGAAGTCAATGTTGAGGGTGATGCCGATCTGACCACCCTGCGTTGGCTGAAACTCTCGCCTGTAGAGGTCGACAGTTCGAGCATGTGCCAGTAGCAGCGACTTCGTGTACGCAATCGCCATATCATCGGTCCAGCGATCAGCTTTGATCGCCATTACATGGAACATCTCGTAGATGACAGGTTCATTGATAGTGATCCAGTTTCGGACACGATCGCCCAGGCGTTCGAAGAGCAGCCGTGCGTACGCGACAAAGTCGTAAACAAGTTGGTCGGGACACTCGAACTCCCCATAACGTTTCTGCAGCTCGTACGGGGTGTCCCAATGAAAGATAGTCACGAAGGGCGTAATGCCTTCTGCGAGGAGCGCGTCGACTAGGTTTGAGTAGTATTCAATGCCTTTCTCGTTGACCGGATCGTCCTTGCCACCTTCTATCAGCAGTGTTACTCAATAACATACCGAGGGGCTTAACCCTGGGCCATGAAATCGAGAAGCGATAGGTGTTGACGCCATACAGCTTCAGCAGCTTGATGTCTTCACGCCAGAGGTGGTAGCTACTGACAGCCTCATCGCCGTTCGCTAGGTTGTTATCGTGCATGTAGACGTCCCATATTCCCGGTCCTTTGCCATCTGCGTCCCATCCGCCCTCGATCTGAAAGCTCGCTGTCGAAGCGGCGTAGGCGAAGTCTCGTGGGAGGACGCCCTTGAGAGAAGGATCACCAGTGATGATGTCTTCAGTGAGGAGTGGGATCGAGTCGTTGGGAAGCGAAGACATCGTTGCTAGAGACTGCCAAAGATGTGGCAGGTGTGGGGTGAGAGATAGTCTCAGAGAACGTGGTGGGGACCATCGTGGAGTCGTTCAAGTTATGAGAGGCGGAACTGACAACGTCGTCGGCGTGAGCTATAGTCGGTAAAAGGCGGCCCAACTGCGGCATTTCAATGCGCAAGTCGGCTGTTTCACCGAGATTAATCCGCTAGCCATCTTCCGGGCAGGTCGAGTGCAACTTCGCTTGTTGATGACTCACTCTTGTTCAAGGAATGGCCGAGCCACCAAGACAACGACAGGCCTGTATTGGCTGTCGCGCCATCAAGGTGCGCATATTTGTGCTCTCGCTAACGGCAGGCCAAATGTCAACAGACAGATACGCTTCAGGTACCTTGCACACGGTGCAGTATGTGACATGGTCTCACTCAAGCCATGCTGACGTACTGTAGAACGTCTCGCTCTGTCATGCGAGTTTACGCGCCAGAAGCGTGGTCGGAAGTCAAATGTCGAGTGAGCCTGCCCTTGGGCGTATTAACATCAGGCGTGAGCGGCTGCGCGATCAACGAGCTACGCGAAGCGCTTCCCCTGTCCGGAGTGCGGCTTCGTTGCAAAGATCCGGACCTCCAGCGAGCCAGCCTTCCGGGAGCGCCCTCGGAAGTGAGGCTAAGATTATGGCTAGGGCTCCCACTTTCATGGCTGGCCTGTCGGCTTCGTCCATCGAGCTGACGCCACGATCGCCCGACGAGCCCTCCCTTCAGCAGTCACCTCTAAAGATGCCTACCGTGGCGGGCACTCGCCGTCACCGAGTTGACGTGAGCGAATATCTCGATCCTGGGGAACCCGAAGCTCTGTTGGACATTGCGCCCGGCCGGCGGAGTATGGAGGATCCGCGTGCGCAAAGTCCTTGGGCACTACTGACGGCGAGTCGCGTTAGGTCTGGTCAGCGTCGCGGAGGCGCGGGCTCTAGTTGAGCTCTTTCACCAACATCTGAACCCTCCCTTGGCGCTCCTTGATCCAGCATGTGAGTCGTTTGATATTGAGCCACCTCGAACAGTTGTTGATGCAGACCACACGCTCGCTTTCATGCACGAGTCGTCCTTTGCCCTTCTTACAGCCGTGCTCGCGGCCGCGTCCAAGTTCTTCCATGGGCCTGAGACGTACAGGGCGCTTCTTGACCATGCCCAAGTATTGATCAATCGTGCTGTTGCAGAGGGTCATTGCGAGATTGGCATGATCCAATGTCTCATGGTGCTGAGTCACTTCAAGGACACACGTGATCGTACAGCATGGATCAAGATAGGTATGGCACTGCGGTTTGCGTATCAGAATGGACTCCATAAGGCCCTCCAGGACGTAGACACACCACGAACATCGGAAGGCGACCGCGCTCAACTAGTGCGTAGTCTGTGGCATGGGTTGACGCCGTACAGAATCTCGAACGCACATGGTTCTGCATGTGTTGCTTTGACAGCACGTACAGCCACCTCTTCTTGCTTCCTCTCGCCATCCCGGCATCGCAGCGCGGCGATGTTGACAGGTGGGCCCATAATCACTTGGGTCTCGGCCCGCCGTCCGACCTGCGCCTTGCATGCAGCGTGGAGTGAGGTGTGACACTACTTCGCTGATCCCAGGGCGCTCGACGTTGCTTCTCAGGTGCACGCGCTCAAGGTCAATTCAACGACCAAGGAATATCGCGCCGCACTTCTGCCGCAGATTCTGTCTCAGATCGACCGACATGACGAGAAATGGTTCAATGGTCGTTTGTGTAAGTGGGAGTTGTATGAAAGCTCACAACGGCACGTATGCCAGAGCACGAGGAGACATCCATCAAGGTTGGACTCTTCTCCCAAGGCCTCACTGTGCGGATGATGCTTATCGACGACGACCTGGATGCTGCTCGTCACATTGCCGAAGGCTTGGTCAGGTCAAGCCTGGTTGTGACATGGGTCGAGCTGATCTCGACTCATGGCAACTTCCTTTACTTCCAAGACACCACAAGCGTGCACCTCGCGCGATTGGTGGTGTTCCTTCACAATGTGAGCACCCAGGCTGACTGTTTCCGAGTCAACCTGACTGTAGTACTTCCGGCGCTTCACACCCACTCAGCAGTCGCAAGCTGTCAATCTAATGAAGCGCCTGAACACAGCCTGTCTCATGGTACCGAACGTGGGCTCAGATGGCGCTCCCGCCTTCGTGGCGCGCCTTATTCAGCGGGTTTTGCGTTCACTTAGCACGCGATCGACAGTGCCATCCCGGGCAGTCAGTCCTGGACTACCGTCGCATCCTGAGGTCTCAGAAGCTGTCATGACGGATCTAGTCAGTATCGCCCCACTCACCAGGTCTGACAACAGGATGAGTTTCTCGCCACCATCACGGCACCAGATCTCACCACTGTTGACGACCAGGACTGGTGCGTTCCTACTAGTGATTCATGCACGTTTTGCTCACAGCAGGTCGACCCTCTTCGGCGACACACTTGACTACTTGCCTGCCATCTCCGAGACCTAACTTCTACTCCAGGCTGGTCACTTGGTCCTGTGTCCATCAGTTTGTAATAACGTTGAGCCAGCGGGATGTCCCCTTCCTGCCCTGCACCGTTGCTCTTTCGGACTCACCTTGCTCGCCTGGTGCTCACGTTCGATGATCTTAGCCTCGTCCTTGATAAATTCGTTGACCCCCTTCTTCTCGACCGCTCCACCATACATGTAGTAGTACCACCCGATGACACCAGCGCCCAGGGCGAGGCCGAATGGCACAACATCTGCGGTAAGTTTCGTGAGATAACTCATTACTCACTGCTGCCCTGTTTCGGCGAGGGCGCACCTCCGGGAGGCGGCTTTGGGATCTCGTTCGAATTGAACCTCACAGCTCCCTGTGATTAGCGCACATTTAGGGCAGAGCCCGCACCAATCGTGAGGCCAGAGGTCGAGCAAAACGGGGCGCAGCGCGAGAGAGCATTATGTCTGTCGCTACTTGATTGAGGTGGGCGTGTGACAGCCGTGAGACGGCATATATACATGTACATATTGGGGGCAGGTCATGAGCTCATGCGAACACCACTTACGTCACCGAGTGAATGACCGATTCGGTGAGACTACGTATTGTCGCGTGTCAGACACGTTGTGTGCACATGTCCACGGAGTTCGCACTATTGTCCGGGTCAACTTCTTCGGCCGAAAGATCTCATCAGCGGGAACCGTGCCAAGAGTCAAGCTCAAATCCCTTGCTCTGCATGCTATTATGTACGTGTACACAAATCAGAAACCTCTCGCAGGCATTGCAGCTTTGCAGCTTTGCAGATTGATAAAGCTCTCCAGTACGCAGGACTCGGCGTAATCCGACAGACCAGCCAAGGTAGTTGACCCTGTCCCCACACTCCCGGCCGAAATGTCAACAAACCACCCGTTCGCTCGCTTGATCACTTCCTGCTCTAAACCCCACCGACCGCAATCTATGCCGATACTCGGCGCCGTGCTCGATGCCGGAATTGGCGCTGGCGCCCGCCAAGGCAAGCCACACTTTTCCGCCGCATGCTCACGTGCTCACAATATTATCTGATAGTTCGTAGACGGGTGCACCTCCTTGTGATCACCCCACCCACTTCGCGATGGCCGCTCAAGCACATCCGTCGGATCGCGAGAGCCTCAACAGCTCGAAAGCGGCCTCCCTGGATGCGCCGACAATGGTCAGCGGCACCGACGACAAGGCCGTAGACGGGGTCCCCCCGTCAACTCCTTCGGCGGCTTCTAATGCTCCTTGTGGCCCAGGAGGGCCACAAGCACCGGCCGTATCGTCCCCCGTCGAGCTTCCACTCTCCCGCCGCGTGCTTCTGGTCGCCATTACCATGTTCGTTATTGTCCTGGGCGCCGGAGGACAGCAAGGTCTCAACATTGCCTTGCCGAGTATGCAGAAGGATCTGGGCATTGCCCAGAACGATCTGCAGTGGATCGCATCGGCCTACGGTCTTGCGTCGGGGTGTCTCGTCCCGCTGTCTGGCCGCATCGCCGATGTCTTTGGACGCAAACTCTGCTTCATGATCGGTATTGGGTGGTACGCCGTATTTAACCTCGTCGGCTCCTTCCTCGACAATCGCATCGCCGTTATTGTCACACGCGCTCTCGCGGGCATGGGCGCCTCGATGGGGTGAGCGGTCAACACCACCATGGAACTAAGCTGACTTTAGCGCGCCCTCTGCTTTCGGACTGATCGCTGCCAACATTCACGGCAAGAACCGAGCAACAGCATTTGCTATCTTCAGCGCAGGTGCACCTCTCGGCGCTGGTACAGGCATGGTCCTTGGAGGCGTCTTCACTGCGTATACCGAGCCTGGATGGCGCGCAGTCTTGTGGTTTTTTGCCGGACTTGGGTTCTTGGCTGCTGTATTGGCCTTCTTCTTTGTGCCCAAAGATCAGCCCAACCCGAATGCCGACAAGCGCATCGACATTCCTGGCGCGTTTCTAGTGACCGCTGGACTCGTGCTCTTCCAATTCAGCATCTCGTACGGCTCGAGCGCGCCCAAGGGCTGGAAGACACCGTGTAAGTCTCCATCAAGACCGTACTGACAGTTAGATATCGCCGCACTGTTTCCGGTTTCAGTCCTCCTCCTTGCTGCCTTTGTATTCTGGGAATACCATGTGCAGCATCACACCAATCGCCCACCTCTCATCCGCCTGGCGCTCTTCACGCGCGCCAAGGGCCGACTCGCCGCCATGTATCTCGTAGGCTTTATTGCCATGGCGGGCTTCGTTAGCATCGGTTTCAACGCGACACTCTTTTACCAACAGGTCCAGGGCGCGAGCGCGATGACAGCTGCACTTCAGTTCCTCCCCTGCATCGTCTCCGGCCTGATCGCGACTCTCTCTCTATCCAAACTCATTCACATCATTCCCGGTCAGGCAATCATTTGCACCGGTTTCTTGTGTACAGGTATCTCTGCGACGTTCTTCGCTGTTTCCAAACGTGATACTCTGTACTGGACTTTCCCTGTGAGTACAGTACATCATCCGTCCCGTGTCTTCAGTGCTGACTTTGTCACAGTTCAACGCTGCGTGGCTTATGGTTATTGGCGTCGATTTCCTTATGGCGACCGGGGCAGTCTTCGTGTCACGCCTAGCTGCACAGGGAGAGCAAAGCGTTGCTGGTGGTGAGTCTGAGACATCGGCAGGTTACATGCATTCACGCTAACCTCAGCTCTCTTCCAGACCCTTATGCAGTTGGGAGGCGCTCTTGGTCTCGCCCTCACCTCTGTTATCGCCACTACCGAACGTGAGAAGGCACTTGGCAAGGGCTTCGAATATATCGACGCTTTGGCCAAGGGCATCTCCGCATCGTTCTGGCTGTGCGCCGCCCTCAACTTCACAGCGTGTATCATTGCTCTGTTCATTCTGCGCGGCATGGGCATCGTTGGCGGACACGGAAAGGGAGGCAAACCAGGTGGGCCGGGTGGACCAGGCGGGGCAGGTACACCAGGACCTGGCAAAGCGCCAACCGCGGAGTCCGCCAGTGAGAAGACCGAGAAGCAGGAGAACGCACGTAAGGAGCAGGTCTAGATGGATCTTATAATATGCATGCAGAATCCCTACCCAAAAACCTCCATCATGAAGTAGTACTCGATGAGCGTGTTTTCGGCGCGTCCGCGGGCCGTCAAAGCGCGACAGCGATCGGCGAGGACCTCGCCAACGACCGGAGCGCCGCAGAAGAAGACGCCAACTTTGAAACGGTCTGTTTTACCATCGTTGTTGACATCATATCCGTACTGTCCGTGGTACTTTTTCATGTCCTCATAGTGCTCGTCGAGGATTTGCACAAAATTTGGTCGACCGTAATGTGTGGGGTTGACCAGCCCCGTGAGCGGCGAGTTCGGATGATCGTCGGTTCTGTGCAGCTCGAGGAGCCAGCGGAAAACGTGTGTGCTGATGTTTGGGCGCTTCATTGAGACATGCGTCTTGATCCGGATGTCCAGGTGTGGGTTCCCCAGACCGTCGTGTTTAGCGTGCCAGTCTTGCGAGCGCTGCACATTGTTGAGTAGCTCAGCGAACCACGCCAGATGCTGCCGACTCCGGGCAACCCAATGAACGTCGACACGGCGATAATCGGCGGGGAACTCGTCGGGTGCTGCGTTGCGCTGCCTGGAGCTGCGACGAGAGCCGATGCGACTCAGAGGGAACGACGCTCGCCGAAGGGAGCGCGACCGTCCGCGGGGAGTGACAGTCTCGCTCCCCTGTGCGCTTCCATCCGTGCTGTCACTCCGTGGTCCATGAGGGCGCAAAGGCTTGTCGCTCGTTGGAGCGGGGTGCGGCAGCTTCTCGTTGAGTGACTGCTCATCGGGACCTCCTCGCTGTGCATCCTCGTGGCTCTGGAGATCGGCCAGGATCCCCGCAAACGGCGTCACGCCGATACCAGAGCCAACCAGGATTGTGTGCGAAAAGTCGTAAAACCGCTGAGCCGGAGCTCCGAAAGGCCCGTCCACGCCGATAGTGATCGACACCGGCTTCTCATCCTCAGTCGCCAGAGCACGCAGGTTTTTGGTCCAGTTGCCGTCCGTTTTGATGTGCAGCTGAATCTCACGTTCCAAACATGTGCTGACAGTGAAAGGGTGCCATTGCCAACGGCTGATCTTGGGCACCTGGAGGAAGATATAGTGGCCCGGTTGGTACGGGAACAGGCGAGACTGGGGTATTTCGGCCTTGATGGATACCGTCTCTGAGTCGAGAATGCGAATGGTCGCCTTGATTGGAAGGAAGCCGCGGACCAAGCGAGTGGCCCTCTCCGTAAGGACGAGCAAGGTTGGAAAAGCAAGAAAGTAACCGAGCATTGGCCACTGCAAGATGGCCTGCGTCCCATGTGCCATCAAGCAGCCGATGATCGGGTACATCAGCAGGTGTCCCAACTGGAACACCTCATAGCTTTTGCGACGAACCCACGGTAGTGACAGGAGGCCGATGGTCCAGAAGGAAGCCAGCGCAATGATGCCTGTGAGGCCGGCTCGCGACTTGATGAGGTCGCGATAGCCCCAGCTGGCGCCATCACCGAGCAGCGCTTGCAGCTGCTCAGGGCGGTAGGAGTTGGCAATCCAGATGAAGTCACCTGTTAGGTGTGCAATACCGTGAACGGTCCCAAGAAAAGTCGCCAGTACCGCCATGTAAATGTGGAAGTTCTGCGAAAGATCGAAGTTAACGAAGCGCGAGATGCTGTAAGACATGCGGAGCATCGTCGACAGATAGCGGGCCATGGAGAGCAGTAAGAAGAAGAGTGTAGGGTAGAGTAAACCTGCACAGGTCTTGGCAACAACGACGCCCCATCCCAGCGCCCCACGGTATGCAGGACCGAGGTACTTGACGAGTTGCCAGACGCCAAATGCAAGCATCATGCTGCCTACTATGCAGCAGAACAGGATCATTGGGCCGTGAACTGCCCAGTAGCTCTGAAGACGGCGAACGGCGCCCATCTTCTTGATGTAATCGTCCTGGTCCGTGTCGTCATCAGTCTCCTGCTTGAGTGATGGGATGCGCCAGCTTTTGACGCGCTTCTTGAACTCGGCAACGGGGATCTCGTCGACCTCTGTTCCAAGGAGTTGACGCAGAAAAAGGTGACGAGATGACGTCTCGGCCTTGTCATCGTCGAGCGCGGGGTTGAGCTCACGAGCTACGTTGTCGAGCATCGTCTCGAGCTCAGAGTAGCTGATCGCTTCATCGTTGTTCTTGTTTATGTCGCTGACGAACCGGTCGATTTCGTCATCACTTAGAGGTTGAATTGGCCCGTCTTCTCTAGCTGCGGGATTGAAGCGCGGATCGTCGACGTACATGTCCGCACGGTGTGCTGGTGGTCGAAGGAGAGTGGGAGAGTGGGAGCATGAGAGGTAAAAATATCGTCGACGTTGTTGATACAGACATCCGTTGGCTCTCTGATCTTCGATGTGTATCTGGGCACTTGGCAGCTGCGGCGATGACGGCATGTGGCGGGCTAAGAGTCTAGGGTTGGTGTATCTCGCTCTTTGTATAAATGCTCGCGAACACATTCACAACCCACGATTCGCCATACTTCGCGCCAATAGGATGGAGATTTGCAGTGGCTTTCGCCTCTGGACCACGCTCTTACTCAAGTACCGGTCATACTATGCATGGAATCGTCTACAGGTGAAGCAGGAAGATGCTCTCCTGGCGAAAATCACATGTTGCAGGGGCCAAGAGCGATGACGCTTGTGAGCTGCGAAATTGTTGGGTAAGCCCTGCAGATCGGGTGGAGGTTGGCTGTGGAACTGGGTGCGCTCCGCTCCTCCTCCTCATCATCATCATCGCTCTCTGGTCTGTACGAGTGACATTGCGCGCGGCGACGGGGGTGAGCTGAATCCAGATGGTGCTGGTGCAAACCGGCCGATGTAGAAGCCCGGTGACGAAATTCAATCCACGGGTTGAGAGAGGGCGTGAGTAACCCATCTGGGTAGCTCTGCTGATCCATCGGCTCTTGCATGTCCAGCTGGTAGCTCGGGAGTGGACATAGTCTACGAGACCTAAGATTGCCTGGGTGCAAGACTAATCTTAATCGAAAGTTGACAGGGCAGATATTGCATGATGCATCGCTGGCGCATAGCCTTGCGATCTGAGAAGTTATGAGGAAGACCGAGGTATTAGTTTTTCATCTGATGATAACACTTCCAGAAGCTGGGACCTTTCCGCGCCGTGTCTTAGCTCGAGAACAGCAAGGGCAACGCCGAAATCGAGCTCCCCGCCTTGGGGTAGACGGGTCGCGTGACATGTCGATTCACTGAGGAGGGCGGCGTGCGCGATGAAGAGGCGTCGACCTGATTGTCTTCTGCGGGCCAGGTATGGAAAGTACGTTTACCTTGTGGCGGGCAACAGCAAGCACGATGAGTGGAGTTTAGAGGCATTGGGTAACCACAGGTTCCGTAACTGATGAGTGGAGGAAAATAATAATGTCGAGTCGAAGGAACAGGCGAAGCCGAATTCTGCGTTTGCCGGGAGCCGACGCCGACGCCGACGCCGACGCCGACGCCGACGCCGATGCCAGAAATACGAAGCCATGCCTTGGCCTCCTCGTGCCCGTGCTCTTCCCCCTCAATCACCGGGCTGGGGGCGAAATGGGGGTCCCACACATCGCCAATGGCTCGATCTCGATCGGATCAACATACATACAAACGACCAGGCTACTACAAGTCCAACAAGTCCAACCAGAGATTCATCCTCACATGTCGAGAATGCCTACACCACCTCGACGTCCCCCTTCCCCATTTCCTCCCCGCCTTCCACGCCATACCCCTTCCCCACCTCCGCCTCCGCCTCCTCCTCCTCCTCCTCCTCCTCCTCCTCCTCCAGGCCGAGCATGACGAGCACCTCGTGCATCTCGTTCTGCATCGCGTCCGCGTCCGCGCCGATCAGCGCACCCTCCCAGTCAATGATGCGGATGGTCCCCTTGGCGTCGCGGAGCACGTGGCGCGACTCCACGTCCCCGTGCAGCACGCCCGCAGCGTGCACGCGCGCGTACGCGGTGATAATGTCACTCTTGGTGTGGGCATCTAGCGCGCGCATCTCGGCCTCGGTGCGCGCCACGGCGTGGCCGCAGTCCTCGAGCGCCATCACGATGTGGCACCGCGGGACCGCCGTGTTGCCTGCTCCGGCTCGCCCCGGCTCTCCCACGTCGTCCCACATCGCATACAAGTCCGGCGCGACGCCTGGCGCGGAGACCCCGAGGCGGAGGAGGACGTGTGCCTCCGTGTAGATTGCGCCCAGGAGGGCGCGCCACTCGTGGTACCCTGCCCAGGCGTGCGCGGATGTCTCGAGGCCCGATGTCTCGGCGTGCTTGAACACCACGGGCGCGCGCGCGCTGTCGCCGCCGGGCAGCGCAACTGCGAGCGTGCCGGCGTACGCGTCCCACGTGCGCCCGCCGCCGATGAACTCGTCGAACGTGAGGCCGACGGACGGTAAGGCGGCGATGTCCGAGTCGCTCGACCAGCACAGGCTCGGTTGGTCATCCGACTCAAATGAGGTCTCGGGGCACGCGTCGGCCGTCGCGAGCGCGCCCGCACTGACGAGCGGTACGATCGTCGCGACAAGGTCGGGCCGGCTGGCGGGTATCTTGAGCCGGCCACCCACGAGTCCGGCGAGAGGGAGGGAGTAGCTCGGCCGGTCGCCCGCGGCATACAGCCCGGACTGGAGGGTGACCGCCAGCGTCATGGGCGTGCCAGCCGACGAGGTGTCGCCGCTTGCGTCCGATGCGTCGTTGCGCCGCCGCTTGCCCAGGTGCTGGCCCAGGCCCTTCTTGGATGCCATGTCATGCTTGACCGCCTGGTCCACGCGCGCCATGTCATGCCAGATTCCGGGGTTGGGCGACTCCTTGGCCGCCATAACGAGGGCAAAGATAAGCTCCATCGGGGTCGTGCGCGTGTCCCGCTGGTCGGCCCTGAGCACGTCGTCGTCCGGAACCGCATGGCGGTCACGGTACAGCGCCTCGCTGACCCGGATAGTGGTGCTGTCCTCCAGCTCGAAGAGGACGTAGCGCTCGTAGTCTGTCACAAGAACGAACTTGGCCCGGTTCTGGTGGAACTCCTCCGTGATCTGGGTTAGTTGGCATCTGACCCTGGGATGAACGCACCTGAGCAAGCACGCTACACCACACTCCTTCGACGCCCTCGACGTCGATCACGTATCCCCTCCGGGTGTTGTACTGCAACTTGAAACCCTCGTCAAGGTCGTCGTCGAGAGCACGGAAGAGGGACGCCCAGTCCTACGCTGTCAGTACAAGCAGACAAGTAGCTCACTTGGGGGGAAAGAAGCTTCGTCTCGATAACAAACTTCTCAACGTTGTCCCAGTCGGGCTTGGACTGGCTGGTCCAGTCGGCTGGCCGACGGAGCGCGATATCCGCCGTCCCTGAGCCCACATCCGGCGCTGCCCCCACCACATGCGACAGTGTGTCGATCCAATTCGATTGAAAGAAGGCGTGTACGAGTTGCTTAATTGACGGGACCAGGATCTCGCCCGTGATGCCCACCTCGTTGTCGGGAAGGCTCGAGACCAACGTCACGTCCGTGGTGCTTGGGCCCCGCTGCGCATACGGTGTGGGAGGCCAGACGGAGTCGAGAGACGCGAAAGCCCACAGGCGGGCCTCCTGCATGCGGAGGGCGTCGTGCCACCGGAGCAAGAGTACCTCAGCTCTGGAGTCGGAGAGGCGTTCCATGGCAGCGAAGACGGGCGAGAGCAAGTTGTGGACGAACGTGTGAATGGGCGTCGTTGACCTTTGAAACCTGCGGACGTCAGCGCACGTCAGCCTGAGGCCTACCGAACGCGGCCACCTAGCTGCAAGAATAGCTCGTGCGTATGGGCGGTCGGGTGACGAGTCCTGCGGGTGCCCGGCGTCGATGAGGATGACGGTTGCTGGCCTGAATCGCTGAGCGCTGCGATCCGGCTGGATGGGCAATGTTGCGGGGCGGGGGTGGCCGGAGGCTGAGGCTGAGCGAGCTCAATCTCCTTCAAACGGTCGTAGAAGGTGGGAGCCACCGGGGGGAATGTATGCAGTGCGGCGCACTGGTCGAGCGTGTGTGGGATCAAGTCGTGAGGAAAGGAAGATTGACGCCAGTCGCGCGGAAACATCTCATAGACGTACGGCATGGTGCAGATGGCGTCTGGGTGAGCGAGATATGGATGGTCGGATGTAAGCGTGAATGAGACGAGAGGATGGATGATGAAGACATGTTGAAGACATGAAGACATGTTCAAGTTGTGATTGATGGTCGCGACGTGGGTGACTGTGCATGACTGTACGACATTATTTGCTAAATGGCGGTGCCTGGGACGCGCTCAGTTGACCGCACGATCGGCTCCTGGTTCCGCACCTGTCGTTCCCAATTCCCATGATCCCATCCTCATTCTCGTTCTCCACTCGCGCTTGTTGCGTCTTCGTCTCCTCTCCTTTGTCGCCTCAACCTGTCCAAGCTCGCAATCACAATGCCTCCCCACCGTTCACCATCCGCTTTCTCCACCATCCACGGCAATGACCCCCCCGCTCCATTCTCACCCGAGGCCCTCAACATGATTCTCGACCCAGACAACCGCGACAACCGCGCAAAGTTCAAAAGGTACATGGCAGACAACCGCGACCTCTTTGTTCCCCGCTTCGACATCCCCTTGGCCGAGGAGCGCGACCGCGCCTTCGCTCGTCTTCAGTCCGTCGCACGTCAGGGCTTCATCTCGGTCCTCGACTTTGAACGCAACCCGCTCAACGTGTTTGCCGCCCACGAGCTGCTCGGCATGGTCGACGGCGGCGGCGCAACCAAGATGACCGTCCACTTCAATCTCTTTGGCGGAACGTTGCTCAAGCTCGGCACAGACCGCCATCGCCATCTCCTGCCCGAGATCGACCGCCTTGACTCTACGGGTTGCTTCGCGTTGACAGAATTATCGTACGGCAATAACGCGGTCATGATGGAGACGACGGCTGTTTACGATCCTAAGACGCAAGAGTTCGTTGTCGACTCACCCACACCCAAGAGCCAGAAGTACTGGATCAGCAACGGGGCCATTCATGCGCGCTACTGCATCGTGTTTGCGCAGCTAAGCGTTGGTGGCAAGCAAGAGGGTGTACATGCACTCCTTGTGCCAATCCGTGACAAGAACCTCAAGGTGCTTCCCAATGTCACCATTCGCGACATGGGTCGCAAGCAGGGTCTCGATGGCGTCGACAATGCCCTCCTGGCATTTCACAATGTCCGCGTTCCTCGCGAGAACCTTCTCAACCGTTACTCTGAGGTCGACGAGTCTGGTTCTTTCTGCTCCAAGATTAGTAGCCGTCGCGGAAGGTTCATCAAAGTTGCCGATCAGCTGTTGTCTGGCCGCCTCTGCATCGCCGCGATGACTCTCAGCTCGGCCAAGTCCTCGCTTACCATCGCCATCCGGTACGCAGCCACACGCCTCGGCGTTGGCCCGAAGGGGCTCTCGGACACGCCAATCCTAAACTACCAATTGCAGCAACGCGCGCTCATCACCATCCTCGCACGCACGTATGCGTTGAGTATGGGCATGAATTATGTCAAGGCCTTCTGGGCCGACCCCAATAGCGACCCAGAGGACGTCGTCCGCAAGGTTTGCGTCATCAAGCCGCTCGTCACCTGGCACGCTGAGCGTACTGGCTCGATCTGCCGCGAGCGCTGTGGCGGGCAAGGGTATCTCGCAGCGTCGCGCCTTGCGGGCACCATCTCCTTCGCGCACGCTGGCATCACGGCTGAGGGCGACAACTCGGTGCTGATGCAGAAAGTCGCCAAGGAGCTTCTCGCCGGCGTCGAGGCCGGCAAGGTCAAGCTACCTACCGGCGCAGCCGCGTCAGGCGACATCACTGACCCACATGTGCTCGCCGAGCTCATCAGGGCATTCTCACACCGTTCCCTTTCTGAACTCGGTGCCTCGCTCGCCCGAAAGCTCGGCAAAGAGCGCCGCCCCCTCTTCGAGGTGTGGATGGGTGAGGAGAGCGTAGCCATCCAGCGCGCCGCCGCAGCCTATGGCGAGCGCCTGTGTATGGACGAGGTGATCGTCCAGATGGAGAAAGCCGACCCTACAACGCGCAAGGTCCTCGCCCGCGTCGCGACTGTACACGCTCTCGCCGTCGTCGAGCGCGAGCTGGGCTACCTCATCACGCACAAGCTTGTCCCTACCGACATCGCGGCCACGGTGGAGGATCGTCTGTCTATGGCCGTTGCGGACCTCGCGCCGGACGCTATCCCCCTCGTCGCTGGATTTGGCATTCCAGAGGAGCTGCTTTACGCGCCCATCGCGATTGACTGGGAGCGATACAACGAATACGACAATCACGGGGAGCTGGTCTCGGCAAAGCTTTGAGGCGATGTGATGTGAGGGACATGCCGGGGTTATCGTGGACAAAACGAGCCTAAGTGCAGTTGTATCAGGATGAGTGAATGAACGAATGGCAGTATCGGAATAGGGAACAGTTGATCGCTGAGAAGTAGCGGCTTGTCACATTCCACAATCTAATCACTCTTCGCTAGCATCCTGCAGTCCAACCCTCACGGCACAAAGGTTGACTTCTTCTCGTCACCCGGAAAGTGGAAGTACGAGATGGGCTGCGGAGGCCATTCGCTCTCGTCTTTCCATACACCCTCAACCCGGTGCGTCCCGCTTCCGACGGCCAACTTCTGATCGCCGATCATGAGCTCGGCGGTAGTATTTGGGGGCACAACAACAGTCGCCTCGATGCGTGTACGTTCCCCTTTGAGCACCCAGCGACAGCTGACCTCGCCGTAAGGGGTTGTAAACGATGTCGCCGCGTCAGTCAGTGTGCCACCAGGACGCGGATGGATTGCGATGCGTTTCCATCCGGGCTCCAGGGCACGGATACCACCAATGACCTGGTGCAAGAACGCGCCGACGCTCCCGAAGGCATAGTGGTTGAAGCTCGTCATTTCGCCGGGGTTTATCTCGCCGCTCGGTAGCATGCTGTTCCAGCGTTCCCACATGGTCGTGGCGCCCATCCTGCAGTCAGCGCGTCTCCTTCATAAGCCTCACTTGACCTGGTACAGCCAGCTCGGGCACTCGCCCTCCTGCAGCATGCGGTACGCTACCTGCAAACGCCCGTGGGCCGCGAGCGCGAGGAGTACGAAGGGGGTGCTCGCAAAACCCGTGCCGACCTTGAATATGCCCTGTCGGACAAGACGCTCTAGCGTGGCGGCCCAAAACTCGGCCTGCTCCTCGCTTTTAGCGAGCCTGAACTGCAGGGCGAGGACGTATGCGCACTGGGAGTCCGACGTAATGCGGCCCTTGGGGCTGACGTACTCGGCTTGGAATGCGTCGAGGAGGCGCGCAGCCTCAGACTCGTAGCGGCGCTGGTCCTCCTCTTGACCCAGGACCAACGCGACCTTGGCTGCAATACGCACTGAATGGATGAGATAAGCGTCGGCCACAAGGGTCGGGTCCGTCATGCCGTTTGCCGCGTCCTCGGGCGGGGCGCGCGGGTCGAGCCAGTCGCCGAACTGGAAGACGCGCTTCCACAACCCAGCATCCGTCCGCGGAATGCCCTCATCAATCCATGCTTTCATGCTCCGCCATTGGTCGCGGAGAAGTGACACGTCGCCAGTCGTGGTGTAGATATCCAGCGGTGTAATTGTAGTCACGTCGCTCCACACAGCCACAGGCGGCGGGGTGTCGGTGCGCGCCTGCCCTGGGAGCGGGATGTTCGGCACGACGAACGGCGGTCGCCCCTTGCCGTAGTCCAGCTGCTCTGCGGCCACATCGCCTAGCCACTCGCTCAAGAGACCGTTCACGTCGTAGATCATTGACGCGGTGGGCGCAAATGCCATTAAATCCGCTGTCCACCCCAATCGCTCGTCGCGCTGTGGGCAGTCTGTCGGCACTGAGACGAAGTTGCCGCGCAAGCCCCACACAACGTTCGAGTAGAGCTGGTTCAGCTCTTTATGCGAGCTTTCAAAATGGGCCGTGCGCTCAAAGTCTGAGTGCACGACAACGGCGGTAAAATCGTCCTTCTCGACTGCCCGCGGGAAGCCGGTCACTTCGGCGTAGCTAAGGTCAGCTGTGCTGCGGTTCGACGCCGGCCGGGCTCACCGGAAGCCGTGGAAGGTGAACTTGGGCTCATGCCCTTCGGTCTTGCCTCCGAGCACGACAGTGTCTGTAGCGTCCGCAAACCGGAGAGGCCGCGTGCCAAGCTCGCCGTGCTCGAGCACCTCGGCGTGCCGAATGGTGACGGTTCCCGTGCCATCCACCTGGTTGTTCCAGCGCAACCAACCGACGAGGTTCTGTCCGAAATCGACGATCGTCTTCCCGCTCGGGGTGATGATGATTTCCGAGGCGGGGATATGCGCTGTACGGCGCACCGGTGGAGCTTGGGGCGCGACGAGGTGCAATGGGCGTGGTAGCACCTCTGCGGGCTTGAATGCGGTGAGGGACAAAGTCGTGTCGAAAGCTTCCCCATCGTAGAGCTCGGAGCCAACAATCGGGCCTTCCGCCCACTCCCACCCGTCATCTGTCTGCGCAAGAACCTTGCCCTCGGCCTCGAGCTGCGCAACAAGGGCGGGACGCGTGCCCCAAATATCTCGTGCGCCAGTGTGAAAGCCTAGCCGGCCTGCCCACCACCCCTCCCCGACCCACGCGCACAGCTCGTTTGTGCCCTCCTTCAAAAGCGGAGCTACGTCAAAGACCTGGTACGCGAGCCGGTACGAGTAAGATTGCCACCCCGGAGCGAGCACGTGGTCGCCAATACGCTGCCCGTTGAGAGTCGCCTCGTACAGCCCCATGGCGGTGATGTACAGGCGGGCCGTCTTGGGAAGTGTCTCGAGCGCAAAGCGGCGACGGAGAAGACAAGGGCGCTTGGCGACATTGTCTGGGTACGTCGGACGCGATACAGCCTGTGCGGTCCAGTCGGCTGGCTGGAGCAGGGCTGCTTCGACGTTAACCTGGGCCGCTGCTGAAGATCCATCCTTTCCATGAGCCGTCACGGAGATGCTCGCACGCTCCCGGCTGGTGAGTGGTTTGTCGGGCCACGGCACAAGAACACTGTCGCTCGACTCGACCTTGAAGGAGTTCGACTGACCGCTGCGAGATATCGCGATTTCGTAGCTGGCCTGTTCCCAGTTCTCGGCGTCACCGCCGAAGCGCCATGAGATGCGGGGTGTGGCGATGCCCAAAGCAGCGCCAGGCTCGTAGTGCTCGAAGGAGACTTTCGTGATGATGATAGACATGGCGTTGGTGATGGAGAACCGATGGCATCTTCGCAGCTCGTGTGGAGTATATGGAGGGCGGGAGTGGGTGGTCGCAACAATGTCAGTCCGATGATGGTGGGCAGAAGATGCCGAAGCCACTGACATATTCCTTTGACACGTTAAGACGACCCGTAGCTGGCGGCTCCGGTGGAATAACGACCCATCCATGACTCATAGTACACTAGCCCTGCGCCGAGCCCGCTTCAATGCTGACCCAGACACGGGATACGGACTTGGGCGTTTGTATGCTTGGGGCGGTAGGTGGACTTGTACAGTTGTACCGGCACAAAACTAGACCGATGTCTCGGCGAATTGTCGCGTCATGACAGACAGTCACAGGAGAGCAACGCCCGCACCGTACTTCTGATTCATTGCCTCCTTTCAACCTAGCATCTATGCAAGCGCATCTCGCCTGATCATCATGAGCACAAACGGCCACACGACTGCAAACTGGTCGCCAAGGAGCGGCGTCAGCTCCGCCATTACACGTCCAACAACGTCGAGCTTAGCCGATCGGTCCGTGGGTTGATGGTCCTGGTACCGCTTGACAGAGCTCCAGGTGCGGAAGATGCGCTCCAACTGTCGCGGCGTCCAGCTTTGTCGAAGGTACCACTGCCCAGCAGTGGTGCCGCTCTTGAGGCGGATGGCCGAAGTGGCGTCCCATCCCGCGCCGCCAGTTGGAGTGGGCTCTGCGATCTTGGCCTGGATTGGGTGCCCATCGCCGGTGAGATCAGGGAGGGTAGCTATCAGCTCCTCGGTCGCCTGCGTGTAGGCCGGGGTGATTGGGAAGGGAATGCGGTCGTACAGCCCCTCGGAAATGGACCAGCCTGGCTCACTCCAGTGTCCGGCGAGGGTCTCATCCATGAATTGTGCAATGACGGCGTTGGCAGCGTCGTTACCCGCAATCGTCAAGCGCCCGTATCCCTTATGTCAGCCGAACATGGAGATGTCTCACCGCCCAGCACACCGTGCCCGAGGGGCGTAGGACGCGAGCCAGTTCAGGCCAGGTGACACTATGGTCGAAATAGTGGGCCGCCTCGCCGGCGATCACGAGGTCTACGCTGTTATCCTCGATTCCGACGGCGCCGAGGTCCTCCGCCGTCCCGACGTGGTAAGAGATCCGCTTGCCTTCCGGTTGTAGGCCTGCCTTGACCATGCCCTCCTCAGGATCCAGGCCTGACACTTTCTCGAATGTCTTGGACAGCTCAAGCGCCATGAAGCCTCAGTGTCAGCCGCGAGTGCACCCTCACCCCACCTGGACCGCAGCCCAGGTCGATCGCATGTCCGAAGCCTCCGTTGCCTGCTTCGTGATAAGCTGCCAGAATCTCGAACACACGCTCCGGGTATGGCGGACGGTCTGAAACATAGGCGTTGGCGTTGTAAGTGGGACGTTCGGTGGTCATGGTATGAAGAAGATGATGCGAATTGTGGTTCCAGTGATGGACCAAAATACCTTGCCCCACCTTGTGCCGACCCTTTGCTCAGAGCGCTCAGCGCTCAACTCAGCCAAGTAACAACGTGAAGAAACATACGGCGGATTCATCCACTCGACAGAACAGGGGTAGCAAGAGCCTGCAACGCAGCAAAAGCGCGACCGTGAGTGTTCCAAGCGGCTGACAACGTGAGAGTTCAAACATCCGAGATGACCCCAGGACAGCTACGCCATGTTCCTGTGGGACATGCCCATCAATATCCGTTACCAAAGCCCGCACCACTTCACTGAGTCCGTGAAATGACGCGCAACAACAGCTACGTTCGCGACTTCAGACAGCCGCCATACTCATACTCCGTCAACTCCCAACATCTGTGGTCCTTGCTCCAAGTATCAGTCGCTTGAGAAGCTCACAGCCACAGTCTGCATTCATACTGTCCATTGATCATACTGGACGAGCCCGTGCACAGGAAAGACTCTAGCGACAGACGCCCTCGATGCACGTTTGGCCGGGCCCGCACTGCTTGTAAGCCCAGACCTGGATATCCTTCCCAGACTCACCGAGCGGTTGCACGCGCCGCAACGGAAATACTCAGTCATGAGATTATGGCATGTCGAGCCACATCGCGTCAACCCGTCGCGGCACTCGCACCGGCCTCCACGGCACTCATTGCCAATGTGCGCACAGTATCCACCACATCGGCCACAGTTGTAGGCGTCCGTCTGAAGATTGACGCACTCGGGCCGTCCGAAAGTGCTGCAGCTCGTCTCGCCTGCCGCACACGTATCCGGCTTCGGACAGGCGGCACCCTTCACTCCCGCGGCTGGGAGTCAGAGGGAGTGTGTATTGTACCCACAGAAGACTAGGGTTGATAAAAGAGCCTGCGGATCATGGTGTTATGAGGTGAGTGAGGTTGTCGTTTGTCAGACACTGTTTTTGAGCAGAGGACATTGAGATGCAGGTTCTCACGGGGCTATGCTTATCCAGCCAGCATTCCTCACGCAATGAAGCTTGTCTTGCTGGGCCCTGCCGAGCTTGGTGGCGAACCCACCAACAACTGTCGGCTCCGGACTGAACGGACTCCCATGGGCTCATATGACCAACGAGCGGATGTGAGGGCCGATTGGAGGATCTGATGTCGATGTTCGCGAGCCTGCACGGCTTGAACCTCGATTAGCAACTGGCCTGATGCGGGATGGGTCATGTGCTCCTGGTCATGTGAGCCCGGTCGTAAGAGAAAGTTCACCCAGATTGCGGGGAGAGTCATCGAGGCCTACACCCGCTCTGCATTCCGCGGCGCGACCGATTACCAGCGGAACAAGTATATGGGGGGTTAGGCAAGCGAGACCTGGTAGTCACAGGCAGAGCTTACCTGGGCAGGGCAGACGCTAACCGCAAGCGGCTTGATTGATCTCTCGTTGAGACTCGTGACTTATCATGTCGCTTGGGTCGATATAGGAAGTGACTTTAGTCAAACCTCAACAGCGTCCAGCTTGAGTCGCCCGTCTATCATGTGGAAATTGGAGCTGATTTTGATCACCCTGCTCATCTGTGAGCCTGCCCTTCAAGCCGAGCCTCTCCTCCCCTTGTCCAATGTTGACCATCAGCGAGTGCTCCCGCCGCTGCACTTGGAGTGCCTCGACAGAGCTGCGAGCGCCCCGTGAGTGATATACGAGAGATCCGTAATGCTCCCACCTCCGTAACGCGGCGATCCGTGACACTGACACCAGTGCGCCCAGGGCACTGAATGTGTTAAAGGAAAGTGTGTGGCGGTGTCAGAGTGCCCTTCGGGATTCGGTCAATGTGGCGCGGACGGCTGCGTCAATCTTCTTAACGACGTTCGCCACTGCGGTGAATGTGACAATGATGTACGTGGAGAGGACTGGAGTTCAGACGGTACAGTGCCGCAGCGGCTGACATCAGTGCTGCCCAGGGTCCAACTGCATCAACGGCGAATGCGAGCTGAACGATGGATGCCCTGCCGGTCAGCTCCTATGCGACACAGGTTGTACCAACACCTCAAACGACAATCGCCACTGTGGAGCATGTGGTATCAAGGTGGGCGAGTGATGCGTCTACAGCTAAAACCAGTGCGGGCAAGGCAAGAACTGTCGCAATGGAAAGTGCAGATAAAGACGGAGATACGGTCTCCGAGCTACAACCCTCACCGAATATTGGACGCCGATGTGTGTACGAGATTGAACTGGAGGCAGAAGCCAATGTTGGGCCGACGCTACAGTGCTACAGTACCCATCTGTCAATAAAAATGAAAATGAATACTCAGCTAACAGACGCGAGCTTGGCGTGCTTCTCAGAGCTGTGCAGCTGCCAGATTACCGGGCAACTGGGGCGCAAGTACTTCTTCACACGCCCAGATCGGGATCACGACACTTTCGTCCCCCTCAGTCGGCCCAGTCGACCCATCCACTGAAATACATTCACTCTCTGACAGTTGAGGAAGTAGATCGGCTACCAAGGAGGCTCGAGGGGCGCGGAGGGCCGCTTCTTCCGCAAACCTGATCTAGGATGCAGCGCCCCACCACCTCGAGATCGAGCCACTCCCATTGAGACAAGTGGTGAGGGCCTCAAGGCTGTCCACATTTATCCAACTACCCATCCCCGACTGACAAGCAACTTCCGCCCCTAACCCCCCGGTTCTTGAGCCCACCAAGATGCGGCCCAGTTTGATTTCCATTATCGCCACTTCCGTGCTTTGTCAGACAAACCCCTTTACACAGCTGACAAACTCAGCCTGCTACGGTCTCGCATGGCACCAACCTCGCGAAGAGTGTGCCGAGGGATTGACTCGCTGCGAAGTGTGGCCCAACAATAGAACGGTTTGCGCCAACCTCCAAAGCGACCCGAACCACTGCAAGTATTGCGGGTCGACCTGCAGTGACGATCGCCCAGGTATGGCGCTGGAGTGCCGTGACGCCGTCTGCGTCTGCGTCTCAACCGGTACACAGAGGTGCGCCGGACACCTCTCATGTCCCGACTTCCAGATCAACGTCTTCAGCTGCGGCAGCTGCAACAACTGGGTAGGTATCAAAGCTATCCGGAGCTCAGACCAGTGCTCGGAAAACCAAGAGTGCCGCAAGGGACAGTGCCGCAATTGCCCTCGCAGCACCATGGGATGCCACGACTACGACGGAATTCGTGGCTGCATCGACGTTCTTAGAAGCAAGGACAACTGCGGCGATTGTGGCAGGCAGGTGAGTTTCCAAGCCAAGGAGTAGGAGCTGCTATTTCCGGCTGACCGCAGTGCCCATCCGACAGTCTGTCATGTAAGAACGGCAAATGCATTAGCCCGAAGGCTAAATCGTATTGCGAACGCTCCTCTTACTGCATTGACCTCGCCAACGACCCCACCCACTGCGGCACTTGTGACAATAAGGTAATCGAGTTCTCCAAGAATGAATCTCTTCGGTTAGACCTTACTGACGGTAGTGTCCGCCCGGGCAGGCGTGCAAGTGCGGCCGCTGCGGTGCATGCCCAGCCGGTCAGCTGGCGTGCCGCACAGATGCTCAACCGGCCATATTCCCCTGCATCGACGTTCTCTCAGACAACCAGAACTGTGGGACGTGTGGGCGGCATGTGAGCATTAGAGCGGCCCGCAGGAGGCTGATCAAAGTGCGACGCGGGCAGTCAGTGCCAAAACGGCGATTGCACTTGTCCAGCGGGACACATTGCTTGTGGCGATAGAGTGGCAAGCTGCATCGACCCCATGACTAACCCGTCTTTCTGCGGGTCTTGCAATGTGTCTGTAGGTCCGCTGGCTTGATTGACGCTAAAACAGTGTGGCGACGGCACCTGCACGCGGGGTGTGTGCACTTCATGCGAGGTCGGCTACGTTTTCTGTGACGGCGAATGCCGCAACGTGTCCAGCGATGACCGCCATTGTGGCGGGTGTCGCCAGTTTGTGAGTCATGACTATGTGTGAGCTTAGGCTAACCGAGGCCAGTGCGAGAACGAGGGCGAGTTCTGCAACAATGGCACTTGCACTCGCCACACATGCCCGGAGGGCGAGGCATGGTGCGGAGATAACTTGACAGGCAAGTGCGTCAACTGGCGGAGCGACCCTCTGAACTGCGGTGAATGCATGGTCCGCGTGAGTGGCCTGTCAACTGGGTGGCACATGAGCTCATCTTAGTGTGACGAGGACCAGACGTGCGTCAATGGCAGTTGCGAGTAATCTCTCCCAGCGGCAATGAACAGTGCATCCGCGGTCGTCAATGGAAATTCGAAGCAGCACACACGCTAGCTCTGAGATGTGATTAAATAACGTTTGGCAGGGCAGGCTTGTTACAGCCCAGGCGGAATGTTCACCGGAATCTGATGTTTAGGTTATTCCATCTAGGTCCTGTGACCGACTGCACAGTTTGCTTGTTCTCGGCATCCAGCTGGAGCCGTTGCTTAGCGATGAGTGCCCCTGCAGGATGGCCTCGCCGAAAGGTCTAGATTGCCCGTCAGAGAGGGTCGCGCGAAGTCATGTGTTTGAAGTTTATGACGTTATGGAGCCCTCTGACTATCGATCGGGCTCTAACCAGCTTTCGACAAGCAGCGGTGGCCCAAGCCCGTCGAACATTTCGAACCCCCACTTGTAAGCGCGATTCAACGGGATACGCCTCGATTGTTTGTCGATTGATAGCCATCGACCTCACATATAAGTTGACACTTATAGACCGACATACACCTTTCACTTGCCGCCCCTCTCGCCCCCCCTTTCTTTATCTTCGACTTGACCAAATCGACATGACTTCGAAGCTTATCGTACTACTGGCTACATTCCTCCTAGGTGAGCCGTAGTCCTCCATGTTTAACACCCTCAGCCACGTCAACAGGCAATGCAAAATGCGTCCCGCGCGCTGCTTGTGGTGCGAACCGGACACGTTGCACCAAAAGCAATGGCAACTAAGTCTGCGCAGACCTGCAGACCGAGAACGCCCACTGTGGCAGTTGTGACAACCGTTGTGACGGCTACGTAACGCAGTGCCAGGGCGGCAAGTGCATTTGCATCTCTTCGGGCGTGGAAGTGTGCACAGGCTACGGCTGTCCGAATCTGAACACGCACGCTGAACACTGTGGAGCGTGCTTCAGCGCGGTGGGTCACCCGTGCACATTCAGACTGACCGAGAGTGTGGAGAGAACCAGGAGTGCCGCGACAGGCAGTGCCTCGATTGCCCAACGGGCACGAAGCGATGCTGGCCTGATGGTGGCTGCACCGACATCCTAAACAACACCTCTGCCTGCGGTGGCTGTGGCGTCTATGTAAGAAGCCATTCACGACGCGAACGTAGCAGGCTAACAGCAGTGCCCCTACCAGTCTTGGTGCACAGAGGGTGAATGTGTCTGTTCTGGCGGCAGGACGGTCTGTCGAGAAGTGAATGGCAGCCCGTTCGGCGAATGCCGCGACCTGCCGAATGATCCTCGAAACTGTGGCGCCTGCGGGAACGTGGTCAGTGCAGATATCACCGAAGCCATTGGGGTTCCAGGCTCGCTGACAGAAGTGCCCAGATGGGGGAACCTGCGTGTCCGGACAGTGTCAGAGTTGTCCATCTGGATGGAAAGCCTGCAGTGCCTCTGGGCCCATCTCGCCCTGTGTCGACCTAATGAACGACAATCAGCACTGCGGCGATTGCAACCAGCGGGTGAGGTCAGGTCTGTGCAACGTGGACTCATTTCAGTGCTACAGTGGTACCCCATGCGTAAACGGGGAATGCTCTTGCCCTCCCGGGCTGACATCATGCCTGTCAACAGTAGGCGATTGCTACAATCTGAGCATCACCGCTTGGCATTGCGGTGCCTGCGGCAACGATGTAAGAGACCAATTGGGTAGTCTTTGCTTACAGCAGTGTGGCGAGGGCTTCTGTGAGAATGGCGTGTGTGGCCCTTGCGACCCCGGGCAGCTGCTCTGCGAAGGACAATGCCGCAATATCGCGACGGATAACAAACATTGCGGGTCTTGCTGGAATGGCGTACGTGGTGCTGAACGGCTCCTAAAGCTCACCCCAGTGCGACGGCGATGGACAGTACTGTCTTGATGGCCAGTGCGCCGACTCAGTGTGCCCTGAGGGTCAGCAATGGTGTGGCAACGTCGAGACTGGCGGCTGCACGTCCACTAAGACCGATCCGAATAACTGTGGCGGATGCGGCGAGGGTGTCAGTGCCTCCATCCCCCATATCGGGTTCAACTAACGACAGTGCCTCGTTGGCGCCTGTTCCGACGGCAAATGCGTGGATGATCTATAGGCGGAAGAGAGATAGATTTAGGCCGGAAAGGCAGCCATATTGTGAACACAAACTGAAACCTAGGCAGTTGACATGGATAATGCTGTTCCTGCTTGAGCAATCAATGCCTGTTTGATGGAATTACCGGTATTGCTGAATCTTACTGAATCTTATGCTTACCCGCGGCATGCGCTCAATCCCGATGACGCACAGGCTTCTCGCTGCAATCCTACTAGCCTGGTAGCACTCCGCTTCCCGTCCCGACATGGCATGCGGATCATCATGTACTTGAATGTACATTGACGACGTCGCGTAGGCAACGGGCCTTCACTACATCTGATCTCATAGCTTGTTCATTCTTACCCTCTTTCACGCCCATCTACTGTAACTTCTTCTACGCCTGCTTCACTCACATCTCACCTCTCATCAATGGTTGTCACCTCGATTTGGGCGATTGCTGCTCTAGGTGCGCCCTTGCGTCCCACCTGCCAACTTCGTCGCCACAACCACATCCCATCCTGCCGCCAAGTCACGCCTGCTGATAGCAGTGGCCGGGGCGTCAGGCGCCGTCCTCGGGTCACGGCAGAGCTGCGGCCGCCAGTGCGGTCTCTTCGACAAGAACCAGTATTGCGACAATGGCGTATGCTTGTGCCGCGACACCGGCCGGCCGACATGTACGAGCGGCACAGCGTGCCCCGACTTCCAGACCAACTCGTGGAACTGTGGCGGCTGCGGCATTTTCGTGCGTCGTTTGCATCAAGCACTGACCGAAGTGCGAGTACGGCACCGAGTGCGTGGGCGCAATGTGCCTAGCTTGCCCACCCGAGCGACCGAACTCATGCCCCAATGATGCGTGTGTCAACTTCTTGAATGACACGAGGAACTGCGGCGAGTGTGCCCGTAGCGTACGTCAAGTAGCGACAGCGCTGACGACTTCAGTGCCCGTCCAGCGCAGAGTGCATTGACGGCGCCTGCGTCTGCCAGGGCGCCAACACTGTCTTGTGCGGCGACAAGCGGGCGCCGTGGTGTGCAGACATTATGAACAGCCCATTCTCATGCGGCGGCTGCAACAAGCTCGTAAGTGTCCCGCCGGCACCCGTGCCGTTCGTCCGACCAGAGGTAACTTCAGTGCGACGAGAACTCACAGTGCGTCAACGGCAGGTGTGTCGCCTGCTCCTCCGGCTTTAAGCGATGCGGAGTGAGCGAATGCAAGAACGTCCAGAACGATAATGAGAACTGCGGGAGTTGTTACACCAAGGTGGGTGCGCGTGCGCTACCAAGGTTTCCAGCTGTCATCCTGTCAGCTTGAAACAGATTGGGGATGGGCAGCAGGCTCACCACAGTGCGAGCCTGGCTCGAACTGCCTCAAAGGCACCTGCGAGGCCAACCAGGGCTGCGGGCCAGGCCAGACGAAGTGTGACGGCTCGTGCAGGAACACGGCCAACGACAACAACCACTGCGGGGGATGTGGTGTCAAGGTGAGACGAGGAAAGTGCAGCGGGTTGACTTTAGTGTGCGCGTGGCAAGAACTGCTCAGATGGAAAGTGCAGCTGAGGGTTGAGCTATGCTGGAAGAGGTCAGTTGGACCTACGATCAGTGTCAAATGGCTGCCTTTGTCTGAACAACAGTGATGAATCTGCTCCCGGGGGCAAGACAGTTACTGTGCTGTTGCGAGACGGAGTCCGGCAATGAGTAGCTAGCACAGGGCATTCACGGGAGCATGTAGCCGCGTGGAGGATAACATGTCATCTCTAGAACCCCCCGATCAGCAGTACGACCTACCATCTACTTCCCCTCTTCATCGAGATTCACCACCCTCCGCTTCGCGCGCTTCTTCTTCGCCTTGCGCACCGGCGTCCGCGTGAACGGATCTTCGGGCGGGGGCGATTTCGTCGGCGATCCACCCGGTGATGGGGTCGACAGCGCCTCGCGGTCGCCCAGCATTTGCGGTTTCGTCGGGGACCCTATTGGCGAGCGGGCGCCAGCACGCGCAGGCGACGGCGGTGCCAACCCGCCGGCGACGCCCGCAGTTTTCGTCTTGACGTCGAGGGCGGGTCTAGGCGAGTTGGGTGCCGTGTTTGCTGCGCTGGCCGGTGCGGTGGGTGGAGCACTGGAAGCTGGCCCCGTACGTGGTCGCCGCTTTCCGCGAGCCGCAAGCGCCGCATCCACCCGTCTGCCCTCTGCCCACGTCAACGGTGTACCATCCAGTACAACCTCGCGCCCTTCCCCTGCGAAGAACGCCGATGCCTCGACCCTCCAGTCACTATCGGGACTTGCGAAGGGATTGGCTGCGGCCCACACCCCTTCAATGTGCGGCAGCACCGCCAGGCGCCCTACCTCCCCAGCTTCGGGAAGCTCGTTGGCACGAATGTCGACGCGCTTCAGACCAAGAACACGCTCGAGACCAACAAGGCAGTCAATGCGGTTGTGTGCGAGATTAAGCGTGGTCACGTTACCGAGCGACTGGGGTGCGTTGCGCAAGCTCGTGATAACGTTGTATGAAAGGTTGAGCGACAGGAGATTGTGCAGGCTCGACAGATCTGGGATTGCGTTCAGAAGATTGCCCGAGAGGTCGAGATGGGTGACGGACGTAAGGGGAAGTGTGGGAAGCGAGAGGAGGCCGGCGTGATGAATACTCAAGTGTCGTAGATTGGGGAAGCGTGGTGTTTGCGGTTCCGGCGATCGTTCCAACAAGCTGTCCGGCTCGCTCATCGGTGACTCGACAGGCGTGTCTACGCCGCGCACAGCAAGGCCGTTGCCGCCGAGCTGCTGTGGCACATCGACGAGTAATTCGACAATCCAGTCATCTGCATCCTCGAGGTCGTGCACTGTGAGGCTGTGCAAGAGCGCGTTGGGTGGGATGAGTAGCCCGCGCGGATCGAAGCTGTCGAGCTCGAGACTGAAGTCAGCTAAGTCCGACTTCCTTGCTTTGCTAGCGCCGTGCAAGCAAGTCTCTTGAGAGTCTCTGCGTCCCCAGTGCTTCCGTCGGTGCGTCCGCTCGTAGGTACTGGTCGTTCCCATCACAGCTGCACTCACATCTGAAGATTCCGCATGACATCCAAGGGCACTCGCACGTCCACGCCACCGACCAGAGTGTATCCGCCCGCTTCAAGCAGCTCGGCCACGGGCGGATCGGTATTGAACGGCGGGTGGATGAGCAGGCCAGGGAGAGCGTTGAAGACGGTGTACAGCTCGAGGAGAAGCTTGTCTAGCATCAGCAGCAACTCCACCATCAACCTACCCTCATCAACCTCTTGAGGCCTCCACCAGCCACTAGGGACGCGGCTGCTTACGCTGCGGATGCTCCCCACCCAACTACGCACGCTCTCAACATCGCCGTCGCCGTATCGCCCATCTCGCGGTCCCCGCACAGAACCCGCGATCCCTTCTGGCACCGGGACATCCGTCCTGCCTACATGCGGCAGCGACTGGGAGACGCTCTGCCATCGCAGCAGCAAATAGAGAAGCTTGTCGGGGGGGAGCCGCAGCAGAACCGGCTTGGTGTGCCGCTGTTGTGGGGGTGCGGGGGCGCCGAAGCCGAGTGTGAGGGGCACCTTGAGCGATCGGCTGAGTGGCGCGCTGTTCGGGTCGAGGCCGAGTGTTAGAAGAGTGTAGGATTGCTGCAACCATGTCGCGTCCTGGTTCTTGTGTCTCAAGGGGGGCGCGAGTCGGGCGAGGTTGGCCGAGAGATACTTGTGGAGCTTGACGAGGTAGTCGCGCCCGCTAATTGGTGGGGAGGAGTTGGGCTGCGGAGGGCGGCCGAGGCCTAGTGTTGGGAAGGACATGCTGTGAGGGCGGGGAGATGGAAAGAGGGGTGGAGAGCGGGTAGAGAGATGAAGAGAGATGAAGAGATGAGGGTTATGTTATTGCAGAGCCGAAGCAGATGACGACTGGGAGAGGAGAGACATCCACGTGGATCGGCGTGCCTGAGGCAAGGGGTTGTGGGGAATCGTTGAATTGCCACCCAACTCTCATTCCAACTCTGTCACACAAAAACAACAATTCATCTCGACAGCTAGCTCAATCGCTGTGACTGTTCAACCTCACACTCAGCTCGTGACGTGTGCGTAGGCATTTCAAAGCTGGCATGAGACTCCGTCGCACGGTCGGATGCAAAGCATTCACAATGAATGAGGACCAATTGATCGGTGGGCGAGTTGGAACGCTAAATCGAATATGACGGGGCTTCCAGGCGCGTCAGAGATCCGACAATGGCATCGATCGACGAGTCATGGGAGGTGTCACGAAGCGCCAACTGCACTCGGCTACCCAGTGGGAAATAGAACTGCCCGAGGAGTTGCGGAAGATCGATGTGAGGAAGGCTGCTGGCGGAGAGGCGCACCGCTGAGTCCTTGGTCCTCCAGAACCATTCCATCGCCTGCGCGACTGGCGTGCATACAAGCTGAAAGGATGGAAGACTCCGCACCGCGCTCGCCAGCTCGTAGGCGATGCGGATATACTCGAGGACGGTCTGGCGCCAGGCGGCGGGGTTGGGATGGTTGCGCCGCCATGAACAGGAGTAGGATCGAGCGGAGGCATTTCTGGGTAAAGAGTCAATAAGAGGGACGAGGGATAACAAGAAGCGTGAAGGGATTGGGGTGTGGTAGAGGGGTATGGGGGGGGTTGGAATCCATAGGAAGAGACACTTACATCTCGATAACCTTGTCCAGTATGACGAGGACGATGCAGCGCGAGTCAACATTGCCCCAGCGTCCAGTGCGAGCGGCAGCGACCCAAGCGCGTGTTGCGCGGCGAGCACCGGCTGCAATGGCCGCGTCTGTGTTTTTCCCGGGGTGGCGCGTTTTGCGGTGCCGGGCGATCGTGTAGTCGCTGCGAGGAAAGCTGCGCAGGGTGTGAGGGAGGTCCTCGACTCTCATCAGCATGGTCGTCAAGATGTCGAGGATGGATGGGAGGATGGGGAGGGATGAGATGGATAGGGTAGGAGGGGCGTGGATGCTGTTGAGTCGAAGTATCAGTGAGAAGAGCAGAAGGATACACGATCGAGCAAAACAAGACGCCTCGTTGTGGCTCAAATACTGTGTAGAGGTCGTGAGACAGTGTGATTCACGTGACGTGTGTGGCAAACGCATCTTCCGTCAACCTCCATTGTTCACGGTCATAGTGATCCACCATTTCAGCCTTGAGGCCTTACTTCTCACACGAGCCTTTGTCCTCTTCGACGGCGCTCCTCGATCTTCGCCCCTCTTAGTTGACCATGCATACAAACTAATCACTGACACTGCCCTCTGATCACTAGCACAGCCGGTGCTGACAATGGTCGCTCAGCTGTAGTGTGTCGTGTCCATCACGCCTCGTGCTTCGCTTCATATGGAATAAAAGCAGGATGAGCCCCCTCTGACGCACACGGTGTGACATTCACTCCCCAATTACTCTCGTTCTCGCCTACTCATTTACCATACGCTATGCGATTCTACCTCGCTCTTGCTTTTATCAGTGAGCACCATGAGATCACTCCCATAACCAATTGCCTCGCCATGAAGCTCACCCTAGCCACCGTTTCCGCCAAAGTCTGCGCACCTGAAGGCTGCCTTCCAGGCATCTCCAATTCTCAGCGTAAGTCTCATGCGTAGAGGCGACTAGGTCGTCCCCACGCGACACCACTTGGCCACACACATGTATCTGGATTTCTCTAACACCAGTTCTCGCCGGCGACGGCACAACATTCCTCACACCGGGTGTCCACCGTCTTGCTCTCGACCCCGTCCCGCTGGTGAACCAGACCATCCTGACGACTTCAGACAGTGTGACGGTCTTCGCACCGTCCCAACCTCTCACTTTCCCACGGCTTTTTTACGCTGGTATACCGGGTGCGGACGCGTGGGAAAGCCTCTACCTCCCACCTGGGTGGTATGCGTCGATAGGGAAGTATGCGCTCTGGGGCGCCGTGCCGGACCGCGCCGCGCTGGTCGCTGGCGACTACGACATTGATGGGTTTGGCAACGGTGAGGGACTAAAGGGGCCGATCACTCTGAAGCCATCACCAAGATCAAAAGCGCGAACGGCGGCTGACCACAGCTCTATGCTTCCCGCCGTGCTCTCACGGCACATGCGTCTCCACAACAGACGACGGTGCCAGATGTGTCTGCGACTCCGGGTGGAGTGGCGCTGCCTGTGACGATTGCACCGAGAACCACCATGGACCTACTTGCCAACGTACGGCTGTGTAGCTGAAATCACTGACCCCAGCCTGCCGTGACAACTGCACACGCTGCGACGACGGTCTGGGTGGATCGGGATACTGTCGCGGTTCGGTAGGGCCGGAAGGTGAGTAATTCAGCTCGACACCTCCTCATCCTGAACGAGAGAGTTGGATCAGTATGACGCCGCGCTGAAGTATTACCCCGTTGACACCAGCATGCAATTGCGCTCACGGCTCATGTGACCCAGATGGCAAGTGCACCTGTGCAGCCGGGTGGCACACTATCCCATCTGAGAGTATACAATGCAACACTTGCGCTCCAGGCTTCTACCTCACCACAGAGGGCGACTGTGCCGCCTGCCCAGCGGGCTGCACAGCCTGTGCGCTCTCCAGCACGGCCTCGGAGGCAGAATGCACGTCCTGCGCACCGAACATGAACCTGAGCTCCGCCGTTCCCGCACGATGCGAAGCCCTCTCCCCCTGCGCCGCACGAGAGTACTACGACCTCTCCACCGGCTCCTGCCTCCCCTGCTCGGAGATCTGCGAGTCATGTACCGGCCCAACCTTCAACGAATGCACGACGTGCGCGCTACCCCGAGCAATGCTGCGCGGCCGATGCGAATACATGGCCGCCACGACCGGCGTGTGCGACAGCAGCCTCACATCACTTGACGGCACGTTTGTGCGGTCCGCCGAAAAGGGGGTTTGCGACTGTAAGCGCTGCCGCGACGCTGCTGACACAAGCCTGCCCCACCTCATGCAAGAGCTGCCACTTACCCGAGTGGAATGTCGCCGAGCCGTGGAGCCGCATCGCATGCACGGCGTGTCACGACGGGTTCGTTCTCCAAGATAACCGGTGTCTGAGCGAGTGCTCACCGGGCACGTTCTGGTCCTCGACAGCCAACGGCACGGCGTGCCAGCCCTGTGACGCCAGTTGCGCCGCCTGCATCGGCACCGCAACGCACTGCACATCCTGCCCCTCCGGCGCGGCGTGGAACGGCACCTGCGTCGCCGCGTGCCCAGAGGCCACGCTGCTTGTCAACGGCACCTGCCTCGCGTGCCACCCGGACTGTGCGACGTGCACATCCCCCGCCGCCAACAGCTGCCTCACATGCCCGCCACACCGCCCCGTCCTCGCAACCGGCCGCTGCGTGCCCTTCTGTGCTGCCGGCACCGTTGTCGACTCGGACGCGGGCACCTGCCGCCCCTGCGCGGCGCACTGTACATCGTGCCTCCCCGAAAGCTGCACGGCATGCGCGGACGGCTTCGTCCTGGCCGGAGGCGAGTGCTCGCGCGCTACATGCGACGGGCCGTATGCCCCAGACCTCGGTGTATGCCTCTCCGCCCTCGTCGCCTCTACGACGGAGCGCAAAAGTCGGGCCTGGGCTGCGGGCGTCGGCGCCGGCGTAGGCGTGACCGGCGCCCTTGCCCTCGCTGTCGCACTCTATATCCGTCGCGAGCGCCGCCGTACGCGCGCCGCAACGGCCGCATTCGCGCGCCAGATGGACGAGCAGGGTGTGCGGGCCCGCCTCGCCCGCTTGTTCGGGTACAATGCCCCGCGCGGCGCGCGCTTGCGTGAGCTCGTCCTCCGTCCGCGCGCGGCGCGGCCGCGCGAGCAGGATCAGACCCCACGCGCAAAGATCTCAGTCTTGCACGAGCAGTGGATGTCCCCGCCCCCGCCGTATGCGCCGCCGACGCGCCCCGCGTCCCCAGACTTTGTCGACATCCCCCTCGAGCCGCTCAGCCTCCCACCCCCGCCCCGCGCGTCGCCCGGCCGCATCCGCATCCCCGACCTCAACTCCACCGTACGCGCTGGCTTTGCCGATGCCGTGCCTCTCTCGCCCGAGGCAGTCCGGGAGCTGGGCGAGCTGTGGCCCCACCTCGGGCGGCGATACAGCCACAGCAATGTGTAGAACGGATTAGCACATGTCGCATTATGAAGTTACAGGAAACAATGTGCAGTCACTCTGCACCCACGTCTTCAGCCCACTCGAGCATGGCTGTTGAAGGGAAGCCTTCGAAGAGAGCGTTGGTCTGGGAAGGGTCAATAAAGTGTACAAGTAGTGAACCCGGACATACCTTGCCCAACTCGAGCACCGCGTCGGACACGCCGTTGTCCAGGGATGCGAGTTGATCGCGTTTCGCGTGCACGCGCTTCAGGCGTTCGCCGCACTCCTTTGTGAGCTGCTGTCAGCTATCCGTTTCCACAAGGGTACTCACCGAGAGGTATTCCTCGCGCAGCATGCGCCACGACTCATCGTATACGCCGAGGTTGCACGCCGTACTCAGCACCTGTGGCGTGAGGTCAGGTCTGAAGTTAGCTCGTTCGCTCCACCAAGTGCAACTCACCTCCAGGCGTCTGGTCGAGACTCGCCCGGGTGCTCCTCGTTCCATCTCAATCCGTCGTCGACAGTGTCGGCAAAGCGCTGAAGCTTGTGGCGCATGCGGTACTCCTCAAACAGAGAATAGGCACCGTCCATAGCCTCCCCGCGCACTTGCTCAAGCATGCTCTCCCACGCCGAGCGCAGACCATCGGGAGTCTCAGCCGCAATGAGGGGGTAGCACTGGGCCATATCGTCAAGCTTGAGGCGCCCGATGCCTTGCCCCAACGTCTGGATACGCAGAGGGCGGACTAGAGCTTCATAGTAGCGGCCGTACCGGGTCTCGTCGCCATCGTCTATCGGCACTGCGGGGGCGGCGAGAAGTTGCTCGCGTGTCGTGCCCGCTGGTGTTGTTGCGCGCGTGAGCCTGCTGGGTGAGGGCTGATGTTCGATCTCTGAGGGTTTTGGGGTGGAGAAAGCGTTAGGAGGCGGGCGGAGGGTCTCCGGAGAGTCCGTTTCGGGGTTGACGGTCACTCGCCTGGATCGGCGGCGTGGGGTGGTAGGAGCGACATCGGGCTGAGGTTGAGTCTGCGAGGAGGAGGGGCGGGATGTTGGGCGAGTGGACGAGCGAGGAGCTCGCGAGGATGGCTTAGGTTCGGATGAAGCGTGAGGCGCATCTGATTGAGAGGGCTTGGATGCTAATGAGGCCGGCTCGTCGATATCCATGCCTTTCTCGCCTGGCTCCTCTTCAGCGTCAGCGTGTAACCCGCCATCAATCTCCATCTCCTCCAGAGTGTCCCCTTCCGCTAGGGGTTGGAGACCTGGTGGCGGTATGAGCATAGTCGGCTTGGAGGACACGCGTGTAGGGGTGGGGTCTGACTGAGATGAGGGGTATGGTATGCTGGGCGTATCGAGAGTGGGTGGGAGAGGAGTGCCGTCGGGGAAAGCCTGGTAGGGGCCGAACGTGTGAGGGCGTTTTGGAGCGTTGCCCTTTTCTGGGGGAGTGCGTGGGAGAGGCATGGCGAATTGAGGTCAAGCAAATGGGGATGGCGAAGATGATGATGATGGTGACGATTTTGATGACGACGAGAATGTGAACGGTGATGAGCTCGAGGTTGTAAACAACCGGGGAGCATGAGCAACAACAAACAACCCGCTAGTAAAGGGAGGAATGAATAGAGTTGTTGCCCACGTTGAATCCACGTGTATATTTGGTTCCGTGATGTGACCATTATAGGAGCGCGTCAGTGGCGTGACCCTGAAACCCCCTTGCTCTGATGCTCCTGGCGTTGCAATCCACCTTCCCTCCCCTGGTGGTGCTTCCCGTTCAATCATTCATTCATTCATTCATCTCTCTCTCTCTTGCACTCTTCATCATCATCACTCCCACATCAATCATCATCATCCTCCTCGTCGTCGTCCTCATCCTCGTCCTCTCCATCCTCTCTTTCTCACCTCCCACAACTCACAGTTCTCCAGAGCACCCCGGCGTTAGGTATTCACATGCCTCACGTCGCGTGCCGCTCGACCTATCTCAACAGCCCCACTCCCCCCCTCGATCTGTGCGTGACATCTCCCCGCGCATTACCTCTCTCCTCCCCTCCCCTTCCATTCATTCCCATTACTACCACGCCCCCTCATCCTCCCGTTCCCCCTTGCTGACGCTTGCTCGCAGCTGCAGCCGACTACTGTCCAAGTCTTGAACGCGCCTCTTGACATCTTGCCATCACTCTACCACCTCTCCGGACACGTTGGACTGACGCATCATGTACGTATCTCGTGCAGATCTCAACAACGTGTCTCTCCCATTTCATCATACAGACACTGACGTCCAGGTCAGACAGCAGCTCACGCCCGTCCAGTCGCCCCACCTCCCCCTCCTCAGCCCCTCCCCAGCGCCATGTCTCCAACTCGCTCAAGGACCGCATCGCCAAATTCGAGAACTTCGGAGGAGGGTCGAGCGCGCCCGCTCCCGTCCCACGTCCGCTCGGCCAGGGATCCTACTCTCGCGGTGGCCTAGTCGGAAATAGACTCCCCAGCCTCGACCCAAAGACTGCCGGAATCACCGGCGCAGCGGGTCCACGTCGCGTCTCGGAGCGCCGAGACCTTATCGGCAACCGCGTCCCCAGCCTGGGCAATGCCAATGTCGCCGCCGCTCTCGCTCCACGCCACACGGGAGGTAGCGTCGGTAGCGTTCCAGGTAGCGCTACCACCCCTACCACGTCGACCCCGGCCGCCGCGACTACGGCGGCACTGGGGCTCGGCCGCCCCAACCTGCCCAAGAAATATGCAGATGACGAGGCGTCGCAGCCCTCCTCTGAGCGCTCTGTCAGTCCCTCCGGCTCTGCCAAGGGCGATTCCGTCAAAGGCGAGTCGACCACGGGCGGGTCTGGGCCCAGCTCGATCAGCGGCTCGGCCTCCGTGGCTTCCACTTCGGTTGTTTCTGCCCCGGATTCGACTCACTCGGGCTCTGCACCCACTTCGGCAACGTCCTCGCCTGCAACATCACCCGGCGCCCCGATCCCGCCACAGCTTCTCGTCTCCTCATTGCCCACATATGACGATGCTGGCTCGATGACACCACTCTCGACCCGCGCCGAGGCTGGCGAGGACGCACCCTCCGAGTTTTCCATGCCTACCACACCACAAGCAACTAACACCGAGCTCCCTCGCCCCGGATACGACTTGGTTCCCGGGAATCTTGCCCTCGCAGCCGGCCCGCAATCGCAGGCCATGGCCCCGTCTCCCAGCATTTCCTCGTCACTCGTCTCGCAGTACGACCCCAAGTCTGAGGGGGAAGAGAGCGCCAACCTCAAGGACGTTAGCAATGTCAGTACCCCTACCGGGACACCGCGTCAGGCGCACAAAACGCTTGATGACGACGGGTCAATCGCAGGCTCTGTGGCCGGCTCGACACGTGGTTCCACGCGTGGCCCAGATGACCTCGAGGAGAAGGCGACCGCAGCCTCCATCGACAGCGATGACGCAACGCCAGAGCCGGAGGTTACAAAGTCCTCTGCCGGCACCAAGGCGACTGAGCTCGCTCCGCCACACGTACCAGCGGCTGCTGCTGCGGACGAGCCGGAGCCAGAACTGCTGTCGACGGTAGCTGCGACGCCCGTAACTCCGACGCCCATGACTCCCACGCTTATGACCTCTGAAAACGATAGTGGAGCTGCACTCAGCTCTGGGCAGAAGAGCGGCTGTGATACCACCCCGAGGCCAAAGACTGCCACCCAGTCCTCCCCCACCGCAGAAGCGCCCAAGCCTGCGAAACCCCCCGTACAGGCGCCCCTGTCTAAGGAGACGCTTACGAGAGATGAGCAGCCTCCGACCGAGCAGTCGCCCGCGTCTGTGGAGGCATTCAAGACGGAGGAGAAGGGGAAGGGCCCTTCATCCGCTGTTTCCGCTGTCGCCGGAGTCGCTGCATCTCTCGTGCTTCCGGTGGCGGCAGTGGCAACCGTCTTGTCGCAGAACGAATCCGAGCCCTCTCCTTCTGACGCTGCTGGCGACCCTGCTGCTGTTGTTGAGCATGGGCCAACTGCAGTTGCTGCCCAGAGTGCCGTCAAGCAAGGCGCAGAGGTGGATGTGCCCGTTTCGAAAGCAATGGGTGAAGCGACCGCAGCGCCAGCAGCAGCTGACAAGCCTGATGAGGGGATTGCTAAGGGCGACCAGGTTCAGCCTGTGCCGGCGACAGGAGCTGCCATCACACCATCCCTAGGGCCAGCAGCGGCCGTCGCCGAGCCACCTGTCCCCGATGTCGAGGAGCTCGTAGACGCAGTTGAGGCCGAAGGATTCGAGCTGGACCCACCTAAACCCGACAACGTGTCCGATGTGACAACCATTGTTCCTCGTGTCGATTCTGAGGATTCGTCGCCTTTTCCGTCCAGCGGTCTTAGGGACCGCGACGTCACCCCGCTAGGCTCAACACTCAGCAGTCTGAGAATCGACGACACACCGCTTGACCGCGAGGCAACGCCCGTCCCAGACCACCACGACCCGTCGCAGCCGCCGCCCGCACTGGATGACGACAGTGACATTGTGAGCGTCTTGGGTGGGACGATGAGTGAGCGAGGCGATGAGCTTGCCTCAAACCGCTCCTCCATGCCACCTGCTCGAGCTTCATCTGAGCTGGAATTTCGATACGAAGACCTTCACGAGCGGTTTTTTCGCGAGAATCAAGCTAAAGGAGATGCAAGTACCCCTACCGAGAACACTGCCGGCGCGACAGGCGTCGTGGCTCCGGTCGGCACTGAGTACGATGGCTCGAGTGCCGGGAATCAAGAAGCGTCCAAAACCGCTCCGCCGCCCGACCGAGGTGTAACAGCTACTTCAGCTTCCGGGGGAGTTTCAGTCGCTGCCACCACCGCTGGGCATTCTTTTCGTGAAAACATCGGTACGACATCGGCTGCTCGCGTGGATGCGCGCAGCGCAGAGAGTGGTGTCATGAGCTCCCTTCCCTCGGTGCCCACCACCGACCCCAACCGTCGCCCCGTGCAAGTGCACATCGAGCCTTCACCCCACGGCGTCCTGTTTCAGCCGGCGGTGAACGTGCAGGCCCCCTCCCCGCTTGATGCGACATTTGAGAACGGGCAGCGCACGTCTATCTCCAGCTCGTCGTCGGCCGAGACATCGCGCGTTCCTACCCCAGCGCATCCCGCGTTCCCCCGCGCACCGGGCAATGACCTTCCGGACGCCGAGACACCAGCGCGCGGCGCCTCGCCGTCTGGAACGCCGACTCTGGCCTCTGGCGCCGACGGGACAATGCACTCGTTCCCGCCCGTGCCCGACGAAGAGCACCCCTACGTTGAAGTACACGTCGAGCACCACCACGCGCACGCGCACGCACACTCGCACCCCGGCGGCAGCTATTACCACAGAGTGCCGTTCCCACGCAGCGCGTCGGAGCGTGCCGTGCGCACAGTCGCCTTTTCGCCGCCCAAGCGTACATCGTCGCTGCGCGCGCCGCTCACGCCGCCATCTCATGCGCCGTTTGGCGGCCGCATGTCTCCCACGCCCGGAAGCAGCCCGTCGCCCAACCTCAGCGTGGAGAGTTTCGACCGGCCGCCAGGCTCGCGCAGCCCGGGGCGCAAGCGCAACTCGTTCTCACCCCGGTCGCCGTTGCTTGACGACGAGGACCCGGGAGACTTTGAGCCCGGAGAGGGATGGGCTATTGTGAATCGCTGGGAGCCGTGGCGCAGCCCGTCGCAGCACAGCATGTGAGACTTGTAGTGTACTGTATGGTAGTATGGCGATATGACAAGCAGTAGTGTGTGTCACCCGTTGCCACGGTGTGCTTGAGGTATTGAACAAGACGGGACTGCACACAAAGACAAGACACAATGCTATGGTGATACAGTGGCATGGATCCTACACTATGCTGAGGGTGGGTGGGTTGCTTCCGTTCTCTATTGAATCTGTATACTCCTACATGGACACATCGAGTTGCTTCTCGCTAGCGGCGGCGGGCTTGAACTCGCCTGCGTCCGGATTCAGCTTGCTCTCAGCCACAGGCGCCGCAAACTTTCTGCTGGGCGTCATGCCGGTCATGCCGCCCACAATGCCCTCCGGCGCGGGACGGGGGCCGCCGCGTGCAGGCTTGGCGCCGCGCGGCGTTGGGCGCGACGCAGGGTGCGTAAACTTGCAGTCGGCGCGCGTGCAGCGCTCGCCGTAGCGGCATGGACGCTCCTGCGGCTTGTCGTCGAGCGGCGCGTCGAGGCCGCCCTTGATAACGACCTCGACGTCGTCTACGGCGGTGTCGTCGTGCGCCCCGGCGCCGTCATTGGCCTCCTTCTTGCTCAGTGCAGGGGGCGGGATATAGTTGCCCTCCGCATCCTCATGACGATACTGGCATGCCGGGTTCGTGCAGTGCTGGAACTTGCACAAGATGCGGCTCGGCCCTGTCGAAGCGCCGGTGACGGCGGCGGGGGAGACGTGGCTTTTGATGCACTCCGCATCCTTGCAGTCCTTCCCAGCCTCGCACGCCTCCTCGCTCAGTACCATGCCACTCTTCTCGTCCGCCACCGGCGAAGGGTGCGAATAGGTGCACCGCGCGTTGGTGCACCCGACGCCGTACTTGCACAGCGCGCTGGAGAGAGGTCTATCGGGGATCGCGGCACTTCCGTTCTTGGTGGGTACGCTCGTCTTGCCTGTAAATGGCGGCTTCGCCGGAGACCCGCGCAGCGGGCGAGTGGGGCGCTGAGTGTTCTTCTGCTGCTCAAGTTAGCAAATCTGCATGAAGATGACTCACCTCGCTCATTTGAGCCATCTGCTGCGCCATCTGCTGCATGTTGGCCTGCATAGCCATCATCTGCATCATCATAGCCTCCTGTGCGCCAGGCGGCATCATGCCCTGGTTGAATCCACGCTGGAACCCAGGGCCGCCGTTCATCGGCCCCCGGCCGTTCATTGGCATGTGCCCACCGCGCCCATTCATGCCACCACGCATAGGCATGGGGCCGCGCTGGCCCTGCGGCCCGAGACGGTCCATGAGAGAGCGACCACCGTTCCGATCATCGCGGCGATCCGAACGTTCGGGCAGTAGTTCGCGATCGCGCATGGACCGAGGGCCAGTCGGGGCGGAGAGGGGGCCGTCCGGCAAGCGGCGGCGAGTTGAGGGTTCCAGCGTTTCAGGCTCGGCCTTGCGCTTCGTCCCCTCCACCGCCGAGGCGAACATGCGGCTCGAACCGGATGGAATTGCGGCAGGTAACTTGGGCTCCTGGGCCGCTGGTGGTGGGGGTGCAGTCGCCGCCTCCATCTCCCGCTTGATATCGTCGCGACGTTTAAACGCCCAATCCACGAAGTCGGGGTTGAATTCGGCGCCAATGACTGGCAGGTCAGCGGCGCCCTGTGAAATACCAAAGTCACTCACGGTCACCCAGCTCCTCCTTCATGTAAGCGACGGGATCTGCAAAGTTAGTAATGAGGGCGCTGCCAACCTTCCTCGTCCACTTGAACGTACCCGGCTCCTTGCCGTCTACAGAGTTAGCGCAAGCTCGATACCAACAGATGGTACTCACCCAGCAGCACTACGACGTATTCCGCCATGACATTGTCTGTTGTCAGCCCGCTTGTCCAGAACAGCGAAGGACAAGTGCTCACCTCCCTGGGCGGAGTACTCGCGCCTCTCAAGCTCGGCCTGGACCTCTGCCTATAGCTAGTCAGTACTCCTGTTCTCTCCTGTTGTGTATGTCTCACCTGAATCCTTTGCTTCAGTTCGTCGGAAGACATGTTGGTTACGCTGTTGTTGAGAGTGATTGTGGAGACACAGCGACAGTGGTGGTGGCGAACAATAATCAGCTCGGAAGTGACATCAAGCCCTTCATGATGGCGGAGTTTCGGTGATACCCGTCACGTGGCAGATCTGACCATGTGGCACTCACGTGCCACTACAGGGAACCCTTGACGCGTCTGGCGCCAGGGGCATTTGTTTTTTTGTGTTCTGGCTGATGAAACGCGTGTGTAGCATTTGAGGTGTGCCCTGAGACAAACCCCCTGAAACCTCCACTCTGGAGTGAGTCTGGGAGGCCGGAGGACGCTCGTGACCCAATTTCCAGATGTGCCACAACTCGATCTCTCTCTCTCTCTCTCTCTCTCTCTCTCTCTCTTATCTCTCTCTCCTCCTCGCCATCTCGCTCTCCTCCTCTTTCTTCTCACAGCTTCTTCTCCCTCAAGACATGAAGCCAGCCCCCAAACACGACAGGCCAACTCCCACTAGACCCGCTCGCCGCCCACTCTCCGGATCACATTCCCCCTTGGTCGACACCGCCACTGCCACCGTCGGCTCTCCTCCCCGCGTCGGTGGCATGGCCGTCTCACCAACCGACTCTACCCCCATACTTCAACCTCGCCCAAAAGGACCTGGTCAAGTCCGTCTCAAGCGAGCCAGCTACCAATCCTCGGGAACACCAAGTCCACGCTCTTCCCCGGCACTTCGGTCCTCGGCGCTCTTCGACAAGGACACCGGCGTCTCGGGTCGCAGTACGCCTGAGCGGTTTACAGGAACGGTGGCCGAGCGCACGGAAGATGAACTGATGCGTGCAAGCAGGGAGGCTCTTCAGGATGCCCTCCGCAAAGAGTGGTCCCAGAACGAAAAGGTGCGTGTGCGGTAACGGGGGGAAAACGGCTGGCGGGCGGGACCGGCCGCACAAACCCACCACCCAGCCCCAGTCTGCGGCAATGGCCAAATGGCCTACATAGTCAGCAACGCCAAAGCAGTGACCCTCAATCACAAAGCGGACTGTGGGCCAGGGCGCTGAGCGATGGCTGGGTAAATGTCTCCATAGCTCACAGCCGCTTGCGATGGGTCCAGCGTGGTGGACGAGATCCTCGAGATGGTTCAGACGTGTTGACCTGCAAAGGAAGGTGCACGCTGCCCAACCCTCCCTGCACACCACGCAGTTGCCACGCACAGGCATCACATCACACATCGTCACACACCCCCCCCCCCCCTCACTTCGTGCATCGTGCATCGTGCTCACACTCGATTAGCTTGTCGCACAGGTCGACGACCTGACCACGGGCCAACGCGATCTCGAAGCTCGGATCGCAGAAATGGAATCGGCCAACATGGCATTGCGCGACAAGTTTGACGCCTCGTTCGCCGCACAGGGCGAGATGGAAGAGCATCTCGAGGGCGCCAACGACATCATCGACCATCTCCGGCGCAACCTCGAGGACGTCGAGCGTCAGCTCCGACAGCAGCAGCGCCGCTATGCCGACCAAGTGAGTTTGCGCCCGTTCCTGAACGAGGAACCCGATGCGACATGTCTTTGTCAGAGGCTGACGTCTTCACAGGAGAAGGCCTTCGAGGCAGAACGAATGGTGCACCAGGCGGACCAGAATCACCTCGTTCATCGGATAAAGTCCTTGACCACTGAGCGCATTGCGCGGCCAAGTGGAGAGGATGGTGACAAGAATGGAGCGACGGCAGCACTGCAAGAAGAGCTTATCACCCTCTCAGCAAGTCACCAAACGCTCGTCGCGCAGCTCACAACACTTGCGGACGAGATGCACGAGATCAAATCGGAAAACTCGCGTCTTATAGAGGAGAATGAGAGCTGGCAGCTGCTAATCGAGGAGCGCACGCTCGCCGGCCACATGAGAGGCGGCCTAATTCCGGAGGCCTCGACGTCGCCACCCCCCGGCGAGGGCGCGATCACTCCCTCTTCTATCAGACGCAAGGAGCCCAGCGCGCTCGAGACACTCGAAGAGCAGCTCGAGATGGATGAACTCCACTCCGAACTTGACGCGCAACAGCCCATCTTTGAGGAGTCGGATCGCGCGCTTCTGCGCGTCACCTCTGGCGGCTCGTACAACATTGACCTCACATCCCCGACACGCCCCAATGGCCACTCCCTGGCAACCGAACTCGGCTCCATGGCGGAAATGGAAGACGTCCGCTCTCAAGTCAAGGCGCTCAAGGAAGCCAACAAGGCTCTGTCGCTTTACTGCTCCAAGATTCTCGACCGCATCATTGCATCTGAGGGGTTTGAGCACGTGCTCTCAGTTGATTACCGCACACGCCGCGGCACTCGGTCACTCGCAAATGGCAAGATTCGGCCCAGTGTCCTTGAGCTCGCTGCAGACATGGAACAGAATGGCCCCCCACCGCTTCCCGAAGCGCTCCCTCACCCGCCCGCAAAGGAAACTACTCCCCCCACCCAACCTCCCGCGCCCCGTGCACGCCCACAAAGCATGTACGTCACTTCGTCGGTTACGCCTCCAACCCCGCCAGCCGTCCCAGCCGCTGCGTCTTCCAAGGGCCCTGTCCTTGCTGCGAAGGACGCGGACAAGCGAGCTCGCAGAGGCTTCTCAATTGACTTTCGGTCGCTCGGTTTTGGGGCGCCAGAGAAGCCCGAGCCCAAGCCACAGCTCAAGCCTCTGCAGCTGGCATCACGCGCGGCGCCGGCCGGGCAGAGCCCGCCCAAGGCACAGTCGTCACCGGCTGTGACTCTGAGCCCAATCAGTTCCGGCGGCGCCTCCGTTGCTCGCAAACTGGCGCCACAAGAGGAGGATGAGGAGGACCGCCGCGAGCGTGCACGCATGGAGGCCAACCTCAAGCTGATGGGTATCACGTCGCCTGTGTCCGAGACGTCCTCGTTCGAAGAGAAGCCGGCAACACCATCCGCCACGGCCGTTTCCGGTGCAGCAGGGTGGCTTTCACGCCGTCTGTCGCGCGCGAGTGCACCGGCCGCTGCACCTGCGCCCACTCCACCAGAGGGCCAGCGTGGCAGCACCACGCCACTCTCGCGTCTGAGCACTGCGCTGAGCGACTCATCCTCGACGCGCATCGACCTGGACACGCAGGATCCCGAGGCCGCGCTGCGCGCATTCGACGCGCGTGAGCGCGAGCAGGCTCGCCTCCTCGCCGAAGGCAAGAATGCGACCGCATTCACTGCACCGCCAAAGCCTTCGGCTCGCCGCAACCGCAGCAGCAACGGGAGCACGCTGTCTCGCCACAGCGCACAGAGCTTCAGCATGAGCGGGACGAGCAGCGCGACATCGCCGTCCGTGAGCGCAGGTGGAGGGGGGGGTGCCGTCGAGACAATTGCGGACAAGCCGCTCGTTACGAGCCCGTCGCACCACCGCGCGCGTGAGAGTATCAGCACGCTCTGGAGCATGGGATCGAGCCACGATCACGAGTAGATTTTTTTGTTGGCCTTGCGACGGGGAGACGAGCAGGAGGTTTCTTGTCACGTTCTTGTTTATTGTGCATTAGTTACGTCACGACCGCTACGACATGTAATATATGCATAGGTGTTTGTGTTGTGTTAACAGGCGGGCCAATGCAGAGTTCGACGACTTGCCGCATTACCAGCCTTCCAGCCATGCCCGCCATTCCTCTCAAGACACTGCGTGCATCACTCTCCCCACGACATCACTATATCTCAACACTCTCCGGGATGGCGTACGCCTCGGCGTCTACGTCACCCATCCAGCGCCACGCGTCGAACCGGTGGTTGAGATCGCGGCGGCTGTGTACGCCAAAGCTGCCCTCGAACCCGCCCGCCCGTGGCCGGGGGAAGACGAAGAAGACCTCACGCACGCGCGAGTGCAGCAGCGCCATGGCGCACATGACGCACGGCTCGTGCGTGACGAACAAGCTCATGCTCGTGAGGAGGTAGTCTGCGCCGTTGCGGCTGGGGGTGATCTCGGAGAAGGGCGGGGCGGTGCGCAGGCGCGCGACCGCTGCGATGGCGTTCAGCACCGCGTGCCGTAGCGGGTGCGCGCACGATGTGCGCGTATCCGCCGCGGCGCCGCGCAAGCCGTCCGTCGGCGGAATGAAGCCGTCGCTGGGCGGATACAGCGCCTCAGGCGGAGACGCGACGTACACGGCGACAGGGAGCTCGCCGCGTACCTTTGCAGCGCGCGCGTCCGCCAGGACGCGCTCGATCCCGGCGCGCACCCACGAAAGCTTGGCTGCGGAAAAGCCACGCGCGTCGCTGTACCGTGGCATGGCCGGGGCGTAGAGCACCGGCCAGTATGTGTTGCGCACACGCAGCTGCTCGGCCGTCTTGGCCGCCGCGCGCGGGGTATCAACGACCTCGACGGGGAGTGCGCCAAGCCGCTCGTCGAACTCCGCCAACCGTGCGCGCAACTCGTCCTCGCTGAGCGTGTCGACCATAGCCGCTGCGACCAGCACCCGCTCCTCGCCGCCCGTGCCAGGGATGCGCCGGACGCGCTTCAGATGCCGCATACGCTCGTCCTGCGGCACACCCTTCTTTGTGAAGTCGAGCACCTCCTTCATAAACGTCCCTGGTGTCGCATCGATCGCCCATACTTTGACTTAGATCAGCGCAATCGCGATTTAGGTTCTCACTCAGTGCGCTGTTGTCGTCCTCTGCCTCCTCCTCCATCTCCACAGGTCCACGAGCGCGACGCAGCACACTCCACTCCGCCTCCGGCAGCTCGCTCGGACCAGCCTCATCCCACTCGAGAGCTGACGGCACCTCGACTGGACCCTCCCTGCGCGCATTGTTGCTGTCCGAGTGAAGGGCTGGCGGGAGGTTGGCAGGCCGCTCCTCCATAGGGAACAGGGAGGAAGATGGAGCAGCGGAAGGAGTGTCAATCGCTGTTGACGCGCTCAGCAACCCCTTCCCGTTCATCGCGGGTAGAGGCTGAGGCGCGACAATCGCCTCTTTGGCCATATTCTTCTCCTGCTTTGCACGCCACTTGGCGCGCCGCGCCTCCTTGGCCGAGTGTGTGCTGCCGCCAGCTTGGCGGCGGGTCTCGCGAGCGCGCTCCTTAGCCTCCCACGCTTCGCGTTCAGCCTCGTTGTCGTCAATCTGCAGCGCAGCAAGACGCTCCGACCCGTCGCCGTCGTCGCTAGGCGTTGGCGGCCGCGGGCGCTGCCCAGTCGGCAGGAACCACAGCTTGGTCTCGTCGGCGCTGTAGCAGATACACAGTTCCTCGTCGGGGTCGACGGCCCGGCTCGTCGTGAAGCGAATAGTGCCGGCTGCAAAGTCGCGGATGAAGTTGACGTTGGGGCTTGAGGAGTGGTTGAAGAGTGAGGCTGTTGTGACGATGTTGCAAGAGGGAGGGAAGTGTGCGAGAACACGTAAGGAATGTCGATCGAGACAAACAACAGGCATGCGATCAAGGTGTCGTTGTGCACGTAGTGTGTTTGTCAAGGGGAAAGCCGTAGGCCGTGTCCGAGATTCGCAAGAGGTGGCGCGTGCGGTGTTCCAGACGCGAGCGGAGATGGCAAGACACAGTGCGGGACATTGAAGCGCGGTCACGGGTGAACGATTAGTATCAGTACCATCCCGTATCCAACTTTCCTCAACCACCGACTCACCGATGCCCAAACCCAGCGCCATGCCGCCGTTCGCCCAGCAAAACCCGTACTCGCCCAACACGGTGTCGTCCATCCGCCCGTCCTCCCACTGCTGCTTGGTGAGCACGAGCACCGGCGCGTCCTCGAGCACCGTGCCCGCGGGAATGGGCGCGCGCGCGAACACGCCGCGGCCGCGGCCCTCGCGCTCCTCGACCCGCAGTGCGAGCGGGTTGATCGTCCCCGTGCTCGTGCCCGTGCTTTTGCTCGTGCTCGAAGTTGCGGTCGTGCTCGACGTCGCGGTCGGGGGCGGGGAAGGAAGGGTGGAGTGGGGCGGCGGGGACGTCGAAACTGGCCCGGGCCGGCTTGGGCCCGCAGAGGGGAGACTCATGGATGTCGCGGTGATTAGTGAAAGGTGTAGTGTACGAAGTGGGACAGAGCGGGTCGGAGGTGACAGTTGGAGGCGTCGGAAGCGTTCAAAACGAGTCGCCAAGTGAAAATAAGTTGGAGATCGCATGACGCTGGAGGGTTTATCCGATGTTTATGCGCCATCATTCGTCGCTGAGGACATGTTCCGCACCACCGAGGCCGACGTTCCATCTGCAGTACACACCACTGGCACCTCTGCAGAGAGGTGGTTGGGGCCTTAGGCGGGCTACAGTCGTTCCAGTGCTGCATAGATGGCATCGGCGGGCGGCCAGTGCAACAGACGCTTGGGCGAGCTCGGACTGCCGACAGGTGGAACGCTGAGAGTCTGGATCGGGTGACGGCGTTTTTGATCTTGCGCGGATGCACAGGTACAGAGCGTCGAGATCGCGCCCCAGCACGTTGCTTTTTACAGCATGTTTTCCGGGATGCGCATAGCTGCATGTTTGAGACGAGACAGGAAAGTGGACATGGACATGGACATGGACATGGATCTCTAGATCGAGGCAGTCACGCCCCGCCTCGCACCTGCGCACTCGTCACCACGATGGAGGTTGCTGGGGGCGTGAGCGAGATCGCGAGATCGCGAGAGACACATGAAGCCATTCCATGTGATGGTAATACCGTCAAGATGGCGCTTGGATGATCTGACCTGGTCCAATGCAGTTACACAAGGAGGAGAGCATTGCTCCGACACGCTCGTCGAAAGAACCTCGCTCCATGGCCATCCCACCCACATCGCCTGGGAAAGCACGTACACCCGACATGCATCTGACACGGCGAATACAACCTTCTGATGCAGTCTAGAATGCATGTCACAGCTTCGGCCCTAGCTCAACCGCACTTGCTCGCACGGCACAGTTTGCTACGCGAGCACGCCCACACCTACGCACACAATCTAGTTGATACCAAGCTTCTTGTCCTCGGCGGCAGCCTCGGCGAGCTTCTGGCGGAAGAGCTTCTCGGCGTTGGTCCACACGGGCTCGTTGGCGCGGTTGGGCAGGGTGAGGAGGTGGGGGAGGAGGTCGGTGGAGAACTGCTCGCTGGCCTCGCGGGGGAGGAGGGTGGGCAGGTGGTCGATGGAGATGACGGTGCAGCGCTTGTCGAGGCCGCCGACCTCGACGGTGGGCTCGGGGAAAGTGGTGTTGATGTCGTAGATCGGGATAGGGTTGTGCGGGTTGGTAGTGTCGCACGAGACGTCGACGACGACGGCGAGGCGTCTCTCAGGCCCGGCGGCGTTCATCGTGTCACGCGTCACAAACTTGGGGATCGGCTGCGACAGGTAGATGCAGTTGACGAAGATGTCGACGTCGAGAATCTCCTGGAACGGCCCACCCTTGGCCGTCTCGGCCATGTCCCACTTGAGGATGTTCTCCTCCTTGAGGCCGGCCTTGCGGAAGAGGTCGACGGCGCCCGAGCCGCAGCGGCCGAGCGCGCCGATGACGAGCACGCGCACGTTCTCGGCACCGCCGGCCTTGTTGAGCGCCGCGCTCACCTCGGCGACCATGGCGTCCTCGTTGGGGTACGGCTTGAGGCCCTTGAGCACACCCTTTCCGCCGTCCTCCTTCTGGGCGGCGTACGCGAGCGCGCCAGCCGCGGCGCCGGCGAAACCAGCGTGGAAGCCAAAGGCAGCGACACGGCGCTTCGTCACCGGGTCCTCAAGGAACTCGAGGTCGTAGAGCGTGCCCTTGCCCTTGGCGAAACGGCGGAGGACATCGTTCCAGCCGCCCTGCTGCTTGTAGCAGTGCGCGAACTGGATGTGGGTGTGGGGGAGGGGCTCGCTGCGGTCAGCGGATATGTGTTGTGGAGGGAGAACTTTGCGCATAAATTCCCACGGGCTGGTCACACATATCAAAGTCTACCACAGAGTGACGACTGCTTGATAAGGCAACACACGGGCCCGGCCTGCAGGTTCACCGATCGCGTCCAACTCACTCAGACTCGGGCAGCTCCTTGAGGCCAATGATGGGGACGTCGTGGGGGGCACTGGGCCACGAGTTGTGCTCGACGATCTTGGCGCCAATACTTGTCATCAGCTGTGTCGCCAAAGCTAGAGAAACAGACTTACGCCTCAAACTCGGCATCGTCAAAGATGCGTTGGGGGTCGCGCTCGACGTAGACGTCGAAGCCGGCGTCAAGGAGGGTCTTGGCGGTGGTGGGGGTGAGAGCGGAGCGGTGCTCGTGAGGCTTCTTCTCACAGCGGAGCCAGAGGGGCTGCTTGGTGGTGGCCATTTTGATTGAGAGAGGGTGGGTGTTGTGAACTGAAGATGCAAAGTGGAGTCGGAGTCGTCTCGGATCGTCGGGCAATCAAAGTCCGCACTCATCTAAAGTGGAGGGACCTGATACACTTGGAGCTTCCCTACTCGGTAGAGTATAATCCCCCGGGATCACTATTCCGGCCTCTTCGCTTGATTGCCTCCAGATCAAAAGAGCTATTAATACGCAACGCCACTGCTCTTATCGACAGTACATTACGCCCTGCTCCATACCGACAATATTACGTTACATGCTCAGTTCGAAACTACGGACTGTATGGACCTAACAAGACTCGAGGCGAGTCTCTACTCACAACTACACACTACTCATGAACCAGATCAAATGCACCACTACACGACTCTTTAGTTGAGCTTGTAGACGGCATTGATCTTGTCCTTGTAGTGAGTCTCGATCGTCTTGCGCTGCAGCTCTGTAGGGGTGGTCAGCATGTATTCTTACACAGACACTTTGGGCAAGCAGGTTCCACTCACTCTGCGCAGCAGTAAGGAACCCAGACTCGGGAGTCCACTCGTCAGGCGTAAGGACAATGGCCTCGAGCAGCTCCATTCCCTTCAGACCCTGCTTCTTGCCAATGTCGTTCATCTCCTTGAGACACGCCGTGACAACAGCGGGGTCCTCGCAGTACGCGTCGAGGTCGCCGTGGTCGCCCAGGCCACGCTGCTTGGCAAACGCAGGCAGGTTGACGGGGTGGGCCATGATGACCATGGCGGGGTGGGTGTGGTTGGCGTTCGCGATGACACAGCCGTTGAGAACAAAGCTGGCCGACTTGTACACCGACTCGAGGTGCTCGAGCGCAATGTACTCGCCGCCCTGAAGCTTGACGAGGTTCTTGATACGGTCGATGATCGACAGGGTACCGTCCTTGTTCCACTGTCCGACGTCACCAGTCCTGAACCAACCGTCCTCGGTGAAAGCCTCCTTGTCAAGATCGGGGCGCTTGTAGTAGCCCTTGAAGATGGCGGGACCACGAAGCAGAACCTCACCCTGCGGCGGGTTGTTGGTGCTGAAGTAGCCGGCCTCGGCGACGTCGACAAGCTTAATCTCGGCACCGGGGACGGGACCGCCGACCGCGTTGTAGCGCATCCAGTCGGGGTTGAGAATGCAGGCCATAGCAGTGCCCTCGGTAAGACCGTAGCCTGCGGGGATGTCAGCAAAAGGTCGTGTAAGGCGGGCATGAAGAGCAGACTACTCACCCTGGATCATCATGACGAGGGCGGTCGAGAGGAACTTTTGGGTCGACTGCGAGACGGGGCCACCACCGCTGAACAGAATCTTCAGGCGACCACCGGTACCAGCGCGGACAGTGTTGAAAACGACGGCGTCCGAGAGGCCAGCAAGACCTGGAATGTGGTACTCCTTGCCAGCAGTCTTGGCCTTGAGGGCAAGGTTGAACACGGCCTTCTTGACGGCACCACCTCCCTCAACCTTGCCGAGGATACCCTTGCGGATAATCTCCCAAACCTGGGGCACACCGACCATGATCGAGGGACGGGCCTCCATAATGTCCGACTTGGACTCGCGGACCGAAGCGTCGGTGAGAGTCTTGACTCTACCGTAGGCAATGGGGAGACCGGCAAAGATGAACGACATCTCGACGACAAACTCGAGAATGTGGGCGAGGGGAAGGAAGGCGAGGTAGGTGTCGTCGGGGGTGAGGTACTCGTAGAGGAGCTTCCAGACAGAGCCGACTGCACGTTAGTTGGCGGACGCAAGCGTTGACTCACTGGCAGAGGTGACGTTGCCGTGGGTTAGCAGCACGCCCTTGGGGGTACCAGCTGTACGTCAGCTGTTTGATTACTCTGAATACTCACTCGAGCCCGAAGTGTACATGCAGCAGTACACGTCCTCACGGTTGGCGGGGACGGCCTCCTTGGGGGCAGCCTTGCCCTTGGCGCGAACCTCGTCGATGTGGATAAGAGTGATGCTGTCACGGATCGAGCGGAACTTTTGCGTGGTGGCCTCGTCGACGTGCTTGCCGTCATAGACAACAAGACGGACAGTGGGGCACTTGCCGATGATCTTGGCCAGAGTGCCAAGAAGGTCAACATTGGTGAACATGGCGCGGACCTCGGTCTCATTGAGCGAGTGCGCGAGACCTTCGGGGCCAAGCGAGTCGTAAGCCGTGCAAATGGGGACAGCGTTGAAAGCACAGGCCTGGGCCATGAGCATCCAGTGGCGACTGGGGAGGGCATCAGCATCTGGTCAGCCGAGCTCAACCTACTGGGTCGAAGCGTAAATGTTGAAGAAGGTCTCGCCCTCGCTGCCGACACCGAGCTCGCGAAGACCCGAACCGATGTCGCGAACCTCCTGAAGCGCCTGCTCGTACGAGATCCAGTCAAGGGGGGTGAGCTTGTAGTAGGTCCACTCCTTGTCGACCTTGGTCTCCTGGCCATTGACAATCTTGGTGATCTGCTTGCTCTCGGAGATGGTACGCTCGATCTCGCGGGCGCCAAGAGCATTCTTGGAGCCGTGGGTGCGGGCGGCATAGAGCATCACATCGTGGACAGTGTCGATGCCAGCCTCGGGACCTGAGGAGGTCAGCGCATGCCCGAACAGTCAGAAGAGGGGAAGCTCTGGACCACGGGTGACGAGTGTTCGTGCGGACCGGGTCGCAGATGTCTGAGCAGAAGAAACGTGGCCTCCACCTCATTCCGCTCTCCTTGCGTGTCTCCTCACCCCACGACCCCGAGGCTCCAGCGGCCACTGGTGTTCGGTGATTGATAACCGTCGTGGGAGGCGGTGCACGGACTGTCGCCAAAAGCAGAATTTGCCTGGGGCGCTCGGTTGCGGGGTGTGGGTCGGTCTGGGACCCCTGTGACTCCCCGCAACGTACCACGCACCACCAGCAGACGAGGTGCCAAGCAGCTAGCTGCCAGCAGCCGGCGACCAGCCAACTGTTTGTTGGTAGCCAACTCGGCTCCGAGGATCGTGTGCAAGGCGGAAAGCTGCATTCGCGCCCGCCAAGGCGGTACGGGAGAGCCAGTGAGGTGTGCTGGGAAGTATTGGGGAGATTGTGGGATCTTGGCCGTGACGTGGCTGGGGTGTGCGGAGAAATGACGCCAGCGTCTGTCTGGGATGACCGCCACCGGTCCCGCGACCAACTCGCCCAAGACGTCGGCTAAGCTTATTGGCTTGGCCCCGAGACGTCGACGCACGACGCACGACGCGCAATGAATGCATAACGCACCGTGCGGGCGTCAGGAGGTGTTGGAGGCCAGTAATCGGGATTCGATGCCCGCCCGCCCGACCGCCCTTGCGCCCCCCCCCCGCACGAGCAAGGACACAAGACGTAGACCGATGCACCGAAAAGTGACGAGGTCCGTGTTTCCGCTCGCCCATGGACGCCACTTTTGGATCCGATCTCTAGCGCTGTAGCGGTGCTGTGGGGGATCTAACAAAAGGCAGTTGCCCCCAAAGAGATCGCTGGCGCGCTGATGCATGTGACGTGGAGGGGATTGAAACGATGGAGCATGGAGGATGGAGTGGGGAGGTTGTGGCCACTCTCCCCAACAAGATGAGAAGGGAAGGAAGGCGGCGACCCCGTGACCGGCGCCAAGACAGAGGAGGTTACTACGACCAAGGTCGGCCGTGACACTCGCAGCCAAAAGCCGCCACCGCGGGGTGCGCGGGTCTGTTGAGCTGGCCGAACGGACTGTCGCCACCTGCTACCTGCCATCTGAACTGCGCGCTCGTCGCAGTCGGCTCATCGGGAGAACGAGAACGGAGGTGGGGAATCACAGCGATGCGATACTCACGGAGAACGAGGTCCTTGGCGGCGTAGGAGCGGTGGATGCGGGTCTCGCCCTCGGGCTTTGGCTTGTCGGCGTCGACCTCCCAAGAGGCGGGCTCGTTGCCCTTGCGGGGAGCCATTGTGGTAGGGGGGTTGTGGGGGGGGGGGGGGGGGGGGGGGGGGGGGGGGGGGGGGGGGGGGGGGGAGTGAGGGAGGGAAGGGGTGAGTTGGGTTGAGGTGGGGATTAAGACAGCGGCGTGGACTCCGCTGCTAGTGTGGGTGTGAGGTGTGAGGAGGGCTAGTAGATGGGGAGGAGGGAGATGATGAAGTTGAGAGAGATGATGAAGATGAGAGAGATGATGAGGATGAGGATGAGGATGAGGATGAGGATGGGGAGGAGAGTAGATGATATGTATGGTGAATGTGTTCCCCCCCGCGGGTCACGATGACCTTTACCCTGAGCCCACACTCTGTACAACTGTACACCGGATACCTCTGTGGACCCTGAGGACCATGATCCGGCAACTTGACCCGCGTTGGATTGCCTGAGGGAGGGAGGACTCGGGGGGGGCACTACTTCCTCATTCGGTATATTCAACCCTGCCCCTCTCTGTACCTCTGGTGTCTCTCTTTCTCTTTTCTCTCTGTGTCTTGTGTTCTACTGCGCCTCCTTGAGCTCATCGTTTGTCTCTCAGCGAGGGGCGATGTGGACTGCGCCTCAATGCGCGTTGCCCCAATGTATTATACTGTAGCAAAGCTTCTGAATCCTCGACGCGCGAGACAAGTCTCACCGAGCCATGGGCCACCTGTGGCGTTCTTGACTGGCTTGACTGGGTCATATGGCCTTGGCCTCGACGACCTCACTCTTCTGCCCCTCTCCCCCTCGCCGTTGTCATCCTTGGCTTGGCATTCTCTTCGCCCTCTCATACCCCCCACACCCCGCCCCTCCCCCTCCTCCCTCTCATGACGTTGCACCGACAAGACCTCGGCGCACTCTATTCGCTCTCATCTCCATGTTCTGCTTCTTAGCCCAAATATCCCAGATCTTACTCGTAGAGACACACATAACTTTCGGTTCGGCAGATGGGGGTGACTCACAACTGTCCTTTTCATGGTGCCCCTCTCAGAGAGACCTTGGCACCTCATCTGTTGAATTATTCCCACGAGCACAAAGCGTGACTCGTACTTTGTGCTTGTTCTCTTTCCCGTCCTGGTCGGCTTGTCGGCTCGGCTCGCGGCTCGCGGCTCGCGGCTCGTCCACAGTCAGCCGGGGATTAATAGTCGAGGGCGACGCTGAGGGGGGTTAACGGGGCGCCGCCGCGGGGCGTGGAGTCTGCCAGTCTCATCCAGTCTCATCCAGCCTCATCCTCTGTCTGAGAGAGGATCGAGCGGAGCGTCAGAAATGCCCCAAGACTCAGACACTCGGAGGGGCGTGAGCTTTTCCACCAAGCCCTCGTCAGCAACATTAGTCCTCGGCGCGCTCTTCACCGTGCGATTGCGTACCTTACAGTATGCGCAGCACATACCCCTTCCCGCTGCCCGCTGCCAGTGCGCGTGCGTGCGCGCGCAGGGACATGGCCCAGCGCATCCAAATTTCTACTGTACACATACGCACAGATAACGAGAGATCGAGGCCGCGTCCGCCGCGCCGCTGCGCGCGTCGGCCTCGCTCGGCCCGCGCCCGGCAAACAAGTCCAGAGTTGCCGGGTGTGCCTGGCGCTCACATGTCCATCTCTTTCGGGGGCAGCCGCGGCGCGTGCCGCCGTGCTGCTGTGCGTTCGTGCGCTCTTGTGCGCTCTTGTGCGTCGCGCGCTCGTCGCTCAATGCTGTCTCGGATGCACCATGCGGCCAGTGCCAGAGCCTCAGCAGGCCAGAGCCTCAGCAGGCCAGAGGCCAGCGGCCAGCGGCCAGCAGGAGCCAGAAAGCCGCCCGCCAAAGCTAGCTTGGCGCTCGCCAGATGCCACAGGCCACAGGGTTTCGCCCGCACAGGCACAGCGACAACCCCGCCCACGCCCCCACCGGCAGACTTGGCCTCCCGACGCGCTCTACGATGGCCGTGCAGCTGTCTCAGCTGTCTCACTTTGACAACTGCTTGAGGCTTTGGTTGACCTGGATGGCAAAAGCGGGAGGGGCAAAGGCACCACTACTGAGTGCATTGGTGAATCGCGGCGTCGGGGTGGCGTCGAGGGCCAAACGCCCTGATCGTCTTGCGGCCTGGCCTTGGGCGCTCACTCCGACCACGACGGCTGGAGGCTGACGGCCAACGGCCGACGAGCGTTCGCGCTGGCGCAGGCGCTACTGGGCGCACTTTGTACGCTGGCGAGGCAAGAGAAGGGGCAAGTGATCTGGCTTCTGCTAGACTCTGGCGCCCGTTAGGTGACCGGGCCGGGCGTAGATGACGATGGTGGGATGAGAACATGAGGAGAATTATGAGCAACACCCGTGATATCAGAACAGATATGTAGCATCAACGGCGGCCAAGACTGAGCGCGGCACGGAGAACTACAGAGATAGCCGGAGAGCGCGGGTTGTGGGCCACCACGGAGGGCGGGTTGAGAAAAGCTCGTCAGCGTCTGCGGGGTAGCTCCAGTATCTTGGAGGCCCGCGGGTGAGGATGACCATCGGCCTGACTTGCGATAACCAGGATGGCTGCGGAGGTGGCGGCGAGGCTAGCCACTTTCCTAGCTACCAGATGCGTACAGACATGGAGACACACAGTGACCCTCGCTTACACCAGCGAGCATGCCCCGATGTCGCCGCAGTGCATCTTTGCTGTCCGCCAAACTACTCTTACGATGGCATGCAGCCTGACGCACACCCACATCCCCCGGAAGCAAGGACCCGGCGCCGATGACCTCACCTCCACCCTCTCACCCTCAGCGGCAAACTCGAACGCCCCCGACCACCCCCGCCCCACCATCTCGCCACCGCCCATCTCATCATGTACATTCCCATCTTGAGCTCGACGTTTCCCGAGCCCCGCCCCGGCCCCCACGCAACAGGATACGCCGTCGCCCGCATCCCCGTCGCCCCGGGCGAGCGGTACGTCGGTGGCCCAAAGCTCAAAACGGGCGCCCCCGCTCTTTCGCTCACCGAATCCGTCCTGGCCATCTACTACCCGACACCGCCCCGCCCCCTAGCAGCCGGCGTGCCATGGGTGCCCGAGCCCCTCGCGGGCGCTGTCGCAGGCTACGCGACGTACCTCCGCAAGAACTTTGGCTCGTGGAGCGCATGGGCGCTCGGCCTCGTCCTCGGGCGCGTCCGCATGCCCGTGCACGCCGCTGCGCCCCCATCGGCCGGTAGGTTCCCACTCGTCCTCTTCTCCCACGGCCTTGTCGGCACGCGTAACACGTACTCCCACTTCTGCTCGTCGCTTGCGAGCGAGGGGTATGTCGTCGTCGCGCTGGAGCACGCAGACGGCTCGGGGCCGTGCGTGATTCGAGAAGGCGAGGAGCGGCTGTTCACCCGTTTGGGTCAGACAGAGTACGTTCTCGCATAAATAACAAAGAGAAGACAACTAACTTCAAGCCTCTGGACGGACGATGGCACCGACCCCGCTGTGGCGCCCCAGATGATGGTGTGGCGCGCGCACCAACTTGATTTCCGCGTGCGCGAAGTCTACGCTGCATACAACGGCTTCAAGCGTTTCCTCTCTGGCGAGGGGGAGACAGACGGCGAGGTATCCCTCGCGGACCAACTGAAAGACAAGGTGGACGTCCAAGACCTTCAGCTGATGGGACACTCCTTCGGCGGCGCGACGATCCTCCGCCTCCTCCAGACGGCGCCGCACGCCGAGCCACTGCCCATCAAACGCGCCGTCCTCCTCGACCCGTGGATGGAGCCTTTTGGCCGCGTCCTCCCATCCTCGCCCGCGACCACCGCAGCTCCCGCCACGCAGATCATCAACAGCGAAGACTGGGCGAACAACAGCTTCTTCCCCGCCGAGAAAAAGGCAGCGCGGGATCTCGGCGCTGCGCTCTGCTCCATCGTCGGGCTCGGCCACCAGGGGTTCTCGGACTTTGGTCTCCTCAGCCTCAAGTCCAAGGCGCGCGAGTACCTCCAAACCATACATACCCTCACCATGGCGAGACTGCGCGACCAGCCGTACCCGCTCGAAGGGGAGGAGGATGGCGGCGAGCCGCGCCGAGTAGAGGGTCGACTTGCCGGCGAGCCTGGAGATGTGATCCGCCACTTTTAACTGTCCGTAGATGTTCTAGATGTTCCAGTAGATGGAGTAGCCAACGGTCAGTCACCACATGACATCACGAGCTACCAGTCTCACCTCCAGCCTGAGATTAGCAGATTAGACAAGCTCGATTTAGCCGGCAACCGGGCATCCGAACGCCGGGCCGGGGTGGAGGTATCCCTCAGCCCATCTCCCACCCTCCTCGCTCTCAACTCTAGACCATGTCCATGTCCCGCCGCGGCATCGCCTCTCTCCGCCTCCTCTCGCGCACGCCCCACACCCGCGCCGCCGCCCGCCTCGCCGCCGTCTCCGCCCCCCTCCTCGCCCGCCCGCTCCACTCCACCCCGCGCTCGCTCGAAACCATGCGCTGCATCCTCATCAAGGACGGCAAGGGGCCCGTCGAGAACCTCTACCTCGGCGAGGAGCCGACGCCGAGCCCCAAGAAGGGCGAGGTGCTGGTCAAAGTGGGTGTGGGTAATGCAGCGCTGATGCCAGATTGAGGTGGGTTTGTGCCGGCGGCACTAATGGCTCGGCTTGCGCGCGAGAAGCTCACACCAGACTTTCGGCCTCAACCGCATGGACCTCCTCCAGCGTGAGGGCAAGTACAACCTCCCCCCGCAGGCTAGTAAGACTGTCCTCGGCGTCGAGTTTGCCGGGACCATCACGGAGCTCGGCGAGGGCGCGTCGCAGTACAAGGTCGGCGACGAGGTGTTTGGACTTGCTTTTGGTGTGAGTTGTCGTTTCCCCTTGCATTCATTTCCCCTGCCTCCTCCCCTACCTATGCTCCCCGCTTCTCGCTGACCTCCAGGGCGCATACGCCGAGTACATCGCAAGCCCCGAGGCCATGCTCCTCCCCAAGCCCAAGGAGCTGAGCTGGGTGCAGGCCGCCGCTCTCCCCGAGAACTGGATGACTGCGTACCAAGCCCTCTTCCTCGAAACGGGCCTGAAGGAGGGCGAGAACGTCCTGATCCACGCCGGCGCCTCCGGCGTCGGCGTCGCGGCAATCCAGCTGGCGCTGCAGACCGGCAAGGCCGGCAAGGTATTCACGACGTGCGGCAGCGACGACAAAGTGGCCTTCCTGCAGAAACTGGTGGACAACGACCCGCGCCTGCACGTGATCAACTACCGGACGCAAGACTTTGAGGAGGAGATCAAGAAGAGCGACTCGGGCGTCGACGTCGTCGTCGACTTTATCGGCAAAGACTACTTCCAGCGCAACTTGTCCGTGATGCGCCGCGACGCGCGCATGGTCCTCCTCGCGTTCATGAGCGGCGCCGTTGTCGACAAGGCCAACATCGCCATGTTCCTCGCCAAGCGCCTCCAGCTCCGCGGGTCCACCCTCCGCTCCCGCACGCTCGAGTACCAGGCCGACCTGCTCCAGCGGTTCAGGGAGCACGCGCTCCCCCTCATCGTCGCAGGCAAGTACAAGATCGAGGTGTACAAGACGTTCCCGTGGACCGAGGTCATCGAGGGCCAGAAGGAGATGGCGGCGAACAAGAACTCGGGCAAGGTGGGTGGGAGGTGTGGGGTGTACTGACGGCCAGATCATCTTCGAGGTTACCAAGTAGAAAAAGAGCAGCATGCAGGCAGGTTGATGGTGATGGTGATGGAGAACGGCGAGTACATGGCTGGGGCGCATGCGGCGCAATCATCAAGTTGAAGCCACCTTCCTCGATGACGGTTGGTTGAGTCAACTCCTCTTATTGACAGGAGCCCTTCTCCTCGATCTCCTCGTTGCACTCTTCGCTTTTTCTTCATCACTCTCACTCTTCTCACTCATCGTCATCATTCATCGCTTACCATTCCCACTCATCCTCATCAACTCTCCACCGCTCGCTGGAACCATGTCCGACGGCACCAGCCGCATCGACCCCGCCGCTCAACTCGACCACCTCATCGCCCTCGTTGACCAGTCCCGCCTCCGTAATCTCCCCTCGTACAGTTCTCCATCCTCCGCCTCCGTCCTCAACCCCGCATCCATCCCGTTCCCCCCTCAAGCCCACTCACACTCCTCAACTAACCCATATGCCGGTCCATCGCCGTCGCCGTTGCTCGGCGGCTTCCAGAGCGACTCTGCGATCAGTCAATGGAATGCCATGCCCTATGATCCCTACCACACTTACCTCTCATGGGGCAGTCACCTTCCCTCGCCGTTCAGTGGCAACCTCACCTCTCCCTTCGATAACCTGCCATCCATCGAGCAGCATCTTCCAGTCACGCAGTCCGCTTCATATGATGCTCCCCAGCAAAGCGCACACGGCCTGCCACCACAGCTAGGCCCCACCTCGCCGCAGCAGCCTCTTCTCCCTACACTGCGAGTGACAGGCGAGCACCACCTCCCCACCGCAAATCACACTCCACCCGCTGGCGCACTGCAGCTGCACCTGGGCAGCACCAGCACCCACGAACCATGTCCCTCCCCTCCCTCCCTTCCAAGCGTGAGGATCAGGCCAGAGGAGCCAACGCTCGCCGACACACTCGAAGGCCCATCCCCCCAGGTTAACGGTCAGCCGAAGTCACTGCCAATTCCGCCGCGCTCATTGAGCCCCGCGGGTGACGAGTAGTTCGGTGACGATACGTGGATTGACACGGCAATCGCCGAGATGACTGAGGCCAAAGGTGAGTGGCCCTCCACAACCAGACTGATCAGCCGCAGCGGCTGGGCGACCGACCTCTCATGTTGTCCAATCCAGCAACTTGGCAACCCAGAATCACCATTTACAACGGGCATCTTCCGCCCCTCAGGTTTCTCAGATGCATGAGGAGGTTCTGCAGCTGCTGCCAGAGTTAACTTCACCGCGGCAGCCGTCGGAGCACACTGCTGATACTGCGCCGCTCGACGTCGCTCAGAATGCTGCACCACCACCGCGGCGCAGATCGCCGTACTTCCACAACACTGACAGTCCGCAAGCCCCTCCCATCCAGGAGACTCCTCAAGAGTCCAGCCCCCCCTCACGTACACCGTCAGCCTCCACCGTGCGCTTCCCTAAACTAGGTCCACGCTCTGCCCTGCATGCCCCATCACCCGCCCCAGCGAGTCCTCTCCGCACTACCAGTCTCAGACGTAACACGAAACCGGGCAGCGGTGATCGCGTGTCGGTCCATGCGCTTGGTAATTGCGGGAAACAGCTCAATGCTGACAGCAGACACTCCCGAGGAGCGCGCACTATTTCCTTTCAAGGAGTTCAATGACATGCAGAGCGCCGTCTTCCAGACCGCCTACCGGTCTGATGAGAACATCGTAGTGTCTGGTAAGAAGAGGTATGGGTCCATCTAACACCAGCACCCACCGGATCTGGCAAGACCGTTGTTTTCGAGCTCGCGTTCCTCCGCATGCTGCAGTTCAAGAGCTCGTCATTCATTCCGCTAGCGATCTACATGGCACCAACGAAGGTTCGCTTCTCATCAAACGCTCGTATTGTTACTGTTTTGACGCTCAGGCACTCTGCTCCGAACGTCTGAACGACTGGCGAGACCGATTCAAGAGCCTAAACGTCAAGTGTTTGAGTTCCCAGCTGAACATCGCACTGACACACGAGGCATCGAGCTCACCGGCGACACCGAGGTTTACAACATCCGGAAGTACACCGATGATGCCGATCTGATCATTACTACGGTAGGCTGAAAAGCAAGTGCTCTTCTTATGGTGCAGCCTGAGAAGTGGGACTCAGTGACCAGACGGACTTACTTGACGGCCGTCCAAAACCGCCTTTGTCTCGCCATGATCGACGAGGTTATGAATTTTTCACAAGAAAGGCTGACATCAGGTCCACACTTTGAGTGAGGAGCGTGGCCCCACTCTCGAGGTCGTTGTTTCACGTATGAAGAAACGCAGTGACGCTCTGCGTTTTGTGGCCGTTTCTGCGACGGTCAGTGGGCTCCAGCCTCCTTGGTGATGCGGCTGCAGATGGGCAACCGAATGTCAACTGGGTTGAATTGACGCCAGGTCCCGAATATCGATGATGTGGCGCGCTGGATTGGCAGCAAGGAGGATCTCCATGAAGAAAGCAGGCCGCTCTCGTCAATTGAGTACGATGACATCGAGCAGATGCCCAAAGCACGGGTGTTCAAAGTGTGTCCCTCTATGGATGTCTCTGACGCGCAGTTCGGTGATGAGTTCCGCCCAGTTCCTCTCCAGCTTCACACTGTCGGCGTAGATGCTCCGAATGAGTTTGCGCTTGGCAGCCGGCTCGACAAAGAGCTTTGGCGAGTCCTTAATCAATACACTGATGGCCTTCCTACACTAGTCTTCTGCCCAACTCGCAAAGGTAAGGAATACGCTCTCCCGGGGCTGACACGCAGCCTGCCAGTCGACCGCTGAGCATCTCTTCAAAGAGTACACGAATGCCCTCGCTAATCGCACGCGCCTGCCATGGGATGCGACTGATAAGTACGTTGATCAGTGCGCCGCATTAGCAGGTCGCTCACCTCACAGCCAGCCAGTCGTTCTCAAGGATGCCAAGATCCAGAAGCTGACAGAATTAGGCATCGCCGTTCATCACGCGGGCCTGGACCTCCTTGATCGGCGCAACATTGAGCAGGCATTCCGCAACTCGCAGCTGCATTTGCTTGTCGCAACCTCGGTGAGGGGTCGGTTCTGCTGGCCACTGACAGACAGACGCTTGCAGTGGGTGTCAACCTCCCTGCACACCTTGTTGTCATCAAAGGGACTTCATGCTGGGCCGGTCAAGGATTCCGGGAGTACAGCGACATTGATATCCAACAAATGATGGGCCGTGCTGGTCGACCTCAATTTGATAACAGTGGTACTGTGGTAGTGAGTCGTTGCTGCGTTGTCGCGCCTGACCCAGATCATGTGCAACAACACAAAGCTTCACAAGTTTCAGTCAATGTTGCACTCGAAGACGGTCTTGGAGAGTTGTCTCCATCAACACCTGACTGAGCGTACGTCACGTCTGCAAGGTCCTACTGACGGCCGAGACATCAACAGCGAGATTGGCCTGGGCACCATCGGTTCCCTGCAAAATGCCCAGGAGTGGTTGCGTGGGTGAGTGAAGCCTCTGACATCGCGTGGCCGTAGTATTGGCGCACCGCCTCGCACCCTTTAGAGATCCTGCGTGCTGATGGCAGAACGTTTCTCAGCATTCGCATCCGTCAAAACCCTAGGCACTACCAGGGAACGATGACCAAAGACTATGCAGACAGCTGGGACGGCACACTTGATCGCTTTGTAGAGGTTTGTGGTTCACGCGAGCTTTCTTCTGAACGACAGACATCTTTGCGGGATCTCAAGAAGCGAGACTTTATCACTGATGATCCTGAGATTATCAAGGAGAAATCTGAGAACGGGGCCAAAGAGCTTCTACCAACACGCCTGGGTGAAGTTATGAGTCAGAACTTCATCTCGTACAAGACGGTGCGTCTGCAATGCCGAGTACGTTATTGACGTCAGATGTGCCACATTATAAACATGGACGCGGATTCCGGAGTGCGCGACCTTCTCGAGCTTCTCGCTGGAGCAACTGAGTTCTCAAGTCTGCGTATCCGCCAGGGAGAGGGGGCAGTAAGCGGCCAGTCCAATCAAAATGTTGATCCACAGCTACTCAACAAACTTCGTGTACACCGCGATGTGAGGTACCATATTGACACACCCGTCAAGACGTATGCGGACAAAGTCTTCTTGCTTGCCCAAGTCGCCTTTGGCAATGTGAGCCTTGACGACTTTTCCACCAAGACAGAGAACACCGCACCGCTTCAGACGATGATCCTCATCTTCAACGCCGCCCCGCGTATTGCTCGTGCCATCTTCAATGTTGCGTGTCATTTGCGATACGGCGCAGCCGCTCGGGCGGCCCTGGAACTGTGCCATGTCGTCAACGGTAAGGCGTGGGAGGATAGCTCTACTGTCTTTCGCCAAATTGACAAGATTGGACCGAAGTCGATTGCTGTTCTGCAGACCAATGGCGTTCACAGTAAGCCAACAGCTCAGAGCACATGGCTGAACACAGCATTCGACGATCTGCTTAAGCTGGCACCCAGTAGGCTCGAAATGTGGCTCAATCGTCATCCGCCGTTCGGTAGTGAAGTCCTGGAGCGAGCAGCGGCCTTTCCGCGGTTCTCAATCGGTTTCACGTAAGCGTATCGTGTTTGCGTGAGTGTAGATCCTAATAGCAGCGAGAATGGGGTCGACACCGACGAGAACGGCTTCCCCACACTGAGCCTTCGCCTCCAAATCAAAAACACAGGACAACTCGTGCACAAATCCGCGACGAGCGGGGGTGGCAAGAGTCGCAAGACCAGGTCGTACAACCTTGTGATCCTCATTCTCAGCACTAAAGATGACCGTTTCATCGACAAACGCATGATCAAGTGAGTGGGTATTGGGTCACGCTAATTCAAGCACGGCCCGGTTGAGTGACCGAGTCCGCGAGTTTCCACTCGATGTTACACTCTACCATCCGGATGAAGGCATCATGTGTGTGGTAGGAGGTAAGGTCCGTTGCGGCAAGTGCTAACAACTCTCAGTGGAGGAAAAGAGCGGACTTTCGCGCACTTATCAGTACACGCCGCGCATTCCTGCCAACATGTTTCCCAAAGCCAAGACTATTGAGCGCGGGGTGAGTCAAAATGTCCTTGCGGATACTGGATACTGATCTCTGAACGCAACAAATACAAGAGCATCAGGCAAATCAATGATACCGACTAGCGCTGTTGATTCGTTGAGAATGCCTGAGATACAAAGCGCCGACGTCAGTGAAGACGAGGAGCTGATCGATCTCACTGCGCCGCAGAAAGTTAAGGACAAGAAGCGCGGTCGCCAAGAGGCGGCCAACCCCAAGTCGAAAACGCGCCGACTCGCGTTGGCAGCCAGATCAGTCATGGCCGACGAGACTATTGATGACGACGAGGATGCGGTGCAAGCAGGTTCACCCGCCTCTAGCGATACGCTCGACGTAATGAGCGACTCGCCTCGGCCTTCGAAGTCAGCTCGCTGGGAAGGCAAAGTCAGTGCCAGTGCGGAGTCTCCAATTGCACGGAAGCTGGTCAAGAGTTCAACGAGATCGGCCATGTCGGGGAGCTGTGCGGAGGCGGGCAACCGCCTACCAACGGTGTCGAGCAGCCAGGCGCCTGTGCGAAGGACTTCCAAGATCCCTGCGGGAAACAGTGGTGAGTGATGAACTGCGCTCTCCTGCGACCCTAGCCCGCTGACATCAGAAGTCTCCAAGGTAGCTCCAGCCCCTGACGCAGCCGCCGACCCACCTCGCTCGCCAGCGTCAATGACCGTGGATGAGCAGTTCGAGGCGCTCGCCAGCGTCAATGACCGTGGATGAGCAGTTCGAGGAGTGGTTCGGGCAGTTCCTCTGAGACATGGAGATGGACGGTATTCATGCGAGTGATCTGTGAATGCTGATGCGATTGTCGTTTTAAAATGGTGGGTTGTACGATCGCACTCTGCTCAGTCAGCTCCGGACCGCGCACGACTGACTTTGAGAAGTAGAATGGTTTCTGATGCTTGAGACTTAATCCCAGCGCCTCCCCTGTGGCGAGGTTGATGGACGAGTAGGATACCAGGTCCAGTTTGTTCCACCGGCCCCGCCCCGTCTCGCGCAACGTGAGCTCCATTTCGAACTCGTACTTTGCGTTGCTGCCGGGCTCGATGAGGTCGGTGATGAGCACGCGTGGACGTTTGCGCCCACGCTTGTCCTCGGAGCGCACAAGCTGCCACCGGCCAAAGTGAAGGCCCTTGGCGCGCAGCGTCGGCTTTAGCAGCGGCACGACTTCGGACGGGTGGTCGGTCGTGAGGAACGATATGACATGCCCGTCGGGATAAAAGCGGAGGAAGCGGTGGTACGTGACTGGTGTGAGCGTGCGTGGCTCGGCTTGGACTCACTCATGTGCGTGATCGTCACCCATTGTTCACCTGCGCCCGGCCTGATGTAATGGCAGACAGAAATGTACGCGCCATCCATGCGCAACCGCTCCTCCTCGAGGAGCGTGGTACGCCACTCATCGCGATGACGCCGGGCTAATGAGCGGCCGACGGCGATGCTCTCCACCATGGGCGGGACATAAATCCTCTCTGCCAACCTCTTCCACGCCGCCGCGTGGGCTGTGAGCAGGCGCGCGCGCCAGCATGTCGCGCCGAAGCGCTCGAGCGCCATAACGTCCAGGAAGAGAAGTACGCGGTCCAGAAGCTCGCCCGGCAGTGCCGCGAGCGGCATGGGAAGGGCGGGGTCGGCGGGGCGGAACGAGAGCGCTGGATCCCCCTCCTCGCCCTCGGGGAACGAGGCGGGGTCACCCACCCGCGCCTCAAGCAGCGCTGTGAGGCGGCTCACGCGGTCCCCCTCTCGCTCATAGTCCGGCTGCACCTGCACCTCGCGCGTAAACTGGTAGGCGGGCAGCTCGGGCGCAGACGGATCGACGATGTCGACGGGTGTCGGCGTCGGCGTCTCGTCGGCCTGCTCAGGCCCGGCCTCCTCAGCCGCCCGCGCCCGCTCCGCTTCCGCGCGCCGCACGCTTAGCGCGTACAGCCTGTCGACATTATCGTCGGCCCGGAATGCACGGCGGTACAAGTGCAACGCGTCCGACAGGCGCCCGCCTTGTTCAGCCTCTACCGCGCGCGTGTATAGCGCTACGGCATCGCCCGTGCGCCGGCGCTGCGGGAAGGGCATCGTATCTGAGTCGACCTCTGAATCCGTGGGCGTGGCCGCGGCGGCAGCGGCCTCGCGCGTGGGCTTTGTTGGCGAGCGGGGCGGAGGGAGAGGGGTGGGAGCGGACGTTTTGGTGGGCGAGCGTATCCGCGTCAGCTGCTTAGTGGGCGAGCGCAGGGGAGACGCGGGCTTGGTCGGCGAGCGTGGGCTGGCCTTCGTCGGCGAACGTGATCGCACGGCCGTGACAGGGATCGGCGGAGGGGGAGCAGCTGGCCACTCGTCGTCGCCGGCTTTGGGCTTGTCCTGGCCTTTGCCCTTGCCTTTGCCCTTGCTCTTGCCTTCACCGTCCTTGACCTTGTCCGTGCTGCCGCTTTCCTTCTTCTCACCCGTGCCCTTCCACATGACGCCGCCGGCGTCGACCTCGACCTCCTTCTTGGCCTCGACCTCGGCGCGCCACGCGCGGCGGAACGCCTCGAGCTCATCGTCCGCGACGGCGCCCCGCTCCTCCAGCGACAGCGACGCCATCGATGGCGGCTTTACGGGCTTTGCTGGGACGGCCATGGTATGGTGTGGTGGGTTGCGTAAGTGTCATGTAATCGCTGGATTTCATCTCAGGTTGTCGGTGGCGTCGGTGACTGCCACCGGACGAATGTGCCTCCACCGCCTCCACCGACCACAGAACAATCTCTCTTCTGCTCAAACCACCTCTAATCCACCGTTTCCCATCGATACGCTACGAACCGCTCCCCTCTTCTCTCCATATCCACGCCCAACAATGTCCCACGGTCAGCATCTCCCCTCCCCCGCGCCTACGCCGTTTCCAGGTGCGCCACCGGATGACCCCACCATCCGCGCGACACTCGAGAAGGAGCTCCAGCGCCTCGCGCAAGACCTATATGAGATGGAGGTGTGCGCTGGCGAGGTCGTCGCGGGGATGGAGGGACAGGTTGCCGAGCGTCTGTGAGTGCCCCTCATGGCGTCGAGTAGCGAGTAGATGGATGCGCGAAGGCTAACTGCAGCGAAAAGGTCAACAGGGCGCTCGTCGAGCTCACACGCCTCGCACCACAGGTCACGGATTCTGTGCCAAAGCAGGTCATCGAGTGCGTACATCCGCTTATATTACCGAAGGACGAGCCGGATGCCTGAGGCTGACCACAGAAACGTTGACAAAGCGAGGAATCCGCACCAGTACACCAAGACGTCGTTGAGCCGCGCGACAGGCGAGAACCAGTACGCGCTGGGAAGGCTATTGGGCCTCGAGGTGCGTTTCTCTGCGTCAACACGTGCCCTGTCTACGCTCGCACTCGCATACGGCCTCCGTTGTCAGCTGACTTGCACTGACGCCAGTCTTTCCGGCGGCAGCTCGAATCTGGGCTTTCCGACGCATTCCCCGACCTCCCCCTGCCGGAGCGCAGGCACAAGCCGGTCGGCGTCGAGAATGGCGAGGGTGGGTTTGGAGATGGTGCTGGCACAGACGGAGAGGGGTCGCGGGGTGGGGCGGGGGAGAAACGGGAGGCGGGGACGAGAGGTGGCAGCGAGGCCGTCAGTTCCAAGCTCGAGGAGGGTGATGGCGAGTCCCGAGGGCTTGAGGATGGCAGCGGGGCCGGAAGACCTGGAGAAGGGCAGGGGGCGGCGGCGGCGCAGCGAGCGGAATCAGAGGTTAAGACGGAGGACTTGGCGGGCGTCTCGTTCGGAACGGAGACGGACGTAGCGATAGGAGAGGATGGGTTCGCGGGACGAAGGGAGATGGACACTCGGGCTGGAGCTGAACTAGGAGAGAGCGACGCGAACGGTGACAGCAAGCCGGCGGTGTAGCAAGCCGGCACTATGTAGCAGCACAACCGAAGATAATCAAGCTCGACACAGCCCGACCCGCACGCCTCAAGCCCACAACTGTACTTCCGACATGTATCATTGTAATTGCTTCCTACGGTTACTCCTTCCGACGGCGACGGGAACGGCAACGGCTAGAGCGGGGCGAGCTTGTGCCCAGCCTCCCAGAAGAGGCTGATGCAGCTAAGGCTACCGGTGAACCAAGCTACGGTACGGGCGAGACCAGCGGCGTCTGGTGTTAGCGAATCTGCCTCTGCAGTGCGTGCGTCACACAAGCCTCCGCCTTCCGCCTCTTGACCTCACCACTCCCCTCCCCACTCCCTCGCGCTTCTCCCCACTTCTTTCGTCCCCTTCCTCCACCCGCTTTGCTCGCGCCTATCCCGCCGCACACCGATAACTCACTGTTCGTCCCGAGAATGTAGAGGAGGTTGTACGCGAGGCGCGAGGTGAGGTAGACACTTGCGGCGCGGTTGAGCACGGCGGTAGGGAGGCGAGCGACGTTACCGACGGCCACGGCGGCGGCGAAGAAGCCGAGCCCGACGAAGTTGTTGTCGTTTGCGGCCTCGGCGCGGAGGTAGCGCTCCTGGTCGGTGGGCGAGAGGCGAGACTCGGAAATGCCCTTGCGAGTGTTAGGGGGGAACTGGTGTGAGCGGTAAGTCGAGTGGACGACCTTATGCGCTATAGGCGCAACGACAGGGGGGACACGGTGGGAGTGACATGGCCTGATGGCCTCGTGCCGCCGTCATGGGAAGAGGGCACGCGATCACCGAGCTGGAGGCTCTCGATGGCTTGGCTTTGCACACTGCCTCACGACGAGCAGGACTCACGCTGAAGTCAAAGCCCTTGGCGCCAGGAGGCTTGTTGAGAGTGACGAGGGCGAGAGCGTAGACGTGCGGCGCGAGCCTGGTGTGAGCGAGCTACTCACAGCGAGCCCAAGTTGGGTCCATAGCTTGCACTCACGCGAGGCCGAAGGCCGCGGGGACGGCGTAGAGGCTGAGGTTGTTGCCGGTATTGAGGCCTGCGAAGGACATGGTTGTGATTGCTAGCTGTAACTGTGAGAGTGAGAGAGTAAGAAAGACAGGCGGGAGAGTCAGCAAGCTCCAAGAGGCGGCCACGTATGACCCGGTGGCGGGCAGGCGGCAGCGGCACGTCGCATCATGAGCTTGGCTGTGACTCGCTGGCCTTCGCGAGGGGGAGATGGGGAATGTCAACAACGTCATGTCATGTGATCCGCTGACCGCATCCCACGTGGCACCGCCACACTCGCTATCGCCGCCCGGCCCTCGCCGAGGCCGCTGAGATTTCGGCACCTCCACTTTCCACCTTGTCCGATCTCGACTTGCTCTACCCACCATGTCCGCGCCCATGCTCGCCTCGACGTCGCGCGCGCGCCTCCCGTCCGTGGCGCCCGCGCTCCGCCGCACCGCCTTCAACGCCCACGCCACCCCCACCGAGGGCAAGATGGAGGTCATCCGCGCCGCGCTGTATCCGAAGGACGGCGTGGCGCCGACTTCGGCGTCCCCCATCGGCGCGCGGCACGCCGACTACGAGCGCCGCATCCGCGCCGCCGCGCCCAGCGCCGAGGCGCACGAGACTATCGAGCGCGCCTGGAACCTCTTCCGGCGCGACGCGCGCGCCGAGCGCACCGCCGCCCTCGCGGCAAAGTACGATGCCATGGTCGCTGCTTGCGCCGAGCTCGACGCGCTCACCCGCCCTGCGGGGCAGGACGGCGAGTCTAAGAGCGGCGACGGTGTCCTTCCCCGTGCAGTGTATGACCGCGCTATGGTGCGCGTCGCGCATGCCAGCGCCGCGTATGCGGCTGCCAAGCAGGGCATGGCGCAGGGCAAGAAGAAGACGACAGAGAGCCGCTGGCTTGAGGCCAGGCCGGAGGGGATTGTACCCCGCGAGGCATGGGTGCCCGTCGACAGCAGGGGGAAGGGGTGGAACTACGAGTGGAAGCGGCCACTTAACGAGTAGTGAGTAGAGTAAGCGCGCAGCGAGCCCAAGTACGCAACGCTGTGGCTACTCCTGCATGCGATGATGCCGACGACAAAGCTGACAACAGATTCTCCCACCGGCGACAGTCGTCTCAACACCTCACACAACAGTTCTGCATGCATAGATACCCATCTTCCTGACATCTCCCCGACATCTCCCCGACATCTCGTGACTGCTAACGAAGATACCCTTCTGACTGACTTCTCATCGGTTCAAACGGCGTACTGATAGCAGCCACCATAAACATTCACATCCTTCGCCCAATCTGCCACACCCTGCGTCCTCGTCGTTGCATTCGTAGCATTCTACTCGTACAGTCTAATACTTACTCCCCTCGCGCCTGCTGTGCACGCTTCATGAGCGCCGCCGCAAGGTCCAGCTGGCCGCCCGCTGCGCCGGGCTGCTTGACCTGACCTGGAGTCGGACCTCCGCTCGGCGCGGACGCCTTGAATGCGCCGGGCACGGGCGGGCGACCTCCACCACCGAGGCCAGTTGGCTTAGCTCCCGGCTTGGGCGGAACCATGGGCTTGGGCTTCGTCGCGGGAGGCGGACCTCTGCCGCCCAGGCCGCTGGATGGGCGAGACCCACCTGGTGTGCTCGATGGCGACCCGCCGCTGGATCGGTTAGGCGGTGATCCACCATTGGCAGCCGCTCGACCACTCAGCATAGCCGCCAGCGCGTCGGCTGCCACCGAGCCACGCGCCGCTTGCTTCGCTGTGGGCGCTGCTAGACTCGAGGCCGCAGCGGCTGGAGCAGGAGGGGGAGCCTGTCGCCTTGGCGCGGGAGGAGGTGCGGGAGGAGCAGCAGGCTGCTCGATAAGCTTGAGATAGTTGCTCGGCGCCCATCCTTCCTTCCCGCCCTTGACCACCATCCACCACCCGTTGTCGTCCTTCTGTTTCACCTCGACCTCGTCACCCTTCGTCAGATTCATTTCGCCCTCCTGGCCCGCAAAGTTGTACAGGGCACGGTAAAGCTCCTTCGGCGGCGCGGCCGGCGCAGCGGGAGGAGGAGGCGGTGGGGGCGGGGGTGGAGCACGGCCGCCACCAGTCGGAGGAGAAGGCGCCTTCGGAGCACCGAACGCGCCCGGTGCCTTCGGCGCTCCAAACGCACCGGGGGCTTTGGGAGCGCCGAACGCAGTCGGAGCCTTAGGGGCGGGCGGTGCGGCTGGCGCTGGCTTGGCAGTAGCAGGAGCCGCCGCAATGCCAGCGATGACTGGCGGCGCAGATGGCTTGGATGCCCCGGGAAGAGCACGCGCCTGCGGGCGATTCTGCGAGCGACCAGCCATGGCCGCTGGCGCTGCCTTGGTTGCCTTCTTGGCCTTTGGTTTGCGCGGCGGCATGGGGTTGGACACGCTGTTGGGAGCCTCGCCAGGACCAACAGTGATGGTATGCGACTTGTACACCGGCTCGCCCTGCCCCTTGACTGCCTTGATCTGCGCCTTCTTACCCTTCTTCTTCGAGTACTCGATGACGGGGCCGATATTGACAGGTATGCCGCCACCAACCTCTGTAAGAATAACACAAGTCATTTCCGTTTTCAGAGGGCAGGTGAGCACAGGGTCACCCTCCTCGCCGCCAGGCGGAAGGTTGAGGATAATAAAGTCGTCGCGCAGGTTCGTCATCGAGATACCCTTGATCGTGATGAGAGGAATCTTGCGCTCAAGCATCGTCGAGACTTGACCGTCCTTGGACATGGTGACAACAATGTAGAACGCCTTATCCGTGATGATGAGGAAGCGTGGGCTGAGCTTCGACGAGCGGCCCAGCTTGGATACGAGAATCTCTCCGCGCGAGCTGAACGAAACTGTCTCGGCGCCTGAAATACCTGCCGCGTTGCGCAACATCTCGCCCTGCGGCGAACGGCCGCCAACGTCGAGGTAGTCGCCCATGAACTTGCGCATGCCAAGTAGCGAAAAGCGGCGCCGCTCCTTGCGCCCAGCGAGCACCTGGTGGCCATAGTCGCGCTTCTCCGCGTAAACGAGATTCTCTTTCTGACTCCGCCAGAAGCGCTGGATCTTGGTCGCAGCCTCGTGCTTGCGGCGCACGTACGCTCGCCAAGCGCGCTGGATGCGCCGTGCCATGGTGTGCCAATAGCGGTCACGCTCTCCTTCGAGGTAGAACAGTGTCTCGGGGTTCTTGATGAACGCCTTGGTCACGCCCATCTGCCACTCATCCTTGGCAATGCGCGCATCCGTAAGAATTCGCTCACAGCCCGATCTTGCGTCGCCCTCCCAGATGTAATCTCCAGCGTACGATGTCGCAGGCGACAAGAGGTAGAAACGCTCTACCATCTTCTGGAACTCGGCACGGTACGCAAATCCTGCACGACGGACGCGGATGTTCTCTTGCAGACCCAGGTACTTGATCTGGTGCAGAATCGCCTTGTCATCGTACTCGGTCGGCGAGCGGTTCTGATTCGGCTTGATCGTACGGATGTAGTGGGGCTGGCACTGCATCAAGTTCGTGACGAGCTCGTTGGCTGATTGCTTGGGGTCAGCCGGCTGCTCTGTGAATCGACACCCACCTTGATCTTATCACCAGCGGTTGGCGGACGGCGCTTCGAGTCCTGGTCGACCTTGTCGGGGAAAAGAGTGTGGAGGAAGGGGTCGCCGCTGCGCTCGATAAGCTCAAGGATGTCCTTGCCGAGCTGGTCCTTGTTCTTGTCCGTCATCCCCGCGACGTTGTACAACACGTCGCCAGCGTAATGTTTGATGAGGAACTTGTTGCCGCGCGACTCAAAGTTCGGGTTGGATGAGAGCATGTTGGAACGCTGAATGAACGAGTTGTCCGCTGCCGCTGGGTCCGCGTGCGCAGTCGCCGTCGCGTCATTCAGAGTCGCGAAGATACCAGCCGGACGCTTGCCCTCAATCAATTCGCACACCACAGCGTTGTCGAAGACTGCGTGAGCTCCACATGGCCCGGTCAGACTTACACTTGATGGGCGTCCACTTGATCTGCTCGCGAACATACTCCTCCTGCTCAGCTTTGAGCGTCAACTCGATGAAGATCTGTTGGAGCTTCTCGTTGACGTAGTTGATGCACAGCTGCTCGAAGCTATTGTCCTGGAAGATTTCGAAGCCGTAAATGTCAAGAACGCCAATAACGTAGGAGTGAGCAGTCTTGGGCTTCATAGAAACGTTGACGCGGCCCACGATCCACTCAAACAGGTTGTTGTACAGCGCCTTCGCGAGCGCGTCACGTCCAGCGTTGGCCTGCGCCACATTCTGGGGCACCTCGTATACAGAGCCTGCGGTTAGCGTGCCATACGGGCGTGACTCACCTCGGCGACCTCCACGCTGCGTCTCCATGATACGCGTAAGAAGCACCTTCTGCACGGCTGGCCCGTCGACATTCATCAGGTAGGCAGCGAAATCCGTGACACCAGGATCGGCGATGCGCGCGTTTCCATCATCGCCCTCAACGAACTCGCAGTTGCCGAGCCAGAGAATAGTTGCGAGCACGCGGAAGATGGATGTCTGCTCGTCCTTGGACAAGCCGATAATATCCATCGCGCGCACTGTCTCGGAGAAGTCTTTGCTGTCGTCGATGCTCGCAACATTCAGACATTTGCTGTTGGCTGTGTATGCATATGCCTCTGGGCCCTGCAAGCCAAAGTCGTCTGGGGCGTTAGGTCAACTTCCTCAACCTCACTCACTCCTCATGTCCTGGGGCGCCGCCTTGGTAAGCTGATAGAAGATATGGAAGTCACGCTCATTCTTGATCTGGCCCACGACGCGGTTCTGGGGTCAGTTTGCTCTATTCTGTGGTTTTAGGAGCGTATACCTTTTCCAAGAGGTAGTTTGTGATCTGTGCGCCGACCGGCTGTCCCAAGCTGTCAAACATAATCTCGAGGTACTTCCCGTGACGACTGGAATTGTCGTTGCGCAGCGTCTTTGCACACCCAAATGATTCGAGAAGGGGGTTCGTGGCGAGGACCATCTCCTTGATGCCCTCGATACCGCCGCTCGAGCCGTCACTCGTTCCACTAACGGCGGCAATGTACTGCATGATGCGCTTGGCCGCCTCCGTCTTACCTGCGCCAGACTCGCCCGAGATGATAACACACTGATTTTCCTTCTCGGTTGTCATGCGGTAGTAAGCTGACTCGGCGATGGCGAACACATGAGGTGGCATCTCGAGACGGTTCTTGCCGCGGTACGACTGCAGCGTCTCATCGGTGTAGATGCCCAAATCTACGCATCAGCATTGTCCGAACGCCTCGGACCCCAAAATCGCAACCGGGCGGTGTGCTGCGGATGAGGCGATGCTTACCGCGGAAGGGATTGACGGAAATGAGGACGTGGGCAATGTAGGTCTGTTGTCAGGTCATGCAATGACTTCAAGACGCACGTAGATCTCCTGGTTATGGAATCGGGCCTTGAGGTTGTCATTGATGGCCTCGTTGGTGATCGTGCTGAGCAGAGTCATATCCTGCACACCAGCCGACTTCTTCTTCCTGAAGCCCTCGGACCAATCGGCCTGGCGTGAGCATGGCGAGAGCTCCTGATGAGCTTACCTTTGCGACCTTTTGTGGCTTCTGAACGCCGCTGCTGGCCAGAAGGCCGCCGACCTTTTTGCCCCTCTTGCCGATAGCCTGGAGTGTGAGCGTTGGGCGTTTGAGATGTCCGAGCGCTGCGTACCATGGTGGAGAGGCGGGCGGCGGGAGAGAGTGGTTGAGAGTGAGGCAGCTGTTGGGGAAGAGACTAGTTTTAGGTCAAGAAAAAAGAGGATGTGAAGAGAGATGATGGAGAGTAAAGAGGGAGATGAGAAAGCGGAACGGAGGAGAGAGAGAGAGAGATCGAGGACGAGGAAGGCGTCGTCGTCATCGATGGTGACTGTGGCTGGGCTCGAGATTGTGGTTGGCCCCATACACACGGAACCAAATCACCCACCTCAACGACACTCACCCGTTCCTCGTACTCCGGTCACTCGACCTCTCTCTCTCCTCGCTCTCGCTCTCGCTCTCCTCATCCACTTCTTTGTTCCATTGCTAACTCGTCTCTACCACTCCGCTGCACCGATCTTGCCCACCGTGAGAGGCATAAACTCCCCAAATCCCCACGCCATGGTCTCCGCACAGCGGCAGCCAGACTATGGCATCCGCGAGGTTTGGGCCGACAACCTCGAGGCCGAGTTCCAGCAACTGCGCGTCGCCGTCGATCAGTACCCCTACATCTCCATGGTGCGTTGCATTCTCTGCGTTGGGCCTGCCTCCTCTTGTTGTGACTGACCTCAGGACACCGAGTTCCCAGGCATTGTCGCGCGCCCCATCGGCAGTTTCAAGACCGGCTCTGACTACCACTACCAGACGATGCGGTGTAATGTCGACATGCTCAAGATCATCCAGCTCGGCGTGACGCTCAGCGATGAGAATGGGCACTCGCCCGAAGGCTACACGTGGCAGTTCAACTTCCAGTTCAATCTGACGTGCGTTGCGCTCCTCGCGTCCTCGCCGATCACCAATCTGACCCCAGGGACGACATGTACGCGCCAGAGAGCATCGAGCTGCTCAAGAACTCGGGCATCGACTTTAAGCGCAACGAGGAGGACGGCATCGACGTCGAGTACTTCGGCGAGCTCCTCGTGACCTCGGGTCTTGTGTTGTTCCCCAACGTCAAATGGGTTTCCTTCCACTCGTGAGCTCCGGGGTAAGCGCGCAATCGCTAACAGCAGCGGGTACGACTTCGGCTACCTCCTGCGCATTCTCACGTGTGAACCATTGCCCGCGACGGAGAACGACTTCTTCAAGATGCTCTTTGTGTGGTTCCCCTGCATTTATGACATCAAGCACGTAGTTAGATCAGTCAAGACGCTCCGCGGCGGCCTGCAGGAGATCGCCGAGAGCCTCGGCGTGCAGCGCATAGGGCCTCAGCACCAGGCTGGGTCCGACTCGCTCCTCACCGCCTCCGTCTTCTTCAGGATACGCACAAACTTCTTCAACAATGTGCTGGACGACTCTTATTACAAGTAAGCTGAGCCCCTCGTGGAAGGTAAGGTAGCTGACAGCAGGAACTATCTGTATGGCTTCAGCTCTGGGCGCACACGGCCACCAGGCGAGACCCAGAAGCCACCTTCACCCACGCCGCAGGCCCAGCTTCTCGGGGGCGAGAAGCCCTACTAGTACTGTAATTGTTTGTACGCGATATAGATACCCGGCCACACCATGCATGGCCATAGACTATGACTACATGTACCCGTCGCGCTTGCCGAACGTCGAGACGAAACGCCGGAAATCGCCAAACGCCTTGGGCGTATCTGCGCGACTCCCATCTGGGGAGTAGTCGGTGCTGCTCCGCGACAGGAGGGACGGGAGCACGCTGCCCGTCCCGAGGTTCTGTATCGCGGGCGACTGAGGCGCATGCTGCGCCCGCTCGTTCCCGGGATCCATGTCCAGACCAGTGAGGAACGATGTGTCTGCCAAGTCGTCCTTGGTGCCCGTCACTGAGAGGAAGATGTCAACGAGCTTCTGCTGGTCTGCGCGAGCTGTGCCCTTGAGGTCGAGGATCTGGGGTGAGCTGTGCGCACGCTCTGCAGCGTACCTTCTGGAAGTTTGTGAACGACCGGTCCCCGATAAGGAGGCAGTAGTTCTGCACGAAGCCCTCGGGCGGGTCGTCGGGCGCGAGGATGACCTTGAGCATCGTTTCGAGCTGCCCCGTGTTCTTGGTGACATATTTTGTGTATCCGTTGCTCGAGTTTTCAGGGTGTGGTTCTGGGAGGTCCAGAAGACACGCCTTGACGGCCTGCACATCGAGAAGGATCTGGTGTCAGCTGCGGCGCGGGCAAAGTACCGGACGCCACGGCCACTCACTTGCTCGGCGCCAATCTTCTTGAGCGGCCTGCTCTTGATGACGGCCTGGGTGAAGCGCGCGATGACCAACCCTACAGCCTTGTCGGCGAAGTTGCGGATGTACTTTTTGCTCTCGATGCGAGTGCGCACGCACTCGGCGACCTCCTTGATGCTGCCCACCAGATCGACAATGTACGCGGAACGCCCAGACACGTTCTCAAGATCGCGCCACGGCGTCTTGAGGATTGCTGCAAACGCGGGATCGCACGCCGTCTCGAGTTCACGCAGCATCGTGGCAATGCACTGAGCCTTGGTGGCAGTGAAGGCGTCGCGTTCGTCGGAGAACCCGATCGACTCGCGCAATTCATCCTTGACCTTGTCCTTCAAGCGGTCCTCGAGCTGCATCGAGGTGTTGGCGCAGTACTCGGCCGTGTTGAGCACCATGCACGCAGTCTTGACATCGGCCAGACTTGACCGACCTTCCAGTGAGCGTCGGATCGCGGGCTCCCTCTTCAGCGCCGCGAGGAGGACTTCATCGTTGTAGATCTTGAGCCATTTCGCAAAAATACGTGCGAGTTTGGCCACCGGTTCGCCATTAGTGTACTTGCTGCACTGTTCCAACGTCTGCCCGTAGAAGTAGAACAGCTCGGTTGACGATGGCAGAATCGTTGGACCAGCATTCTCTGTCTCCTGCAGCGTTCCCTCGAGGCTGCTACGCGAACGCGCGCCACGGTACTGCGACATCATCTCTGCCAGTGCTTTGTCCTGCGCGTCCACGTATGTCCCGAAATGTGAGTCAAAGATGGACGAGATGGTCCATTTCGTATTTGAGGACGAGTTCAACCCTCCAGCCGTGACGTCTTGGAACTGTCGTCAGCAAGCACTCACGGCAAACCCACAGGAATGTTGAAGCGGCGCGCAAACGCAGCCTCAAAGTCGAGCGTCGCTTGCAACGCATCCAGGAAGACATTGACGTCTCCCACCCCGCGCCCAAGGACATTGGCGAGGTCCACTCGCGTTTGCTCGGCAAAGCTCGCCACGAGCAAACGCGTCACCTCCCAGCCGGCAGGGAAGAGCGCAGCATTCTCGTCGTCGTGATGCTTGAGCACGCGGCGGAACCACGCATATCGGCGAGGGACGTTATCCAATTGCCCAGCCTCGTCGGTACTCCGGAAGATCCGGCGGTACTCGGCAAGCTGGAGGGTGATGTAGCGCTCGATAATATGCTTGCGGTAGTCACCGCCCAGCACGTCGACGACCAGCGCCGCCTCCGTCACGACGCGCAGGTCGGGCGGGTGGTTTGGGTCGTTACGGAAGAATGTCTCCATCTCGGTATTGACCATCTCCTGAACGGTGCGGCGGTCCGCCTCGGCGGCGCGGAAGACATCGGCGACCTCAGAAATGGTAGTCAGTGGCTTGAGTGGCTCGAAGAGTTGCACCACTGCCGAAAGTGAGCTAGCCATGTCGCGATATCGCTTGGTAGGGATCAGCTCCTTCAGCTGCCGATGTGCGTGTTCTGCCGTCAGCGCGGGTACCGACGACGCGCACTTAGCATGCTCCACCGTTCGAGCGTCTGCATCGTCCGCGTAAGGTTGCGCTTGGCGACATCGAGCCGCTGCACGTCCTGCGTAATGCTCTTGACGATGGCCTCAGCCTCGGCCGCCTTCTCCCGGATCGCGTTGATCTGCTGCATGAGGTGCGCAATCTGCTTCTGGATGACGCCCATACGCGCGGGATCCTGGTCACGCCGCAACTCGCCCTTCAACCGCGCAACCTCTTCTCGCACGTCGAGGATCTCGAGCTCGAGGCGCGCGTGGATCTGCTGGTGTCGGGACAGCGCCGTGGCTGGGGTCAGCTGTGGGTAGTGGGCGGCGCGCATCCCCTCGTTGCTCCGGTCAAACACACAATCTGAGAAGTCGGTGGTGAGGCGGGCCATGGCAGCCGCGGGCGCGTCGGCCGTTGCCATGCTTGCTAACGGTTGTTGTTGTTGCAGATGAGGAGGATGAGAGATGGACGTGGATGTCGCGGAACCATTTCGGTGCTGCAGGGGCCCCGGCGCGATGCCATCAGTCGCGTCGCGCAATCCATGTCTTCCTTCTCCGTTCTCTCATCTCTCATCAACTCATCGACTCCATCTCCTTCTTCTCAGCCGCGCGCCATGGGCGCCTTCGACCCCGTCATCACCTTTGAGAAGGGGACGTATGTCGGTGAGCGTTCCACGAGGCTGGGCTGACGGCAGAAACCGACACGGGAAGTGAGCTTTCGCTGGGTTCCCGAGCTGACGGCAGACAAGGTGTCGCGCAAAGCAACAATTCTCGGTGCGCAGAACATTGTGTTGGCCGGCAAGAGTATCATCCAGACGCGAGCGATTGTGCGAGGCGACCTGCGACGTAGCCAGGCAGGCTCGTATGTCGTCCTTTCCATGGGTCGCTACTGCCTCCTCGGCGAAGGCGCGGTCCTGCGCCCGCCCGGTAAGATCTACAAGGGCGCGTTCACGTTTTATCCCGTTCGCATCATGGACTACGTGCACATTGGAGCGGACTGCATCGTCGAAGCCGCGAGCATCGGGAGCTGCATTGAGATCGGGGCCAGGAGCATCATCGTGAGTGAGGGCCGCCTTGGGGGTCTGGCTGTGAGCCAAGCGGGTCGAGGGAAGGGGGCGAGCAGCGGGAAGGGGAGGGACAGAGGAGCAGCGCTGATGTCCAGGGCAAGTTCGCCGTCATCAAAGACTGCGCGCGCATCCTACCCGACTCGGTGGTTGCGGACGGAACAGTCATCCCCTCGCTGACCGTCTGGGGCGGTAACCCAGCCAAGCTCGTAGGCACACTGCCCGAGACGTTCCAGGAGACGATAGAGGAGAAGTGCAAGAGCTACTACCGAAACTTCCGCGCGGCCGAGCCAGAGCGCCGGCGGTAGGGATCTTGCGCGCACGGCGGTGTGAGAAGGCAGCTGAGGCATGAGGCAACGGCACGGACATGACGGCGACGAGTGACGGGTGCCGCTATATCCGGCATATCAATACCATGTATGTATTATTGCATCTCATCCCCTGCGGACAAGATCGCCCACTCCCTCGACCCAGCTGTGGGCCGCCCACGAATAATCCAAACCGTTTGCAAGCTCCCGGGCCGCCCAACTGTACATCTCTACTATCTCAACCTTCAATCTCCACTCTCCCCCTCCTATGCCCGCTTCAAGTCCTGCATCTCCACCCCGCGCCGCTCCACCTCGCCGCGCGTGCGCTTCCGCACCCGCTTCGCACGCATATACGTGCGCAACAGGCACATCCACCCGGCCATGACACCGACAGGGGGCACAAGCCAGCAAAGCCTCCACCACCAGCCGCTGCTTCCGCCCTGCTGTGCGCGCCACTTGGCGACAGCACGGTCGACCTGCGCCTCGAGGTCCGCGCGCGTCCCGCTATTGTCAATGACAGTTGTTGCGTATACCAGTTTGTCCGCGACTGGCATCTGAGCGCGCATACGGTCCTGCGCCTGCGACTCGGTGAGCGGCGCGTTGCCGGGCAGCGGCGGCCGATCGAGGAGACGGCGCAGCTGGAGCTTTTCGGATCTGAATGAGCGCTGTCCCACACATGCGAAGTAATGTTGAGAATGCGCTGGACCTGGCGATGGGCACAGGTGATAGAGGACGCCAAGCTACTCACACGAAGACAACCATGACCTCCCCGACCCACTTCCACAAACTCGCTTCCACGAGCAGGGGCACGTCGAGGACAACACACCACTCGCCACGGAGCCAGGCGCGCAGCACGCTCATGAACATCATGCGGCGCACGGCGGGGTGGATGACGCCGTTGAGGAATGTGCGCTCGTTTGGATCGCGGAAAATGATGTCGCCGAGCGCTGAGCGGTTGAGCGTCCCGTCGGCGTTGAGAATACGGTCCGCGCCGAAATGCGCCACGACCTTCTTGAAGCCAGGGCTGCCTGGCGCGATCGCGTCGCGTGCCAGAATGTCAGCGTCGATGATGGGCAGCTGGTGACGCGTGGCGAGGAGGCTGGAGACTGTGCTCTTGCCTGTGGCTATTCCTCCGGTGAGGCCGACGACTGTGAGTGGTTAGAGTGCATAGCATTGCGGCGCGGCGTACCCAGCATGGTGGCGATGAGTTGTGGTGATGTGGGTTGTCGTTGAGAGATGAAGCGAGGAGCAGATGGATCAGCGGTCGGCAAGTGGGCAGCCGGGCAAGAGGCTCGCATCAGATTCCGTTCCACCTCAGGGTTCTCGAAGCATAATGGCAATAGACTGCACTTCCGGGGTCACAGTGTGATTGTGACTACTATGTCTGAACACTCAAGGCTGCGTTCTACTCGCAAAGTAGCGGGAGCGCGAGGCCTGAGGTAGTGCGGACACTAGGAGGCCGGGATGCAGCCGTGAATAACATCGATGTCCGTACAATCAGCGACTAGATCTTCGATCGATGTCCGTACAATCAGCGACTAGATCTTCGAACGGCCGCCGCTCTCTTCTATTGTACTTTCCGTCCGCGAAGCTGGACCTGGGACTTGGGACGATAGGAAGGGAACACGCGCGGCCACCTGCCGAGTCTGGTCGGCCACCAGGTCTTACGCCGCCGCAAACAACTGCCGCATCACCTACAGATCCCAGAAGAAGTCAGTGAGGTCCTGCAGCCCATCGCCCTCCTCGCACTCCTCCGTGAGAGGCTTGGCCCCACCGAGACCGGTCACACCCCACTCGACATCGACGCCCTCGACGTCGTCCCAGTTCCACGCACCCGGCCCACCCCAGACGAGAGCCTCCTCGTCCTCGGTGTTCTCGGCCACCGGCTCCGCCGAGCCAAACATGCGCGCAAACCAGCTACGCTGCGTGGCCACGCGTCCCATTCCCTCGATGCGGCCGCCGGACGCCGATCGCGCCGACTTGAGCCGGTCCATCTCGCGGGTCAGGACTGAGCGCACGCGCTCCTCGGCCGTCTGCCTGGTCTGGGGAGCGAGATCGGGTGGCGAGAGGGTTGAGGGCTCGCGCGACAGCTGGTCGGCCTTGTGAGCCAGGATTAGGAGGCGGAGAGGCGTGGCGTTGAAGCCGCGGCGAGAAGCGGTGCCAGCCATTGCAGTAATGAGGGGCGGAAGTTGTCTGCGGTCAGCCACTGGTGTTTTACGGGCAGGAGCTGTAGATCGAGGACGACAGCGTAGGCCCGGGTGATCGCTTCGATGATCCTCGAGCACACTCACTCGGCAATCGACGCAGCGTTGCGCACAACACCAGTCACATCCACGACAAACACGACTGCGTCCGCATCGGCCACAGCGGCAGACACCTCGTCGCGCAGCCGCGCATGTCCAGCCATGTCAACAAGTCGGACTGTCTTGACGCGTCCGCCGGCGTGGAGCGCGACGCTCGCGGTCGAAGGGATCGTGGACGTGTGGGTAGCAGGCGCCTCGTCCTGCGCGAGCTGGAGTTAGCCAGGCCTGGCTCTCAGCAACGGCCGACTCACCTTGGTGAAGATGGCTGTCTTGCCCGCATCCGTCGGACCGACGAGAAGGGCCTTGGGCACGCCTGCGCGGCGGTTCTTCTTGCTTGCAGGGAAGACTACATTAGCCGTGCTCGCTCTCGTTATCGTACATGCAAAGAAGAGGAGCGCAATGAAGGCGCCGATCAACGCCGCGCAGACCATTGGGTCGGTGAGGAACTCCTTGGCAGGCGCAAAGCTGGGATGGTTCAGGAGACGCTGGACCGCCTCGTGGCGCCGCGCCTTGGCGAGTGCCATCTCGGCACGGGCGCGCAGCGTGTCGGCGACAAACTGGGGGTCGGGTTCTGCCATGGTGTTTTGATATGGAGAGATAAGGAGAGTGGATGGAAGATGAAAGACGGAAGCCGGAAGACGCACGTTGGTGCGGATCGCGGTTATTTCAAGCATTCCATCGCCGAGTCACGTGGCGCCAATTCATACAGTCCATGGCCGGCCGAGGAGGACGCGTCAAGGCGACGCAGTCTTTGCTTTTCTCAACTCTCCCACCTTGATGCCCGTAACAACATATGTTGCGCTGGGCGCACTCGTACTCTATGCCGTCGTCTGGGTCATCTGTCTGAACGGTCTACGGGTTGCTCGTGCGCGCTATGGCAAGAAACTCGCCCCATCCCGCCTCGCCGCTCTGCCGGCAAGCAGCGTGCCCGGGGTCAGCGTGATCCGGCCACTGTGCGGCCTCGACACGAACATGTACTCGACGCTCGAGAGTGTCATGCGCCTCAACTATCCCAACTACGAGGTGATCTTTGCTCTGCAAGACCCCAAGGACGAGGCGCTGCCCGTCGTGCACATGGTCATGGCCCGGCACCCGCACATTTCCGCACGGGTCGTGATCAGTGAGTCGGCGGGCGGCTGTGCCACAGGCATCGGTCAGCTCACACCAGACTCAAACAAGGTCGGCGTCAACCCGAAAGTCAACAATCTCATGGAACCGTTCGCGCAGGCGTCGCACGACATTCTGTGGGTGTTGGACGCGACGGTGGCGGTCGCGCCTGACGCACTCGGGCGCATGGTTGACGCGTTTCTCGGCCGCCGGGGCGACGAAGAGAGCGCGCCGCTTATCGCCGACGGAGAGAGACCGCCGCCGTCGCGCGGGATGGTCGGACTCGTACACCAGGTCCCCACCGCCGTCGTCTACCACGCGACATGGGGCAGCCTCATCGAACAGGCGTACCTGAACACGACCCACGCCAAGATGTACCTGAGCATTGTGCGTGTGTCCTCGCGCACAGCTGACGCCAGAACAACGTCGCGATCGAGTCGTGCGTCGTCGGCAAGAGTTGCATGTATTCTCGCGCCAACATCAACGCGCTCTCGTCGCCGGCGCCCTCCCTGGCCTCGCAGAACGTGCACGGCCTCGCGGGCTTTGGGCCTTTCATGGCTGAGGATAACATGATTGCCCTGTCGATATGGCACGAGCTGGGCCTCAAGCACGCCATGACGGGCGACGTCGCGACTGACTTTCTCGGTGCCCTCTCCGTGAAAGACTATTTCATGCGACGGGCGCGCTGGATCCGCGTGCGCAAGATGATGACGCTCCCCGCTACCTCGATGGAGCCGTTCACCGAGAGCATCCTCGCCAGTCTGTATGGCGCGTGGGCCGTGCACCACCTCTTTGGTGTGTCGCGGCTGCTGTTCTGGGTGCTCAGTATGGGCGCATGGCTAGCGACCGACCTCGCGGTCAGGAGGGCGCTGGCGACCAATGTGAGGCACGTCGGCCCACCACAGCCTACGAGTCGGTTCTTGCTGGCCTGGGCGGCGCGGGAATGCCTTGCCCTCCCGATCTGGCTGTATGCCATGGCCGGGAGTCGGGTTGTATGGCGCGGCAAAGCGTATCGCGTCCTTGCCTCCGGTGAGCTAACCATCAGATGTGGTCGCTGACTTCAGGTGAGGCCAAGCGGCTCGACTAATCATATCTCCAGCATTTGCCTCCCAGTGTGTCCCCCCACCACCCACCCCCCACACCTTCTACCCATGTAGCATATGCATAGACACCTAGACGCGCGCAAGCAGCATCGCGACGGTGCCCAAGCTCCGCCGGATGTCCTGATAGTCGACGTCGTGGGTATCCTCGACCTCGCCCCACTGCTCGATCTGCGCGCGCACCTCGACGTGGGCGGCGTGCGCAGCCTCGTCAGCCGTAATACGGCCCTTGACGAACGCGAGCGCGGCGACAAAGCTCTTGGTGGCGTACACGGCGCGCTCGAACGCCGCGAGTTCCCACGCATCCATGCCTTCCAGCACGACGCGCAGCTTATCCCGCGCACCCTCGCTGTGCTCCGGCAGCCCGAAGCCCGTCGTCTGGCCCAGCGTCACGCCGTACGTGTCCTTGAGCCATGCGACCAGCGGGTCCCAGTGCTCCTTCTGCAGGCGCACGAGCGCCGACGGCGTCTCGCCGGGGAAGCTGGGGTCAGCGGTGCCGGAAGACGGCGTTAACACGCACCAGATCGTGTCCGTCTCGAGGTACTCCATGAGAGCGTCGATGACGCCCTCGCGCGTCGGCGAGCCAGGCGCGCCGAACCCGTCGACGGCGCGGGACGCGAGCGATGTCTGATGTCAGCTGATGAGACAGAGGCTTGACGCACCAGCGGCAGCGCATGCTGCTTCAGCACCTGGTCCTGGTTCTCCCACTCGTGTGCGATGAGCGCCGCGAGCAGCCGGCGGTCCTTGGGAAGCACAAGCTTGGTGCCCGCAGGCGACTTGAGCGGCCTGTGGTCGAGCGTGACGAGGAAGCCTGGCGTGAGCGCTGAATTGCAGGAGTGAGTAGACACAGCGCGCGCCACCCCACTCAACCCACCCTCAGGATCCTCCTTGACATGCGCGTGCTTCCAGAATCGCCGGAGCGTGTGCTCAGCGCCTGGCGTCAGCTCATGCCATCCTCGACGGCGTACGGTTGGTCTGGCTAAGGGCTGGGCCAGGACGCGCCTCAGCAGTGCGCACTGCGGACGTGCTGATAGCGCGAACAGGAGGGCGGGGGACGGCGCGGAGAGCGTGAAATGCGGGGCGGAACATGGTGGATGATGAGATGGACGTTTTCCTTCCCACCTCCACTTCAAAAGTCGGGAGGTGGAGGTCGTCCACGCCAGGGCAAACTTCGGTCACCCTCAGGCGGCTTTCTCAGAATCCGCTCCTTCAACACCCGTAATATGGATAGCATCGCATGCTTCTAAGTCTACTCGTCGTCGTCGTCATCACCATCGTCATCATCATCATCGTCGTCATCCTCATCCTCGCTGACGAATAACCCTTTGTCACGCATCACACCCTTGTCGCGTTTGCGCTTGCTGCTCAGCTCGTCGAGTAGAACGAGCAAGTCCTCGTGCTCCTTCTCCATCTCGGCACCCTTCGCCTTGGTCTCCTCCAGTTCAGTCTCAAGCTTCTTGACCTGCTCGCGAAGCTTGTTGAGTTCAGCCTCGGCTTTCTTGCCCTTGCCCTTGGGTGGGGGCTCGAGGATCTTCGGCTCTTTCTCTGCCTTGTCGGCGCGCTCCTTCTCCGCCTGGGCTGCCGCCTCCGCTTTGTCGGCCCGCTCAGCGGCCTTCGCAGCAATAGCCTTGGCCTCTTCCAACTCCTTTCGAAGCGCATCCAGCTCGGAAGTCACGCCCTCAAGCTGCGTCTTCGTTTCGGCATGGGCAGCAAGCTCCGCCATCTGCGAGGTCGCCTGTGCGCGGGCTGCCGAGAGATCAGAACGAAGAGTTTCTAGTTCAGTCGAGGACTGTGCGCTTGCTGCTCCATCGGCCGAGAGCTTGGCGAGCTCCTTGGAGAGAGCTTCAATCTCGGATGCGAGCTGGTCCTTCTTCACCGTCAGCTTACATAATCCCTAGGGACTAACCTCCTTGTTATGTTCCGACGCCTTGTGCGACAGCTGCGACTGGAGCTTGACAACCTCGTCAGTCTGCGCCTTGAGCTTTTGACGCAGCGACATGATGATGCCTGCTGTTTCACTGTCATCCGCAGAGGTCCGACTTCCGACGGCGTCGGGGTCCACTGCAATGGAGCGTTGGATAGTGTCTGCTGTCAGCCGTGTTTGCCGATCACCCGCTCACAGTAGTGGTTCTTCCAAAAGTCGACGAAAGCCCAGTCAAACCACAACTCTAGCCCTTCGTCCTGCTCCTCCGAGTCCTGCGACTGGTGCGCGGCAGTTGCATCCTCGCCCTCAGTGTCGAAAGCATCTGGCTGCACCGCGCGGAATCGTGGGTCCTCGCGCAGACGGGCCATCCGCGACACGAATTGGTCTGGGCCAATTCTCGAGTGGAGGATCGGGTGAAGGGTGGCACGCGTGACCTCTCCAGGCTCACGGTTGAACTCGTAACATATGCCGAGCAGGAAGGCGCACAGCCCCTGGATGAGCGGGTCAATGCCGGTGGGCTGGGTGATCGGGGTAATGAGCTGAGCAAGTCAGCCGAGAGCAGAGATTTAAACTCACCACCTGCAGGTTCGCGCTCTCGGAGAGGAACTCGGCGACCGACTTGGGCGAGTCCCAGAGCCAGGTCGACAGCAGTACCAGATAGCCGACCATTACGCGCGTCCACGTCTCATCCTCGACCGAGTTGTCACCGCGGCCTTCCTTGGTGGCTTTACTGGCCGCCTCGCCCTGGGCTTGCGCGGCCATCATGAGATTGCCGACGACAAGCTGGAGAAGCGAAACGTTATCGTCCTCCTCATCGTCGCCCCCGCCCGGGAATGAGATCTCACGGGCAAGCTTCTTAGCGTGCTCCGAGCTCCGTAGCAGGTGCGACATGAGAAGGCACGAAAAGAGCGGGCGGTAGGGGTCGAAAGGTGCCTCACTCGTGTGAAAGTCAAGAAGCCCGGACATGATGAGTGAGCCTGCGGACTGGGGAGTGTCAGGAAAGTTAGAGTTGACATTGTCCTCCGGCGGTGGCACCATGGACGAAATGATGCCTATCCTGGCGTCATCGTTGTTGTTGACGTAGCCCTGGAGATCAGCTGCTGCAGAAGAGTTTGGGAACGCTCACCTCGAACATGTTCACACCAGCAGCACGGCCGCGCAAGCCGCGTCCACCGGCACTCGGGTCGCCCTCGATAACAGCTGAAACAAGCGCAACGACTGCTGGCCGAGGAGGCAGTCGGACAAAGCCGCCGTTAGGGTGCTCCATGTCAGCATTGACTGGAACCAACGGCGCGAGCATCAGCGTCGACAGCAGCGCCTGGTTCGGTAGCGACGACAGCATGATAGGCGTGAGGGTGTTCAGAGCCTGGCATTTGAGACCATTCGGTGCGTTGGAGGCAAGGGACAGCTCGAGCAAACACCTCGTAACGCCGCTGCTCGCCATGGCAGACTGATTGGGGCCGCCGGGGCCACCGATAAGCATGCGAATCAAGCCGAGCACCAAGCCAGCGTTGAACAACTTCTGCTCGGGCCAATCCTGCAGCGCGAAGGTGTCCGGCGCCGGCTCGTCGGCCGCGAGCGAGTGAGGGAAGTGGAGAATAGGTGGGATGGAGGGGATGAACGAGAACTCGCGGAAGAGATTCTGTCATCAGTTCGCCGGGGCTCTGGGTAACTCACCTGATTGGAAACGTTAAAGCGTAAAAGGGTGCCGATGACAGTCAGTGCGTCTTGGACGACGATGCCGCCCTCGATGCCGTTTTCGGCCGCGATAATGTCAAGAATCTTCTCAAATGCCCCAGAGAAGGCAATGATCTTCTGCAGGTCGGCGTTGCCGGCAAGCATGACGGGAAGGAGCAGAAGAGCCTCATTGCGCAGCATCTCACCAGCGCCACCGCCCATGACGGCGCCCTGAGACCCCGGTGGCGGGGCCTTGGGGTCAAGCACGGTGAGCACGCCGTCGACGCCTGGTGGTGGTGCAGACAGGATATAGCTCTGGGCGAGGGGAGCTCGGGCGGTGAGGATCTGGGAAAGGAATTGCAGAGCGTAGAAGCGCGGGAAGAACGCGGGCGATGTCGAGAGCAACCCGATCACGGCGTGAAACGGCTCCGGGGTCTGGTGTCAACACTCTCTGCCGCGTCTCATTGAAGGTCGCGGATCTGACTCGGCCACCTTCCCTCCGTCCACGCAACCTATGCACGATGATGCAGTGAGGACCATACCGCGCGCGTCCGGTCGGTCCAAGCGCACCGGCATCTCGGTCGTTCCCCCTACGCTTCCTACAGACCGCTCACTCACCTCGAGAAACATGTCGATGTGCTTGAGACCCACGTCGTCCTTGGCGGGCTTGCTGTTAGCTTGAGTCTTGCCATACTTGCCAACCTTGTCCGGGACTTCACAGAGGCTCATAAGCGCCTCAAGCACGGCCTTGGCGATGTCAACATCGTACGGGGCATCGTGTTGCAGCACAGCAAGGAGAGATGGGAAAGCCTCCTGACCGACTTCGGCCTTCCAGTCGCGACTGAGGCCCTTGAGGCCAAGGACGGCGGTGCGACGATCATCGACCTGAGGTGAAGTCTGAATCTTATCAACGAGCTTGGAGATTGTATCGTTGGCGGTTTGGGGGGCGGCGCTGAGCTCTCCCCTCAGCGCTGTAACAGCGGAGGAGAAGCGCGAGCCGAAGAGGGACATTGCGCGAGAGTGGAGATGAGAAGGAGGGAGGATGGGAGGACGGTAAGGAAGATGGAGGCGGCGAGCGGAGGTTGAGCCGACATGAGCATGCCCTGGCACGTCACAACGAGCGCGTCCTGGGGATCCTGGGGAGCCTTGGTGGGACGGGATTAAACTCACGTGGTGGGCAGACGGAAGCAGATGAGAAGATGTGCGTTCGTTCGACACAGACACGAAGATTATTATTACACCGACTTTTGTTCTTCTCCAATTGTTTGTTCATTCCAGGTTGATAGAAGAAAGGAAAGCAGTGGCGTTGTGGCACTGATTGTGGCGCAGATCCGACATGGACGGATACCTCGAGGTGCTCACCACAGATCCCACACATCACCACATCGCCTTTCAACCCCTCGGATCCTCCTTGCCTCTGGTGCTCGAGTCCTCTGGCGCTCTGGCCCACGATGGTCCATGGCCCGTGGTACATGGCCCATGGCGCTACACGGCGCTACATGGCGCCCTTGGGTGACATGACTTTGTCGACGCCTCCCGCCTTCAAGCTCGTAGGAAGTTAGGAACGATCCACACACACGAGTGGCGTTGTAACCCTATTGTTGCTCACCACCAACACCTTTGTCACCGCTGTCGCTCCTCAAGCACCATGCACTAACCACTCACCCTCGCTCTCCCCTCCCCCTCCCCCCTCCTTGCATCTCATACCCGGCGGCGGCGGCAACCACACGCCCACACGCCCAGTCACATGCAACGCCACCCCAATGGAACCCCCGCTGACACACTCACTCACCCACCCAAGCCACGTCCCCCTCTCTTCCGCCTCAACCCGTCTCCACACTGACAATGGCCACTCACCTCTCACCCCTCCTCCTCATCTCCGAGCGACTCATTGCCTCTGCCATTGCCGCATCCATTGTCCTCTGAGCTCCGCTTCTATCGCCCCTTCTCTGCACACTTCTTCATCACCGCCCCCATCGCGTCCATCTTCATACTACTCCCACATTGCTAATCGCCCTCTCCACCATGCCCCCCACCCATCGACACTTCTCTGGACCACCCATTCTACCTCCCGTCCCAGAACTCGCTTTCGACATCCTCGACGGCTTCACCTTCCAGTTCGACTCTTTGAGCACTCCCCCGTCGGCAGCCTTTGACGCCTCTTCACCAAGAGTTCACTCCCCCCTACCCATCAGACTCATGTCGAGCCGCCTCATTCCTCAACCGCCACCCAACGCACTCGCAGACGTCCCGGAAGACCTCTCTGACACAGAAGAGGCCAACGAGGACATGGAGCTATCCACCACCCTCCCTTCATACTCAGAGTCGCCCTCCTCGCTCTCACGGGATGGCAACGGCTCTTCGATTCCTAACGGAGGGCCCTTAAGACCAACAGCACCTCTCAACATCCGCAAGAAACTGTCAGCGTCTCCACCAGGCGGGCGTGAGTGACCATGTGAAGCGCGCTTACACCAGTTTTCGCTTTGCGGATGCAGCACCGCACTACACTTCCTGACTGCCCCCGCACCCCCTCACCAGGTCATGACTACTGCTCCGTCGAGCGGCTAGACCCCATCCTTGCCGCCATCGTCAACGGTGACATGCGCGAGGGTGGCCTCCCAGAAGAGCTTGTAAGCGAACCGGGCGCGAGGGATCTCCCAAGCCGGCCTGCCATCAGCGTGCAAGACCACATCCCACCAGATGGGACCTCGCCCGGCTCCCAGCTGTCATTGCCGCCGGGCATCGAATGCACGTGCGGGAATTGTGAGCCAAACGCCTCATCTTCCACCCGCCGCGCGCTTCCACCCTTGTCCGACTCTTCTAGGTCAACACCCTCTCCTCAGCTTTCACCGCGCACGGGGCCCTCAGAACAGCCGCCGTCAGGGGGTGGTTCGTCTCCTGTGGGGGCAGCATCTCGCCCCCCGCCCGTGCCCGAGGACTCCAGTCATGATCGCCGTACGCCTGAGCAAGACCGCAGCGCTCCGTACATGCCGCCCAAACAAGAGTGGGGGTCACAAGCTACTTGGCGACAGCATGATGCAGCCCCAACTCCGTCACTATACGCGTCCAGCACAGCCTCCTCTATCCAGCCATCACTTGCAACTGGCTCCTCCCACCGCCCACTGCCGCCACGGCGACCACCACGGCCATTGGAGGGTCTGGCGATAACGAGCCTGGGGCCTTTGGAGCCCGCTGCGCCAGTACAGCCAGTACACCTGCAGACTCTGGAACGGACATACCCGCACTACGAGAAGAGCTATACGGCTTCGACGAAGGGGAGCGTGCACAGCCGCCGCCCGAGCGAGCCAGATACCGGGTCGCGGGGCGCGCTCAGGGATGCGTTCGCCGAAGGCACCAAGGCCTTCGTGACCACCCTAAACAAGCGACGAGAGGAGGACAGAAGACGCAGCGTCTACTCTCACAAACGCAACGCCGACAGCGAGACGTGGGCGCCGAGCGAGTTCGACATCCCCCCTCCAACGACGAACGCGAAGGCTGTGAGCCTGCTCGGCCACCATGACCGGCGGCACGACCGGCGCGGCTCGGACGCCGATGAGCTGCAGATCACGCCGGCGCCTCGACCCTTTCCCGGAGCGACGAGCAAGGCCGCCGCACTCTTGGGTATTGGCGTGGCGGAGCCACCGCCGGTCAAGCGATTCGGCAAGTTTGGCAGCCCAAAAGCGCCGCCAAACGCCCTGCACGCCATCCGCCGCACCCAGCCCACGGGGTGGAGTGGTGCTGGCGCCAGCGCGACGATAAAGAGAATGAGCCAGTATGCGTTCCAGATGATGGATGACGACATCGACTTGAGCGACGATCTCGAGACGCCAGCGCCAGTCCATCCCATTCCGCATGAGGAGGACGTGACGATCGCGCCTGGCCCCGGACAGAGCTTCACGCCCATGTCTGCGCGTTTGAGCGTGCACGGTGCGAGCCCGCGCGGAGCAAGTCCGCGCGGCGTAAGCCCGCTCAGCTCAAGTCCGCACAGCACGGGCTCCGCGATGCGCAACACCCCCTCCCCACTCGGCTCGGGACACCCGTTCGCTGCGATTCCCACCCGCGTCACACCCCAACCCCGTATCCGGCCGGAGGGCACGTCGCCCTCAAGCCTCAGCGCGAAATCCTCCCCACTGGTTCCGCACACGCCACTGAGCGCGTACTCGCACTCGTCGGGCGCGGCCTCGTCGTCGGATTCATCCCGCGCCCCGACAGCCCTGCAGCGGAAAAGCACGCTCAAAGCCCGCCCACCCCCAATCTCCGTCGAGCGCATTTCCCCCACGCGCGACTTTCCCCTCGTCGAGGTGCCTACGCCGCAAACCATACCTTCGTCCTCGACACCGACCACCGCTAGACCCGTCATCTCCCAAACGGAGGCGAACGAGCCGCCGAGATTCAAATCCCACATACTGGCCAAATACCGGCTCATCGAGCCGCCCATTGCGGTGGCCGACCAGCGAGACAGCACTTGCACGATGTCGACCACGGCAAGTGGGGCGACAGGCATGTCGTCTAATAGCGGCTGGTCAGACAACAGCGACACATACACCAGCCGGGAGAGCTATGCCGCCTCAGCGCGCGAGAGCGTCGCGGCCAGCCGCCACAGCCTGTACACGTCAGCGTCGACGGAGAGCTTTGGCTCTCACAATGCGCCACGGCGCTCAGGGGCGTCGGTCGCGCGCGTCGACTCGCTGCCGTCTGCCGCGGGGCGCGACGACAAATCTCTCACTGCGCGCTTACACAAACACGTGCGCACGACGTCCACGGCGTCCTCGGCGTCCTCAGCCTTCTCGGCGGTAAACAGCGCGACGGCGACGCTCAAAGCAGCGGCATTCACCCTCTCGGGACTGGCGGCACACATCGCGCCGGGCCTCACGACACCGGAACACGGCAAGAACCCGCACGAGATCCCCGCACACATGCGCATCTTTCCCGCGCCGGACGAGGCGCAGGTGCCGCAGACGCAGCCCAAGCCGCCGCCATGGCACAACTACAAGATCCGGTACGACAAGGACGGGCGCGAGATCCCGGACCTCACGCCGCGCCCGCTGCTCGCGGCCCCCGTCGAGGAGAGCTGGTTCGAGCCGTCCACCCCCGTCAGCCCCGGCGCGGACGAGTCCGCCCTGCATAGAGTTGGCACGCTCGTGCGCCGCGGATGGAGGCGCAAGTAGTTTGTATTCTAGTATATAGTGTGTGCATAGTGTAGCTAATAGAGCTGGGCGTGGCGCTTGATGGATACGCTGCGATGCTGACGACTCTGATTTATTCACTGATGCCGTGCTCTGACGCGGGGGTGGGAGTTGAAGATAAGGGTTACTTGCCGCCCGTGAGTAGTGACTTCGCCCGCATCGCTCCGACCGAACTCTTCATTGCACATTCTCGGGATCGCTCCGCCTGCAGTTCTCATTGTGCATCTTCGGGGTAATCGGGAGGAGCTCTCGAAATGACATTATCCATCTCCGATCCATGCTTCCTACGCGTGCTTCTTCCGTGAGTCTGTTGAAAAAGCTCGGGATTAAACGAAGGCAGCATGAATCGCACCCGCGACGCTCGAGGACCAGCCTGGACGCGGCTCGGCAACATTGCAATGCGAGAGCTTTCCTAACGGCGTAAAATCGCGGTTGATAGGGTTGGTCATGTTTCTTGACCCACTCACTTCCACTTTTGTGTACGGTTTAGCTTCAGTAGGAAGGTGTGCAGAAGCTAATTTTATTGGGACTAGCCGGGGCAATAATCGTACATGTGTAGCTCTTCGCCTTTGAATAGTCGCCTTCTCCCGATGTCCGATAGTTCGCTGTTCTGCTCTGCGCTGTTCCCGCTGTCTTTCCGGCTACCGAGCTCCGGGATGGACTTGAGTCTTTTGGATTTGTTAAAAGAGCACTTCAGGACCCCGTCCCTTCCCCCCCCGGCCTTCCAAAATATTCTCCATTTCCTCTTCAACTTCCAACCTTTTTGTTTGGCAAAGCGGTCCCGTTTGCGTTGCCCACCCCCGCACACTCCGAGGTCACGAACGGCATTCAACATTCGGCTAAGGACTGTCATGCGTTCATGGAGCGCATGGCAGTCCTAGACCTGATGCAGAGTGCTGTAGATAGAGAGATGTACGCTTGACCGCGACATCGGGCGCAGCTTTGTTGCCACCAGTGTCGGTTGACGATATATCCGGCGAGACTGGTTGTTTTCTTGGGGCAGCTATTCCGAGCGCCGCGTTGTTCCGCCCAGCGCAGCGTTCTCTAGTGTCACGCAGCAGAGTATAACTGGGTTAACCCGCTCACCCGCACAGGTTTGAGGCATTTAGTTAGTTGGGTGGCAATTCGACGCGGATGCCTCAGCCGATGCAGCCGAGCAACGGCGGACTGTACATCCCGCCGAGGATGGTTGATGATGCAAGACGCTGGAGGCGGATGTGGCGGAAAATGGTCGCGTTGATTATTACTTAGGCCCAGTGGATCGCGTGAGCCGATCGCGTCGTGGGATGTAATTAGCCCGAGAGGCGGTGCTACTCTAATGAAGATTAGCATCGAAATCTAATGGAATGACGTCAGAAGGTAGATCCCGCACCGACCTCTGGTTATGCGCCTGCCAAGCCCCCCCCCCGCGCCGTGTGTCCGTCTCTTTGCACGTTCCGCCACTCTCTCGTCACCTCCGTACCTCATCTCGACTCTGGCCGTCCCGCGACGCCCACTCGCTCCTCGCCGTCGCGCGTCATCGCTATGGGATTCCAACGCCACTGGCAAGACAACTCGTATATAGCTCAGCAGAACAAGCATCTCGTCTATCCATCTCCCACTCCTCCTCCTCCTCCTCCTCCCCTACCTCCACGCCACCCATTCCTACACACCCCTCCAAGCTACAGCCCCACCTACGAGCAAGAGTATTCTCTTCCACTCGACTACTCCCGCTTCAAAGCCCCCTACCCCGACCACATACGCAGCATGGCCAACACCGACGCTGAGGGCTACCTCCTCCTCACCATACCCGAGGCCACAATCGGCCAGATATTCGATGGCGAGAAGATGGACCTCGGCCGCGGCGAGCTAGCGTGAGTGACCTGATTTTGAACGGGCTCCGAACTGACCTCAGCGTCGAGTGTGTCTCGGTCCCCATCCCTCCCGAGATTGGACACCAGACTGCCAACCCGTTCGAGGTCTCGCCCAACGATCCCGCCCCTACCCACGACATGTGGCTCGTCCTCCGCATCGGCGACAACTTTGAGCACACCCTCGTCCCCGGGAACGCCATGGAGGCGCGCTCACCTCCCGGTGGCGACGGCGGTCCCACGTACATCTTGCGCAACCCGGATGTCCCGGGGGCCGAGCTTGTGCTCTCCCTGGAGGCGCCCCGCTCCCTTAACGAACTCGAGGACCTCGGCACCCTCGAGTCCCTCTTCCGCCAGTACGGTGTCCTCCCCAGCGGCTCGGGTCTTGACGGCGTCCAGGCGCCATCGCTTGGCCACCGTGTCAGCTTCGGCGACTCCAAGTCGGGCTTTGGCGCCCCCGCCGGCCAGCCTCCGACTTACGCCTCGACCGAGGGCGCCGGTCCTGGCTCCGGCGCGTATCACGATGAGAAGTCACGCCCTGGCGTGGGAGCTGCCGCCGCGGGCGCAGCGGGTTTTGCAGGCGCAGCTGGTGCCAGCACGATGGCAGGTTCCAGTTCATCGGCTCAGACCCATCAGAACATACCCCTTGTGCATGGCGGCAGCGCCGAGGATCTGCGCGGCAAGCTTGTGCTCGTCGACGAGACGACGGGCGCCGTCATCGGGGAGATGGACCATGCGCCCAAGATGAGCGACGCCGAGGCTGCCGATGTCGCCAACCAGGAGCCCACGAGACCCGTCATGATCGACTTTGGCCCGATCGTAGCGCACACGCGTGAGGTGCGCGTGACCCGCATCCCGCCCGACGAGATCGACGGGTGGATGCTCAAGGGCGCCGACTTTATCTCTCGCGGCGTCCTCGGTGCGTCGAGCGCCGCCAGCGGCGCGATGATGCGCTCCGCCGAGCGCTACCGCGCCAAGGCTGTGCCCCGCCCCGAGCCTGTGCGCATGGGCGCAGTCACGAGCTCGCTCAAGAGCGTGCACGGCGCGACGACGGCCGGCGCCCGCGTCACCGGCAAGACTGTCGGCATGATCAACAACCAGGTCGAGCGCCTCGTGTCCAAGAAGCAGAAGGGTGGCCAGGTCTACGCCGCCCCGCAGCCCGGCGCCGCTGGGCCTGCAGGCTTCGTGCCCCAGAAGTCGACGTTCCAGCAGATCAAGGAGGCTGCTGTGCCCGCGGCCACGTCGGCCTACGGCTGGGCCAAGACCCAAGCCCAGCAGCGCGGATACCTCGGCGGCGCTCCCGGTGGCACCGGCACCCACGCGCCCGGAACGACGACGCCGGGCGGCGGCGCTTACGGCGCTGATCACGGTGCGCCGTACGGCACTGCCGGCGGCCAAGCCCCGCCTCTCCCGCCCAGAATCGGCACGGAGAAGGCAAGCGCCGCGGCCGGTCCCGGCCAAGGCGGATCCCCGCTCACGCCCAACCAGCCCTCCCCTGGCGGCTACAACGAAAAGTCGTCGTACTCGGCTTCGACGTATGGCGCGGCCCCCGGCGTGCCCCTCGGCACGACCGGCAACACCCACCTCGGCCCGGGGTACACGTCGAGCTATCCCGACGAGAAGAGCGGCTATGCGCCGCCGCTCTCGCCGGCCGGCTCGGCCCCGGGGTCCGGATACGCGACGCCGACGGGCAAGAAGAAGAAGCGCCCGCTGCTGAACCGGACGATCTTGGCGGCAGACGTCATCCTGTCGTCGTTCGAGGCGGCCGCGAACGAGCTCGTCACGTCCGGCACGCACGCGGCGTCGACGGCCGTCGGCGCGCGCTACGGCAACGATGCGGGCGCCGCCGTCGCGTACACCGGCGCGAGCGTGCGCAACGCCGTCCTCGTGTATGTCGATGTGCGCGGCGTCGGCCGCCGCTCCATCCTCAAGGCGACTGCGAAGGGGTGGGTCAAGGCGCGCATGAAGAACGGCGAGGAGGTCCGTCTCCAGCCGGTCGCCCCGAACCAGGCCCAGCCCACGTACAAGAACGAGGAGGGGCACGTTGTTGTTGGCGTGCCGGTTGCTCCGGAGAAGAAGTAATGACTACGGTGGGGCAAGGGCGGCAATATAGACTCTAGTTCGGTACACGATTTTGATGCATTTGGCCACGCTGGGCAATATGAACACGCGATCTGTTGACGTTTGAGTATTTAGTGAACGGAGCAACTTCCATTAATCTCATGTCCTACGCCGCCGCGTCTTCGAGGTCTGTGCATAATCACCGCCGAAGCACTACTATATATTGTTGCTCGCTAGAAACTTCGGAAACTATATTCAATCTTCTTCAGTGTCCTTGGTGGCTTCGTCCTGGTCTAGAGGACCATATTGTGGCGCACGGCGCGCGCGACAGGCGTGCCGCGGCGGCCGAGGCGGCCTTCGACGGTGCTGAGGTCACGGCGCTGGATCCAGCAGTCGAGGTCAAGGACCTTGAACACGCCCTGGCTCTCGCACTTGCCTGCAGCCTTGTCGAAGCACATGTCCTTCTCGATGCGCAGCGCGCGCGGGACCTGGCCAAGCCCGCATCCATCGCTAAGAAGACACAGCGCCGCCTGGAGCGAGTAGTTGACGCCGCAGACGCAGGCCTTGTCGAGCGGGCCGGCGCAGCCCGACGCCTTCATCGAGTCGAGGATGCAGCCCTGCGCGCACGAGTTGAGCGGGCTCAGGTCCGGCAGGCCGAGCGAGGGGCACATGGCGCGCTCGAGGTTGAGCGCCGCGATCACGTCCGACGTCTTGCACTGCGTCATCAGGCAGGTCGAGGCGGCGTTCGTAAACTTCTCCGAGCAGATGCACTTGGTGTCCGTCGGGCCGGTGCAGCCCGCCGACGCGACCGTTTGGGTCACGCACTTGAGCGCGCAAGGCGTGAGCTGCGAGAGGTCGGGGATGCCGCCGGAGCCAGAGCCAGAGCCCGAGCCCGAGCCCGAGCCCGAGCCGGAACCAGAGCCCGAGCCAGAGCCAGAGCCAGAGCCCGTGCCGGTGCCGGTGCCAGTGCCGCCGCCGCTGCAGCGCGTCGCCTTCTGGGCAAGAACAGCCGAGACGTCGGCGGCGCCACACGCAAGAACGCACGGAGTGGCGGCAGCGGTGAACTTGTCGGTACAGATGCAGGCGTTGTCCGTCTCACCCTTGCATCCCTGCGACGCGATGGCATCGGTCATGCACTTGGTCGCGCAGGGCGAAAGCGATGCGCCGCCAGTGCCAGTTCCAGTTCCAGTGCCAGTTCCGGTGCCAGTGCCGGTTCCAGTACCAGTGCCCGTACCGGTACCGCCGCCCGAGCAGCGGGTAGCCTTCTGGGCGAGGACGGCGCTGACGTCCGCGGCGCCGCAAGCCAGTACACAGGGCGTGGCAGCCGCCGTGAACTTGTCGGTACAGATGCACGCGTTGTCGTTTTCTCCAGCACAGCCCTGCGACGCAATCGCGTCCGTCATGCACTTGGTGGCGCACGCCGAGAGGGGCGCGCCGCCCGTGCCGGTGCCCGTACCAGTGCCAGTGCCAGTGCCCGTTCCAGTGCCGGTGCCAGTGCCCGTGCCCGTGCCGGTTCCGGTACCCGTGCCCGCGCCGCCGCCGGAGCAACGGGCAGCCTTCTGCGCCAGAGCGGTGGTGACGTCTGCACTGCCGCAGGCGAGGATGCAGGGCGTAGCGGCGGCGGTGAACGAGTCCTTGCAGAGACAGGCGTTGTCGCTCTCGCCAGAGCAGCCCTGCGACGCAATCGCCTGCTGCATGCACTGCGTAGCGCACGGCGAGAGGCCGGACGAGCCGCCCGTCGAGCCGCCCGTAGAGCCGCCAGTCGAACCGCCCGTAGACCCGCCGGTGGAGCCTCCGGTCGAGCCGCCAGTCGAGCCACCAGTAGAACCACCAGTCGAGCCGCCGCCGGAGCAGCGCGCCGCCTTCTGCGACAGAGCAACGGTGACGTCTGCACTGCCGCAGGCGAGGATGCAGGGCGTCGCGGCGGCGGTGAACGCGTCCGTGCATAGGCAGGCGTTGTCGCTCTCGCCGGAGCAGCCCTGCGAGGCGATCGCCTGCTGCATGCACTTGGTGGCACAGGCAGAAAGTCCGCTCGAGCCGCCGGTGCTGCCGCCGGTGCTGCCGCCGGTGTTTCCTCCGGTGTTCCCGCCAGTGTTCCCGCCAGTGTTGCCACCAGTGTTGCCACCAGTGTTGCCACCAGTGTTGCCACCAGTGTTGCCGCCGGTGTTGCCGGAGCAGCGCTGGGCCTTTTGAGCGAGCAGAGCCTGGACGTCTGCGGTGCCACAAGCGAGGACGCACGGCGTCGCCGTCGACGTAAACGCATCAGTGCAGATACACGCGTTGTCCGTCTCGCCCTTGCATCCGCGCGCGGCAATAGCGTCGGTCATGCACTTGGTCGCACACGCCGAGAGGCCGCTGGAGGGTCCGCTGGGCGAGCCCGACGACTGGGGCGCGGGGGTGGTGGGCCTGGCGGAGGACGGGGGGGCGCCCGTTGGCGGGGCGCTGGTAGGCGGTGCGCTGGAGGGCGGAGCAGAGGAGGGAGGTGCCGAGCTGACGTTGGCGCAACGGGTCGCCTTTTGCGCGAGGAGGGCGGAGACGTCGGCAGCGCCGCAGGCGAGCACGCACGGCGTCGCAGCGGACGTGAAGGCGTTCGTGCAGATGCAAGCGTTGTCGTCCGGGCCACGGCAGCCCTGCGACGCGATCGTGTCTGTCATGCACTTGGTGGCGCAGGCCGAGAGGCCACCCGTCGAGCCGGAAGGCTGGGGGGCTGCGCTGGTGGGTGGCGCGGAGGAGGAAGGAGGGGCCGATGAGGGCGGGGCAGAGGACGAGGGAGGAGGCGCAGACGAGGACGGAGGGGCCGAAGAGGACGGAGGGGCCGAGGAGCTGGGAGGGGCCGACGACGAGGGAGGGGCCGACGAGCTGGGGGGCGCCGACGAAGACGGAGGAGCCGAAGAGCTGGGCGGGGCTGACGACGACGGAGGGGCTGACGACGACGGAGGGGCCGACGAGCTGGGAGGGGCCGACGACGAAGGAGGGCTGTCGCAGCGCGCAGCCTTGGCAGCGAGAGCGGCCGTGATGTCGGCAGAACCACATGGAATAATACACCCAGTGACGGCGGTTACGTAGGGCTGGCTACAAAGACAAGCGTTGTCGTTGACGCCCTGGCACCCAGCCTGGGTAGCAGCCGATTGGAGACAGGCCCTGCCACATGGGGTGAAGGCAGCGAGGGGGTCAGTCCTGTGTGTTAGAGTTTTGCTAATAGCAAAATGGGGCGGACGCACTGAGCGGAGACCGCAAGGGAGAAGATCAAGGCGAGAGCCCAGGTCTTCATGATTGCTGAATGAATGTGGCGTTGAAGGACGTCGAATCTCGGCAACAACGGAGGGGTTTATATCTCATTTTCTCTCCACTGTACATGCCACCGACATGCAAACAGGAGGGCGTGAAGGGGTGAGAGGCAAGGTAAGCGGGCATTGATCACCGGTTAGTTGTTGTCCGTGTTTGGACTGGTTAGTGAGATGGAGAAAGATCGGAAGGAGGGGGGATGGAGAGAATGGCTGCCACATCACGTGGCGGTGAGCGCCGCCGCCTGCGTCAGTCCTCTCCTCACCCCCCACTCATTCCCGAAGCCGGTCTCTTCCGTGCGCCTCTTCTGTGCGCGTGTTCAAGGGACCCCGCGGAGCCCTCGAGGTGCTCCAACTCGTCCATGCCGAGTCTGGGGTCGACCTCAGATGATGAGACCTGCCGAAGAGGGCATCAGGTAATTCTATTCTTGCAAGTGGCGCCGACACACATGGGGCAGTCATGTCCACGCTCTGTCCATTGTCCGCGCGGTCCTGACGAGGTCATGGGGTCATGGAGCAATAGGCCGTGAGCCATGGCCACTGGCGGCTGCGCCGGCCGAGTGAGAATGGGGACGAGGACGAGGAGGAAACTAGGAGCTAGGTTAGCGGCATACGAGACGCAAGCCGGAGGCCGGAGGCTGGCCTCCTCGTGTCTGGACCGTAGCGCCCGTAGGCTTCCCGCTGCCCCTCGCGATTCAATTGGCGATGACGATGATGCCGACGTCCGGTGCAGTGTGCCGTGATATCGTGGCGCATCCAATGCCCCTTGCAGCTGAGATGATAGTCTCGGGGTTTAGGGGGGCTGTTACTTCTGTCTCGCCGCCGGCTGCAGCTCGGAAGCCTTTGCGGAGGCTCGATCCTCGATCCTCGATTTTGTCGAGGTCTTAGATCCGCGGAAAGATGTGTTTGGGGTCCTCGCGGTTCTCGGTCCAACGTCCTCCTCGGTCCGCTGCCCGCATGGGGAATGCAGGATGGGACAGGCCGGAATAAGGTGCAGTGAGACGCTCGTGAGACATGCATCGCATCGCATGCGACCAGGGGCAGGGACGGCGACGGTTGGCCGTGCCGGATGATAAGTGCCACTTGCCGATCACCGAAGGCGCCTGGCCTCGGAAGGGTGGTGCCTGGCGGCGAGCGCCACGGAAACCGGCAGACCCAAGAATCAATCGAGCCCGAGACCGAACAGTAAATTCCGAGGGTAGGTGGTCCTCCGAGCTTGCAGCGATCCAAGCATGTGTCCGCCAAGCATGGCAGCTGTCTCAGAACGATCAAGCGAGTCCAAGTAAAAAAAAGAGGCTCGGCAACCTCTCGCTACCGGTCTGGCATACTAGTCTCTTCAAGCTCCAAGTCTAGCGGCTTGACGCTCCTTTCCGGTTCTGTGCGGCTGGCTCTGAATGCGGTATTATCTTCTTTCCGACGCAGTTGAGAATAGATTGCCTGATTTTGCCGTATGGTTGTCGCCTAATCCGAGCTAATCTCATCCATCGGTCCTGCATGCCTTGGCAAGTTGGCACGAGAACTTGTTCAGCGCTCAATTCTTAACTCGCTCACCGCAACTCCTCCGCTACGTCCGGCGGCTCACGTGATGTCCCGGCTCACCTTGAGCGCTGTTGACTCGGCGTTCGCTCCGCTCCGTACGTGTGCTCTGCATCCACCTGAGTCACAGATGCCACAACCCTCATGGAATGTGTTTCGGGGTCAGAATGGACAGGCACTTGTCGAATAGCGCGGTGGCGCCGTCAAGCCATTCCCCCACGTCGACCGCCTCGCCGTAACGCCCTGCCGCCGTCCCGGTCTGAATGATACCGGCGCTGTGATTGCCGAGACGCCGTGGCCATGCGGCCGTGAGACGAGAATGACGCTTGGCCCTCGGCACAGCATTGTCATTATGACGGATGCGTGACTAAATGTCCGGCGCTATCAAAGCGGCGCATTCGGATACGGCGAACATGAGGAATGTGGCAGATACAACTGATACATGTGCGTGGGCCCCGGCATTGACTGGACTGTTTGCCGGGTCGTCGACGTCATGTCGATCGTCTCAATGTCGGGGTCGGGGGTGAGTGTGCTCACCCAATTTTCTTCTCCACAAGGTCGACATCTTGCGAGCCATGAGGAGGATTGTCTTCAAAGAGTGGATGTGCGCCCCTACCTCGAGGCCTTTGACGTTTTGCGGTAAGGACCACAACGATGAACCACATCAGGACTGAGACCGTGGTGACGACTCACACAGGCTAAATATTACTCGCAAGACAAGAGAGTGTAACAAGCAGTAGGGACCCTACCCAAACCTTGGCTCATGAGTCGCAGCGCTGACAGAATCGTATGGAAATACTCGCTTGACGCTCGACAGGCTACTGAGCCAATAGCGCTGGACACACAGGACTGGCCGGCGAACGACGAAGGAGGTGTGCCAGATGACCTCCGCTAAACCATTGGTTCTGAACGATCAGTCCTGGATAGATCATTGCCGAACGGCAGGCCAGACCCAACAGCTTTGCGGAGCCTGTGCCATCGATCCTGGGTTCCCAACCTTCAGGACGACCAGTCAGCCGCAGGCAACTGGAAGAATAATGCAGCCACATAGGCTTTGTCGACGACACACAGCCAACGCAAGCCCTGATGATTGCAATCCATGGTGGCTGTGAGTCGTCGACACAGCCCAGGCGGCTAAATGACTGTGGGGGGGAGGGATCATCCGCTGCCCTGGCCATCCGCTGCACATCCAGCTACTGGGCAGTTGCTGGGTTGATAGCTAGGCCTCCCCGCAAGCTGGATGAACTTTCTTGGAAGGCTCACATGACCCACTGCACATGACCTCTCCATCATCTTGCTTGGTTGCTGTCACGGCTCACGCCATGCGAGTGGGCGAGCAGCGACGAAAAACTCCTCTAAAAGGGGCCCTCATGCCTGCTTGGCGGAACTATGTGAGAGCCGGGACAACGACGTTTGGTGTTCATGGCGCATTCAAGTTAGCATGCGCGAGCAAACTTGACAGCTTCACTTGGCTCGGGTCGTGTCCAGGGGGAATATAATGCATCGCGCCCACTTGTCTTTGCTCTCCAGGTTTCCAGACGGCGCTCGGGGGCCTGTAGCACACGGACGACAGACCGGGGGCGTTGCGGTTCCTAGGGCACGCGCACCTCAGCAGCCTGGCGCTAGCCAAACACGATCTGGGTCTGTAGATTGTGCTGACATTGGAGGCGCCCGGTGTAATGGCAGCGGCGTTCATGGCTCACGTAGATACAATGGTATGAAAGGGAGGGGGATCAATGCCAATGTGCGCTGGCATCAGACGTCGTGCTCGGCGCGCTCCTGTCCCAGTTCTTGAAGCTCGAGGAGGAGCTGGTCGCGATCTGGGTCGTAGTCCTCCTCCTCATCATTGTCGGCGTCAATCCCGACAAACTCGGGCACATAGGCCTTATCGTCCGCCCATTTCAGGAGGTGCAGGTGCACTCGGCTCAAGAGGTCCGCGCCAATGTCATACTCTGTCGGGACCGCATGCACCTCTGGTGTGAGGCGTTCATATTGGTGAACAGCCACGAGCGAATGGGTGTGAGAGTGTATTTATGGCTGGGTCAGGTGGTGATTCTACTATCGATAATATCCAAACATGTGCTCGGTAGTGTGCGCTTCATCCCCACATATGTCATTCTCTGGACACACGTTATTTGTATTGGCTTCCACTCTCTCTCCATGTTGTTAGTCCCTGTAGCCTGCATCATTCGTTGTCTATTTTCTCATGTCGTTTGCTACTTGGCGGGTGCGGTCATCCATTCCTTCGTTCATTCACTCATCCTCTTGTCCCCAATCTACTCGCAATATCCGGTTGCAACAGTCGCGTCCCGGCTCATGTCCCAAGTCCCACCCCCTTGTGGAGGGACACCCGCTCGTCATCCTGGGCCATCCCCACTCAGACTGCCGAGAACCCCGAACCGCCTCCCGGGCTGCGACCACATCGGGGCCGCTCCTAGTGCCTCAAACCGAGCGGCCGCGTTTTGCCGTGTGATGAGTGTGCAGCGCTTGCGATAGACGGCGAGACTGCGACCCTCACGGTGATCGGAAATCGGGAGGACCTCTTCCACCTGACAAACGCGCACTACAACGAATTTGCGCGCGTCCATCGCCCCCCCGTGCCGTGGACGCTGTAGCGTACCGCAACCGCTGCGGCTTCACAGGCAGTGTTGTTGGCGAGATGAGGGGCGCGCGGCGCGGCGACATCAACCGCTGACTTCAGTCTGCAGTGCAAGGCGTGATCGTTGAAGAGATGGGGCGCGAGCCGCCGTTTGCAACAACACTTCGGCAGCCTGCCAGTAGATTGGAGGCGAGAGGACGAATGAATGGATGAATGAAGGAATGGATGACCTCCACGAAGGAGTGGATGACCTCACCCACCAAGTAGCGAACGACATGAGGAAATGGAGAATGCAGAGAACGAGTGATGCAGGCTACAGTGACCAAAGACACAGAGAAAGAACAGAAGTGAACACGAATCACGTATGGCCAGAGAATAACACATGCAGGGTTGGAGCGCACACTACCAAGCACATGTTTGGACATTCTTGATAGCTGAATTGTCACTTGACCCAGCCATGATTATACTGTCTCTCACCCACTCACTCACCCGCTACTCCTTCCAATCCGTCTACTCTCCATTTATCTGCTCTCGCTTCCTACCGCATCCACTCCATTTCTGATTCAACACCTCTAGTACCCCAAGCATGTTGCCGGTTTCTGTCGCCCATGGCAGTGATGCCGATACACCACCCGCACCCTCAGTCGTGCTACGCACCCGCCCGCCGCTATCGCGACGTATCGACTACCAAAACTACTTCATGACCGACCCGATGCAGACTGGCTTCCCCCGCAAGCACTGGTTTTGCATGGACCTCGACCCGCCGTTCATTCCGCTCTGGGACGAGTGGCGCATCATCCAGGGCGTGGCCATGAACGCCAGCTACGACTGGGCGCAGAGCCAAGGCCGCGACATCGACCGCACCGGCTATGTCCTGGCCGTGATTGATAAGCTGTACGAAGTGTGCGTTGCGGCTCGTAGCCCTACAGAAGTCAACTGGACTAACGGAAGGTGGTGGTGGACGCGTTGTCGTTCGGGCTTGGTGCCTCTCCCGACCGCGGCGGACTACCGGCGTGAGTTCGACAAGCTAGCGCACGACGTCGTCCAGATGGTGAGTCCCACCTCCTTGGCTGGCGTGCTGACCTACTGGCGGAAGCGGCGTGTGCAGATGCCCGCGTGGCTGCGCCCACTCTCGACGAGGCCGATTGGGCGCTCATCGCCGCTGCCGCAGATCGGTACTGTACTTCGAAGGACGCGTACAAGCCGCTGCACCCGACCGACTATCGCCCATTTTCATGGGACCGCATTACCTCGTACCGCCAGCCCGATCCTGTTTACACCTATGACATCCAGCCAGAGTACAGCTACCAGGCCATGGCGCCCGAGCTCGCCGACATCATCTTTCAGTACCGTGACAGCAAAGCGAAGGCCGCAGAGGCGCCAGGCAAGCGTGGCGCGAGGGCTCGTGCGGCAAAGGCGCGCACTTCGGATGCGACGGATGACTCTGACAAGTCGGGACCCACGGACTCCGGAGCGTCAGGTCCACAGATTGCAGCAATGTCGACGACGTTGGAGGTCACAGCGTCGAGTACGGGTTCGGCGGCCACGCTGGCCTCGTGCACGAGTCGTGCTCGCGCGTTGACCAAGATCCGTGAATCGGATGGCGAAGTTGAGCAGGAGCTGTGATGCGTTTCTGAGGGCGTTTCCGTTGGGGTAGTTGAACAAGAGAGAAGCTGCCCCAAGCGCGCTTCCGGACGAGGCACAAAAGTCCGGGGGAGATGAGCGGCTGTGAAGACGCGTGACAAGGAGCTTTTCACATTTGTATCCTCTTCATGTATGTATGTCAAGTACGGGATCCGGTGGATAAGTTTCGGGTGGCGGAGACTGAGTGGGATACGTTTCGCGCAACCAAGGTCGCCATCAATCCGATCGTTGATGCAGTACACGCACCTCCGTGCGACCTGCGCCCGATCACAGTTAGGGTGCGGGACGTTCAGTGCTTCGGCCGGAAACATGACGCGCTGGCCACGCAGAGAGAACGGCCCCTGGTCTGGTCGTCTCAGCTTTCACATTGCAGTATGTGGTCGATGGGAGTGGTTGCAACTTGAAATTGGCCTCTGTCTCTGTCAGAATGAAATTTACAGAGCTCATGTGAGCATCGCTGGTGGACAGCTTACGGGTGTCGCCTGTCAACAAAATCAAACGATATATGCATCTGGATATCACACTAGCTTGACACCTCTCTCCCCACACGGTCTAGGGAGACAGGCTCTAATGCTGTGTTGTCGCTCTTCGCGACCATTAAGTCGGACCACCAGATTGATGCTGGAGCCCGCGGCAAAATGTTGGGCGCGTGTCGGGGGAGGGGAGCGTGGACGATGAGGGAAGGGGTTAGTAGCTTGCGGGAGTCGAGGCGTTCATGGGCGGGCAGAAAAGTCAATTGATAGCAATTGATAGGTTGGGAGTTGAAAAGTACTCGAGGAAATGAGAAAGTCGTCGCGAACCTCGGCGGGGAAACGGACTTTTGCACAGAGGTGCCTAGGTTGTGGCGGTCACGTGTTGCTTTTCTCTCCTCGGATGTGTACACTGGAGTTGAAATTCGGGGTCTGACGTATTTAGCATCCAGACACCGATGCCCACGCTGCGTCTTGAAACGTGGCGGCGATCGCCGGGCCGATCTGCGGCCCCGTGCGGGACTTTTGAGATTCGGCAGAGCGCGCGTCGGGTGGAGGCCGTGGAAGGTGACAACCCGCGAGGCCGCGAGATGGTCTAGCCCGTGAATAGATATCACTGAGCTGCCTCGCTACCTCATCCATTCGCGCTCTTAGCCACTCACACACTCGGTCTCACCACCACAACCTCTGACAGAGAGGGTCGACGCGTGCGTGCAACCTAGGTGGCGCTGACAGCAGACCATTCGTCTCCGCTCCCGCTCTCTTCGGCACGGCTTGGCCTGTCCCCCTCATCTCGTTGCCCGACATCTCACCACTTGGCCTCGTCTCTCGCGAGTATGACTCACATGCCTAGCTGACCCCAGCCTCCCCTCGGTCGTCATCGGCAGCCTACTCTTAACAGTATTCTCAGGTGCTCACTCGGTCTCTCGTAGCACGCGACACTGCCGCCTCATTATGGCCTCCCAGTACACTTACAACACCAATCTCGCGCTCTTCGTCTTGGCAACCCTGCTGTGGAGCATGACGCAGGTCGGAGCGGCCATAGAGGAAGAGCCTGAGGCATAGAAGCCCCGCCAGAGGCAAGCGTGTCACCCGTGTTGTACTATGCATCGTATGATAATCATGTTGATTCCGGTGCTCTTGAGGGAGGTGGCATGCATCGCTCGTGTCAGTCGCGTCACCGGCGTGGCTCAACCTCCACCTCCACCCTCCACCACCAACCCTTCCTCCACACCACTTCCCGTTCGTCCTCTTGCCACCTCTCTCTTCTCCATCTCCGATGGCCTTAACCCTCCTCCAGCCGATCGGCTACAACGCAAACTCATGCGGGTACTGCTCCCCACCCGGTGATCGGAGCGGCAAGAGCTCTCGCAGCTTCGGGTGTAAGTGGAGGTTGACCACCATTCCGGCACTAACACTAGTCTTGGCGGAGCAGATGAGCCCGCAGGTGACGTGCGCGCCGTGCCACTTCCTGACCCCAGTTCTATCAGGACCTCGTGGATCGCGGGTGGAGACGAAGCGGGGAATATACGTACCAGTAAGTGCTCCACAGCGTGAGATGCTCTGCCGAGCGATCCACCCCAGCGAGTTGCGCTGACCGCAGCCCCGACATGGAACGTACGTGCTGCCCTCAATACACGATTCGCCTGAAGGTCAACGATTTCAAGCCGTCACGACAGCAGCGCTCGACTCTGAACCGCTGGAACCGCTATATCACCGGGGAGGAGCCGAAGAATGGCAAGGGCAAGGCCAAGCTGTTTGAGCTTGGGCCGGAGCTCAGGCGATGCAAGGAAGGCGAGGGCATGGCGCATCGCTTTTCCGTGAAATTCAGTGATGAGTACGCCGCGCTAACATTAGATGGAGCTCACGCCCGCCACTGCGACAGACGAAACGTTCGACCTGTATCGTCGCTACCAGATCGCAATCCACAAAGATCCGCCGCGGAAGGCAACGCGGCATGGTTTCGAGAGCTTCCTCTGCAGCAGCCCTCTTGGCGTGAGTTAATGACATAATACTGTAGCAGTAGCTGATCTCAGAACATTCCCATTCACTACGCGCCTGGGGCGGACACGACAGGGCTCCCGGACGAATACGGCTCATACCATCTCCTCTACCGCGTCGATGGGGTGCTCGTTGGAATTTCCGTCATCGACATTCTCCCCGCCTGTGTATCCAGCGTCTACTTTATCTGGGATCCCGACTGGGCATGGGCAAGTCTGGGCAAGCTTTCAGCGCTGTATGAAATTGGACTTGCGCTGGATATGGCGGCTGCGGGTGCGCAAGGCATGGGATGGCTTTACATGGGTGACTCGTACACTGAAAGCAGCTGACGGCAGGTTATTGGATTGCGACATGCCAGAAGATGCAGTATAAGGGCGACTACGCGCCCTCCTACCTTCTCGACCCCGGGACGCATGTCTTTCACCCTCTGACGACCAAGCTCAAGCAGTTCCTTGAGGTACACTACGGGTACACGCCGTTCAGCGAGGTCGAGGGGATGGAAGACGTGGCCGTGCGAGAGGAGTGGGAGGGGCAGCGCAAGGATGTGGAGATGGCCGAGCCGCGGGAGCCAAAGCCCAAACGCGCTGTCAAGCTCGTCGTGGCCGAGAACAGCGACGAGTGCGCAGAGTCTGACGGGGATGACGGCTCGGACGACGACGACGATTACGACGACGACAAGGGTGACGACGACGAGGATGACGACGACGACGACGATGACGACGACGACGACGACGAGGACGTGCCGAGCGAGTTCCCGACGCCCCCGCCGCCCGGTTTCGGGGATCCCGACAAGCTGGCGGCGGCCGAGCTGGACGGGCTGTTCGTGCTAACCTCGCACTTTGGCTCGACGCGTGTGCTGCCATACGCGGCATTCCGCAGCGGTCTGAGCTCCATAGGGAGGCGAAAGACTAAGGAGCTCGTGGCGGCCGTGGGGCCGGAAAGGTTCGCGAGCTCACCGATGCATATCAAGACCAAAGGGATGCTTTACTTTGGGTAGACATGGCCGCCGGCCACCACCCACCTAGCCACCTAGCACAGAGATGCATCCCATAGTCTGTTCCCTCCCGTGGCTACCACTTTTCCTTGGATGGCCTGCTGTCAGAATGCTCGACTATCGACCTCCCGCCTGCTCTGCCCCGCCCAACTTACCGGATATCCAGTTCCTGTGTCCACGCGCTCGGCTTCTGCTTGATAATGTCAAGATACACCTCGGCAATATCAGAGGGCTCGAGGCGGGACCCCGGCTCCGCCTTGCCCATCATGCCGTCGACATGCGCTGTAGCAATGAGGCCGTCGACGACCACATGCGCGACATGCACGCCCTGCGCGCCAAACTCTTTGGCGAGGGACTGGGCGAGTGCGCGGCGGGCAAAGGACGCGCCGGCCATCGCGGCAAAGTTTGCGCCAGCGCGCCGCGACATTGTCGCACCGGTGATGATGAGCGTGCCCCCGTTTGCGGCGAGGAGGGCGGGGATGACGGCCTGCGAAAAGTCCCATGCCTGGACGCTGGGGTGAGCGAGTGGGCGGGGCATACCGAGTGTCAGGTCTCCTCGACTCGGCCCACACACTCCCCACCGACCAAGCCCTTCTTCCCTCCCCTCCCCTCCCCTCCCCTCCCCTCCCCTCCAGCCAACTCACGCGCTGTCAAGACACTCCTTAAAGTCCTCGGTGCTCTTGTTGAGGAACGGCCCCGGCTGGAAGGGCACGCCGGCATGGCAAACGCCAACCTTGACCTGTGCGCCGGGCCAGCGCTCCTGGGCAGCCTTGATAGCCTCGCCGAAAGACGCGGCGCCCGTGTACTTGTGCGCATACACCCTGTCTTGAGGCAGGTCGTCCAGAGCGAGGCGGGAGATGGACTGCGGCAGCGAGCGCGACATGAGGAGCAGGGCGTGGGTGGGTGCCAGGGCGCGGCTGGCGTTAGCGGGCCGCAAGATCTGGCCGATGGGAACTGAATGAACTGAAGCGACTTACGCAATCGCTGCGCCTGTACCGGGGCCCGCGCCGTAGATGAGTGCGATGGGGGGTGGCATGGGGTGGCGAGTGGTGGTGAGAAGTGGGGGTGAGTGAATTGGTCAGTTGTGCAATTGTGAGATGGAGAATATGAATCTCGTATAGCTTATAGCCGTCGCGAGGACGGCAAGTGAGTGTGGCATTGTGTGGCAGTTGGGTTCAAGGCTGAACCTCGACTCTTGATGACGTCGGTGAGAGAATGAGAGTACGGCATGCCTACATGCCTGGCAATGGCAGCTGGGGTGCGCATATCCTTATATCCTTACTGTCCTTGCTGTCCTGCAGCACACCACTGAATCGATTGCGCAGAGATCAGTAGCAGCCCGCGCCCATCGCCGACGTCGCAATCGCCGTCATCGCCATCGCCGTCATCGCCGTCGTCGCCGTCATCGCCGGATCGCCATCGCCGGATCGCCAGCTGCGCTCGTGCCCTAGCCCTGATCAGCGTCGATCAGTTCCGCGTGAGACACACGCGGATCCCACGCGATCGAGCAATTTCAAACGGGGGTGGCTGTGTTTTGGATTCGCGTCCCCTCGCGTCCCCTCCTTTAGCTCCTTTGCGCCCCCCCAGAGTCCCTGGCAGAGGTGTATTTTCGACCAGGCACAGGTCTGGGCGGAAGCATTTCCCTGGCTGCGTCAAGTAGTTTCCCTGAGTACCGCCCTCCGTGTGCACCTCCCACCGTAGCACTCCTCCCCATGCCACCTTCCCTCCTTGCTCCCACCACACGTCCCGGCGACAAGTTTGGAACAACGAGCTCATCTCTCTCTCCATCTCCATCTCACATCTCTTTCTCCATCTCTCTTTCTCCATCTCTTCCTCTCCCGTCCTCATCCTTCACAGCCTCCTCGTCATCACCCTCCTCCCCGTCGTCATTCTCTCCCTCGACATCTTGAACTCCTTCCGGCCCCACTCCCACACGCCCTCCTCCCCCCCCCCCCCCCCCCCCCCCCCCCCCCCCCCCCCCCCCCCCCCCCCCCCCCCCCCCCCCCCCCCCCCCCCTCCCCACGCCCGGACCATTCCACGCGCGTCCGCTATCTCTAAATCGCACAGATGCCATCGCGCAGCAAGCTCGCAGACTTAGCCTCACGCGCCCGCCCAGGACGCCAACATCGCGAACGCGACAGCGGCGCCGACCAGGACGCGTACTACGCTCAGCAGCGTTCACCTTCCCCGGGATCCTCAAACGATCACTTCTCTGGCTCGTACGACCACAGCCGCCCCATGCAGGAAGTTCAGTACCAGGACGACCTGCTCGTCCCTCCCAACCTCCCCTTTTCGGAGGTGACGGGCGGGCAGTACAGCGACAGCGGCGGCAGCAGCCGCGGCATGTCGTACACTGACCTCGCCGAACTGCGTTCTCGAAACAAGGACAGCCGTCCCGCATCGCTTTCCCTTTCAATCAACTATGTCCCCACAAAGTTCACAAAGCTTCATGCGCCCGGAGAGTATCCCCACCGTCGCGCCAAGCAGGGCGGCGGCCGTGACGCATTCGCCGCCGGTGCCGCGCGCATGGGTGAACCCGGCCTTGTCGACGACGACGAAGGCCTCGTCTTCCAGGTCGGCAAAGGAGGCCTCAAGGCCAAGCACAAGCCAAAGCTGCGCTGGAACCGCTTCAAGTGGATCCTCTTTGGTGCTAACTGTGTGGTGAGTTTGGGCTGTGCCCACAGCCCTAGATGATCTCGGCGGCACGCTAATCCGCAGCTCTTCCTCTACGGCATGGCCGGTCTCATCTGCTCCATTCTTGTCTGGATCAACGTCTTCTTCCGCTCCGACATTTTGCGCGTCGGCAACCGCACCGAACTGATACGTGAGTTGGCTTATCCCCCAAGAACCGCCACCCTTTTGCGCGAACGCAGCTGACGGCCAGTCTCCACGATCGCTGGCGCCCTTATCGTCTTCACTTCGCTCCTTGGCTTCTCTGGCATTTTCCTTAATAACCGGCTCTTCTTGGCCGTCTACGTCCTCCTGCTGTGGGTCTGTCTCGGCTTCATGGTGGCACCCGGTTACATCACGTACAAGCGCAAGACTTTCAATCTTGAGGGCAAGATCAACCAGCAGTGGTCGCGCAATCTCGGCATCATCGGCCGCCTCCGTATCCAGGACGCTCTCAAGTGCTGCGGCTACTTCTCTCCCGCCATTGAGGCGACAATTTCGCCTCTGTGCTACCCTCGCTCGGTCGAGGACGGCTGCAAGAACCGCTACCTCAAGCTGGAGCGTGTGATCCTTAGAACATGGTACACCGTTTCGTTTGCCCTCGTCCCCGCGCACATCCTGATCATCCTCGCCGGCCTCCTGTGCTCCAACCACGTTACGTACCGCTTTGGCAAGGGTCTCACGCCTAAGCGTTACCGTCTCGACATGGACTCGATGGCCGTGATCATGAACGACTACGCGACTCAGATTGCCGCGCAGTACGGCCCCGAAGTCGCCAACGAGGCCGTCGCGCGCTCGTCGCTGCATCTCGACTCGCGCCCTGGCTCCAGAGCCGGCTCGCGTGCTGGCTCGCGCAGAGGCTCGTTGTCCAGCTCGGCGCACGGCCACAACGGCGGCTCCAACTACCGCTCGCCTTCGCGGACGCAGAACTACACGTCTCCGTTTGACGACGGCCGCCCCGGCGGCTCGGGACGGTCTGACCAGACACACTACACGGACATTGATGACGACTCGCAGGGCGGTCACGGGTATGGATCGAACCAGGGCCACACGTACAGTGGACCGCAGAGCCAAGGCTACACGCCTGCCCAGGTCAGCTCGCAGCAGGGCTGGGCCCAGTAAGCTGCTCGTTACGCCTTTACTTCACTCCTTCACACACACATACACTACGAATTTTCACCCACGTACATGACGACACTTTCTGCGGCAAGGCCGCGCAGGTCTGTCGCGATACGTCTGAACAATGATAGAATGCACCGGATCGGACATGGTGGTGGAAGTGGTAGAGGTGACGGTACGTGTGGGTGGTGAAGGAGGAGCAAGAGATCTACATGGAGAGTCATGACGCGACATGATTATGGTAGGCGGGACGCGGGCTACTCCGCTGCAAGAGCACGATGCTCCAGAACATGCTCGCGCCGTCGGCTGTCCGGCCACATCCATCTCGGCACGGCGGTATGCGGGCACAGTCTGCGGCCGGCGGGCAACATGAGTCGGTCTTACAACGGTCTTGCGCCTGATATTTTGGGGACGCTGCCTCGCTTGTCGATCGCACCTGGAATTCCGTCTCGGTTGCACCATGTGCACGCGCATCCGCATTGCTCAGCTTCCATCTCTGTCTGTAAAGTCGGAGCACGGAGCGCGACTGCGTCGCCCGTGCATGCCATGCAGTCACCGGCAAGAGGCAGAACTGCAAATGTGGCGCACCGGATCGCCGCTACCCGATCATTGGCCTCCGGCTCTCAACCTCGGGACGATGTCATCATCGCTGCCTGGAACCTGTACCTCGCTCAGTCAGCCAGCAGCCAAGCCGGGCATCTAAGCGGGCCGCGGGCAGATATATAACCCGCATTCACATTCAAGGCGCAACGCAACGCAACGCTTGCACGCACAGTAGCCCACCATGTCCGCGCCCCCAAAGACTATGAAGGCTGTCGTGGAGAACGAGGCTGAGGTGAGCGTAGGCGCGACAGGGCTGACGGCAGAACGGCGTAGAGGTCAAGGAGATCCCGCTGCCGCCGCTCGAAGACAACGAGATCCTCGTCAAGGTCGACCATGTGACGCTTGTGAGTTTAGCAGTGGGAAGTGTGTATGGTGTGCCGGCCGAGCACATTCCAAGGATTCGGCATCGGCATGCATTTCGGTCATGTGGCGTCCGGCACTAACACCAGAACCCGACCGACTGGAAGCATGTCGCAGCGCTGTCGACCAAGGGCAGCATCATCGGCTGCGACTACGCCGGCACGGTCGTCGAGGTGCCGGGCTCGGTGTCGCACCAGCGCTCGCACATCCGCGCGGGCGCGCGCGTCGCTGGCTGGGTCCACGGCGGCTTGTTCAAGGACCGCGGCGCGTTCGCCCAGTACCTCAAAGTGCCGGCGGACCTCACGTTTCCGATCCCGGACGACATGCCGTCCGAGCAGGCGTGCACGTTCGGCATCCCGTTCTACACGGCGTTCCACGCGCTCAAATACTCGCAGAAGGGGCCGTGGCCGCCTGCCAAGGCCGGCGGATGGGTGAGTTGCCTGCGGCGCTGACACCTGGCTCCGCTGACCCCAGTTCCTCGTGTACGGCGGCTCGTCGGGCGTCGGCTTGTTCGCGATCCAGCTCGCCAAGCTCATGGGCCACCTGGTCGTCACGGCGTGCTCGGCGCGCAACTTTGACCTCGTGAAGAGCTACGGCGCCGACGCCGTCGTCGACTACAAGGACGCGGACGCAATCATCAAGATCAAGCAGGTGACAGGCGGCGGCGTGCACAAGGCCCTCGACTGCATTTCCCTGCCGGACAGCAACGCGTTCACCCTCGCCTGCTTCGCCGAGGGCAAGGGACAGATGAACGTCATCCTCCCGCCCGACAGCAAGGCCGTCGCCGCCCGCCCAGACGTCGATGTGCAGAGCACCCTGCTGTATACCCTGTGGGGGCGCGCGTTCGAGTTCGGCCCCCGCGGCGGCGCAAAGATCCCCCTGCCCGCCATCAAGGAGGAGCTCGAGTTCCACCGCGAACTCGTGGCCAAGATCCCCGAGTTTATCGCGCTCGGGTTCAAGGCGCCCCCGATCGAGACGCGCGGCGGCATCGACGACATTGCACAGGGCCTCGCGGACATGCGCGACGGCAAGCTGTCAGGCAAGCGGTATGTGTACACGATCGAGTAGGCGTGTCAGTAGATCAGTAGTGCACGAGTATGGATGCCGCTTGCAATAGACTCATAGTGTTCATCACCTGTATACAACTACGCCCGCCATGTAACGTGCACCGCGTCTGTCCGGAACCTGGTGTCAGCTGGGAATCTCCGCCCGCCCACCTCTGCGTCACACTCGTCTTCTCGATCGGCGTCACCTGCCCCATGCGGAACGCGAGCATGCCGGCCTGGGCGATCATGATGCCGTTGTCGATGCAGAAGCTCTCGTCGGTCGCGAACACGCGCCCGTTGCGCTCGCTGCACATGATGCCCATCATCTCCTGCAGGCGCTCGTTGCACCCCACGCCGCCGACGATAAGCACGTCACGCGCGCCGACATGCGCCATCGCGCGCTCCGTGATCTCGACGAGCATGGCAAACGTCGTCTCCTGCAGCGAGAAGCACAGGTCGTGCGGCGTGATTACGTCGTCGCTGTCCTGTACGCCTTCGAGCGCGTCCCATGACCGGTAGCGCGCGTCCTGCGTATACCCCTCCACGGCGGAAAGGATGCCCGCGAGCGTCACGTCCATGCCCTTTGTGCCGTACGGGAGCGGCACCAGCCGCTTTCCCCTGCTGTCAGCTCGATCGGGCCGGCGGTAGCAGCACGCACTTCTTTGCCTCCTGTTCGATGTTGTACCCCGGACTCGGGTCGTTGCGGAGCTGGATCACCCGCGCGAAGCGGTCGAGGCAGTTGCCGATGGCAATGTCCAGTGTCTCCCCGAAAATACGGTACCGCTGCTGGCTGTAGGCGATGACTTGTGTGTTGCCGCCAGACACATACAGCACGATGGGGTTTGAGCTGTTTGTAATGTGCCGTCCCATCTCGATGTGGCCTACACAGTGGTTCACGCCCACCAGCGGGATGTTGTACAGCAGCGAGAGGGTGCGCGAGACGAGCGCGCCGACCTGCAGCGGTGTGCCCATGCCAGGGCCTGGCGTCAGACCTGCGCGGCAGCGAGCATGTTCACGCGCAGCTGGCGTGCCACGCCCACTCACCCTTCGTGAACGCTATCACGTCGATGTCGCTCATGCGCACGCCGGCCTTGCGCACCGCCTCGCGGATCACCCGCACCACCCATTCGCGGTGGTGCCGCGCCGTGTCGGACGGCAGGAACCCTTCGCCGGGCGGCGTGATATATGTGTGCCGCACATTGCTGAGGACAGTCACGAGCGTCGCGTGCGCCGACGGCGCGTGCGCGACGACGCCCGCACCGAGCTTGTTCGCCGAGCCCTCGATGCCGAGGGCGAGGAGGCGGCGTTCTGGCGTCAGAGACGGCGGCGTGGGGCCAGGCGGAGCGCTAGGAAAGACAGGAGACGCACTCGGCTTGGTCAGTGGTGAGAGCTTGGGCTTGGTCATGGCGGATGAGGGGGTGGATGGAGACCAAGTGGTGGGTGGCCAACTTTTGAGGTGGCGTGCCTGGCCTCCACCCACGGTCGGCATCCATGAACTCGGCCTCTCGACGATGTGCCGCCCCCCTCCTCCAGCGCTTGCCTCATAGCTCTGGTCAAGGCATTGATGACACAGCGCCAGCAACCCAACCACAGCCGATGGGGGGGAGGGGGGATCACGCCGGAAACACCTGACAGCTCGAGGTGGAATTGAATGCACTGGCTCGAACAAATGTCGTCAACACAAGGTGATGCCACAATTCAAGCAGCGTGCTATGGTGTCGACCGGCATCGATCTGTGACAATACGTTGGCTCACAGGAGCTGTGGGGAGGTTATGGCTATGCTGGATCTTGGTGAAGACTGGTCTGATGAGCATCATCAAAGAAGAGCAGGGCAATGTCTGCTTGGATTCAGGCAGGAGGGACAGCGCTTTCATGAAGCGACGAAGACGAGCAGCTGACCTTGCACGCCTTGGTGGCAGGGTACATGGGGGGGGGGGGAGGAGGTCTGAACAGAATGGATGCGATGTGTGTTGACTTCGACGAGCGCGTATTCATAGCGTTGAAGATTGCATGGGCGAGCGAGAGGAGAACTTGACAAGACGAGGCGATGAGATCCGAGATCGTGGAATAGCTAGGCGGCCGGCCTGCTGATGGTGGTCCACTTTCCTGCTTGCTCGCTCGAGACGCTCATCTGATCATTTGCATCTGGCCACTTGCATCTATCCCGGCTGTTACCGTGCTGCGCGACTCTGCTCTTGCTCATACGCCGCTTGACAACGCATTCGGCGAACCGGGAGTGGGCGCGGGGAGAGAGACATGGCGCCGAAAAAGTTGGCGCGACCAGTGACGTCGCTCAATGTGTGGTGTCGGCGCAAGGCGTCGCTCATCCATCTCTCCATCTCCTCCGATCAATCCATCATCACGTCCATCACCCACCATGTTCTGGGATCCACTCTTCGACCGCATAGCCCTCTTGTCCGGTGCTGGCGCAGACCAGTGCAAGGTGAGTGCGGCTACACCATGCGCCGTCAGATGCGTGCCGTCGAGCATCGAGGCGCATGCCTCCTTCGCGCCTTCGTGAGCCGCGGTGCCTTGGGCGCGGCGCGTCTTGCGCCGTCATTCCATCCGCGACCGTCTATCATCCGCCGCGCCGCCGCGCCGCCGCCCGCTGTCTGCCGCTCGCCGCCCTCTCGCGACCTCACGCTCATACCAGCTCATCGCCGCCCTCATCATCTCCTTTCCCCTCGCCTCCATCTACGTCCGCATCCCCGCCAACCGGCCAAATGTCGCCCACTGGTTCTCCATCATCACCTCGGTCATCTTCCTCTGGCCTCTCTTGGGCCTTGGAAAGGGCTTGCTTGAGCTTCTTTTCATGAGCATCGTCACGTACATCATTGTCGCAAGTGTGCGCGGGCCCAAGATGCCCTGGATCGCGTTCTTGTGAGCTGCAAGCCCGGGTGGAGCACCCATGAGCTGACAGCAGCTTCGTCATGACCTGCATGACTATTACGTGAGAATTCCCCAACACTTCCCCAGACCGTCCATAGCAGCGTTGCTTTGCTGCATTCTTGGCGACGCAGAGCAGCCGCTGCTCTGACTGCCTCGAGCCGCAGCGCGCTGACCACAGTCATGTCCGCCGCGCATTGGGCCACGTCTCCGTCGAACGCATCGAGATCTCTGGCTCGCAGATGGTCCTCGTGATGAAGCTGTCGACCTTTGCGTGGAACGTGCACGACGGGCGCCGCAAGATTGAGACGCTCGACGAGAGCCAGAAGGCGACGCGACTCGCCAAACTGCCCAACCCCCTCGCGTTCCTTGGCTACTGCTTTTTCTTCCCATCCGTGCTTGTCGGTCCATCGTTCGAGTACGCATCGTACGAGAAGCTGCTCAACAAGACGATCTTCGACGTTGCCCCACCCGCCGGCACGGCCGCGGCGTCTGACAAGCGCAAGCGCCGGACGCCCAAGGGCCGCCGCCGTGTCGCTTACCTCCACGGCTCGCTCGGCGTTGCCTTTTTGGCCTACTATGCGGCGTTGGGTGCACGGGGAAGCTACGAGCGCATTAACGGCCCCGACTGGCCGACGTGGAGCCTCCTCACGCGCTTTGGTTTCGTGCAGTTCTGCGCATTCTGCGTCCGCACAAAGTACTATGCCGTGTGGAGTTTGTCCGAGGGCGCCTGCATTCTGACGGGCATCGGATTCAACGGCTACGGCCCGCACACAGGGCGCACGCGCTGGAACAGAGTGCGCAACATTGATATTGCGGGCATCGAGGGTGCCGAGAGCTTTAAGCAGCTCTTTGACAGCTGGAACTGCCGCACAAACGTGGGTTGCGGCGATTTATATGGCTAACCGCAGGTCTGGCTCCGCGACTGTGTGTACAAGCGCCTCGTCAAGCCTGGGCAGAAGCCGGGTGCGGCGCAGAGCATGGCGACCTTCGTCACCTCGGCGTTCTGGCACGGCATCGCGCCGGGGTACTACCTCGCCTTCGTGACCGCCGGCATGGTGCAGTACATCGGCAAGCAGTTCCGGCACCTCGTGCGCCCTTACTTCCTCGCGGCCGAAGACCCGGCCGCAGCCCTCAAGCTGCCGAAGTGGAGCTCGCAGCCGCTCGCGAAGAAAGCGTACGACATCTTCGGCTGGTTTCTCGTCCAAGTCAACCTCAACTACCTCGTCGCGCCTTTCCTCCTCCTCGAGCTCAAACCGAGCATCATGGCATGGCACAGAATGTACTGGTACACACACGTGCAGATTGCGCTCTTCCTCGTCGTCATGCGGCTCGGCGTGCGCCGCTGGCTGCGCTCCGGCTTGCGGCCGCGCGAGAAGAAGGTCCCCGCCGCCGTGCCGGAGACGCGTATTCCAGAACTCAAGCTCTCGCCGCCCACGCCGGACGAGTACCGCCGCCGGCCGGAGGGCGACGAGGACGGGCCCGACCACGACGTCGAGTGGGTCAAGTACGACCTCAACACGCACGCGCTCGAGGACGGGGATGCGCTGGACATGGACGGCGGTCTGATGGACGAGGTGCTGTCTCAGATGGAGACGCGGCCCGGCACGCCCCATCTCCACAACAACTACAAGGACGAGTAGATGATAGATGTAGTCTTGGGCGCGAGGGAGCGAGCGAAGCGGGTGAAGGAGCAGTTGGAGATTAGCGACGTGGACATGCAGATGGGCGCGAGGTTGGGTGTGCATCTTGCAGGCGAAGTGGTATTTCGTCTTTCGTCTTTAGTCACAAAGCCACAGATAAGACTACTATTACAGTCATGGCATAGGCCTGTAGTCTACGTGCGCTGAGTGAGCCTGGTGAGCTCTTAGACCTGTGTCGCTCAGATGAATGAGGGCTGTCCCCTGGGATCGCTGAACGGTTCCCACCACCGACCCCGTCAAACCCGTCAGATATCCTACTTGACCTCCTCGCCTCCACCCGCCCCCACCCCGCCCCGCAGCTCGATGCCCTTCATGCCCCCGCCTGAGCGCCGCGCCTCCTCGGCCGCGGCTTCAAGCTCAGCGTCCGTCACCTCGGGCTCGTCTGGGTCGGGCGCGAACTCGGCCATCGTGCGCAGGACGAGGTCGGCGGAGGAGAGGAAGGCGTTGGTTGCCAGGCGGACTATGCGGACGGTCGCGGCGCGAATTGTGCTGCAGGAGGAAGACGGGTCGGGATGGTCGGTGTGGGGCAGGGCAGGTGACGGGGTGAAGCGCAGCCGGGGTTAGGCGCCAAGAAGCGAAGAAAGGACGGATGGGAACGAAGGGCAGAAGGGTGAGGAGTAGAAGGACGAGGAGTAGAAGGGGAGAAGAGGCCGGTTGCGAGTAAGGCCCAAGAGGCGAGGCGGAGCGTTGACCATACCACGGAGAGGAGAGAAGCATCAGCATCTCGCACATACACCTCCGAGACTTACACAACGAGCTCCTCGCCTTCCAGCGAAGTCACACGCTCCACGAGATCCATATTGACCTCGCGGTCGACGTCGAGTGCGCGTTTGGCCATGGCGGCGTGTTCGGCCGTGAGGAAGGGTATCCTCAATGTGCTAGGAGTCAGCCCCCTTCTCCCGCTCCAGCGCAAGCACAAGATTCCAACGCCACGTATGCAGCGAATGCACTGCGACTCACGCAACATGGCTGAGCTGCACGGCCGGCGTTGATGTCTCGGACATGACGGTGGTGAGTAGAGTTGACGGACGAAACAGAAAGGTGGAGAAGAAGCCGGCGCCAAATATTGCCTTGCCGCCGCGTGTCCGTCATCTCGATCATCTCGCCCCTCCGCCTTCCGCCTTCCTCTCCATCTCCCCATCGCTCTCATCGCTCCATCGACTCACGGCACGACCCACGACCTGGCACACCTAGACATTTAGAGACCATGATCAAGGTACGTTCGCCGCCGCCGCCGCCGCCGCCGCCGCGCCCCATGCTGACGCGACCCCGTCCGCACGCGCCACCCGCTCCGCTCCGACTCCGCGCCACCCACCTACCTTCCTCACGCCACCTCCGCGTCTATCGCGACGACGTACACCCGCTCCCGACTTACTTCTCCGTCTGACCGTGCTTCTCCGCCCCGCCACCGTCGTCGGCCTTATCTCTGCCCCGCGCCCCGAATGGCTGACTCACCCCGGCAGATCTGGTCGCTCAAGAAGGAGCAGGAGGCGGCGAACAAGACCAAGCCCAAGGTCTCGGCCGCGGAACTGCGCGTTAAAAAGGGTGAGTGGGTCGCGCTTGTCGCGCTGTATTGCGATGACATGGCAATGACTACGACGCTCGGGCGGGGTGCACTGTCGGGGATCGCACCTACCCGCCACCGCATTCAGCGCCCTGCGCCCGCTCTGCGCTGTGCCGTCCTCCGTCAGGCTGCTTCCTTCCTTATCCACATCTTCCTTTAGGAGGCCGCCGAACAGCGGAGCTGAGCAGATGCCATCTTCGCCGAGCGTTTAGGCGCGCGCCTCGCCGCCTGGTCCCACCCCTCTCCACGACTACCTCCCGCTCCTCTGCTCACCACAGACATGAATGAGCTCGACCTGCCAGCAGGCGTAAAGATGGAGCTGGGGCCGGGAGGCAACATGCTCGACTTTACGCTCTCTATTGCACCAGACGAGGGTGAGTCGTCGGCTTCAGCGCCCGACAGACTGAGGCATCCGCTAACCACAGGTTTCTACAAGGGCGGCCAGTTCAACTTCACGTTCAGGATCAACCCCAACTACCCTCACGAGCCACCCAAGGTGCGGTGTACACAGAAGATCTACCACCCGAACCTCGACCTCGACGGTAACGTGTGCTTGAACATTTTGCGCGAGGAGTGGAAGCCCGTGCTCTCTCTCAACTCCGTCATCATTGGCCTCCAGTTCCTCTTCCTCGAGCCCAACCCGGACGACCCGCTCAACAAAGAAGCGGCCGAAGATCTGCGCCGTAACCGAGACTCCTTCGCCAACACTGTCAAGATGACGATGCGCGGCGGCAGCGTACGCGGGCAAACATTTGACAAGGTTCAGATCAAGTAGTTATAGTATTACATGCGAGGGGCGCGCCGCGCGGGCATGAGGGCAGCGAACAAGGGGCCAAGACAAGCACAACTTATCGTCTAGTGTCTACTACTTTTTCCTCCGGCCAGCTAGCCATTTTCTAAACTTGGCTAAGCTGTACACCACACTCTTTCGGAAACCGGCCGTCACGAGACCCTTCACGCTCTGAGTGAGCGCCGGCCGCTTGATGATGTGCCGGACCTCGTTGTTGACAACCTCGACAAAGCCCTCCTGCGCGGCCACGCGCCGCCAAAACTCGGCGTCGTCGTACAACGCCCGACTCTCCTTGGCGGCCTTTGCAGCGGCGCGGCGCTCGCGGATCTCACGTCGCTCAGCGGCGACTTCGCGGGAGAGGAGGGCGGCAGCGACAGTGGGGCGGAAGTGGGCGGCGAGGCGTTGCCTCACGCGGAGGGGGAGTGCAGCGAGGAGTGCCGCGGCATGCTCGTGTGACGCGGGTTGTGTGAGTGTATTTTCGCCGGTGCCGCGCCATTCCAAACCCTCGTCTGTTGTCGACGGTGCCTGAGCCGCCGTGTCAGCCCATCGTAGGCCCACGCCGCCGACATGCGGCGCATACAGGCCGCGAAACGCGCCGAGGACGCCGGGCCCGCGCACGATGTTGCGCACCTTCTCGGGGTTTTCGGCGCCGGGCACGCTCATGCGCGGGTCGCCCGAGTACGAAATGCCCGCGACCTTCTCCCAGAGCTCGAGTTCGGTGAATTGCGGCGGGAGGTTGAGGAGGGCGAGGCAGAGCGCGGCGCGCGTGTTGGCCTCTAGCGGCGCGCGGAGGGACGGCACGAGGTGTAGCGTAAGCACGGGTTTGTGCAACCGCCCGGCGACGTAGAGCGTCTCCCATTGCTCGAGGTCGCGCGTGAGCGTCGCCGTGGACAGGATGCCGTACTTGACTTCCTGCTGTTAGCGCCGAGGGGTTTCTGCTGGCGCAACTCACCAAGTCGCCGAACTTGACCATGGTGACGTACCACAGCCCTGCGCCGAGCTTGTCCGTCATCCATGACAGTGCGCCGGGCCCGATAAGGCGCGCATACAGCGGATAATGTGAGGGGTGCTGTTTGAGGTTGGCGGCATGGAAGGCGCGCGCGGACGGCGTCGCAATGATGAAGTCGGTGAGCGGTGGTGGCTGAGGTCAGCGGGTCATGCCAGGCTCCGCGTCTCGCCAACTCACCCCCGTCTTGTTCGCCTGCTTCACTACCCCGCTACCGTACGCCACGGCCATGTCAATCGGCGCGTCGAAGGCGTCCACCACAGGCCGGAACTGGGCGTAGATCCGCTTCTGCTCCTCGGCCAGCGCGGCCTTCTCCGCATCTCGGGCGGCGTCGCGGGGCGCGCGCGACGTCGAGAACGCGCGGAGCGGGATATAACCACATCGGGAAGGGCCTGACAATATGGGCGCGAAAGGCGCGAGGGGCGCGAGGAGCTGCGTAAGCTGAGTCTGGCGTCGGCACTCACTGTCCGGGACATGGTCACGCGAGCGATTCCCACACCTGAGGTTTGCAGCTTGGTCTCGGCGAAGGGTCGTCACGGAGATGCGAGGGAAGTGGGGAGTAACAAATGTAGGATTACGCCGTCGCCTGCGCCGCGTCGCTGCTCCTCGCGGCTTGTTGTCGCCGTGGGAGGTGGTGAGTAGGGGGGTGTTGATGGCTGCAGTGCTCGCCTTCGACTTTGGCCAATCTCGGGCGTGCCTGGGGTCACGTGGACGGAGATGGAGTGGGCGTCCGCACTGTTGTTGCTGATCCAACCTTTTGACGCCACTTTCTCTGACTTGCACTCCCTCCGGCATCCTCAACCTGCTTACTACCATGGCACGATCCCCATCTCGCTCTCGCTCTCGATCTTGCTCGCGGTCTAGGTCGCTGGGCCGCGCGCGCACCGTCTCCATGTCCCCCGCCCGCTCATCCACGCCCGAGGACACAGCGTGTCCCTTTCTCATCCGCATGTTTGTGACGCGCAAGCACACCGCTCTTCGCGACTTTGACGATAACCGCCTGCCGACGCGGGACGAGTACCATGTCTATGGCTTGTGCGTGGTCCAATGGTGGCTCCGATTACGCAGTGATAGCTTACTGACAGCAGGAAATCCTCCACCCCAACATCGCTCGTGCAGCAGCTCTACGCCGTCCTCCCGGCGCCTTACCGCTCCCCAGTCGCCCGCTATTCGTTCAAGCACGTATACGTCGACGCCTCCGAGGCCGGCTTGTACAAAGCACGCGAGATGGTGTCGTTCACAGGGCGGGAGTTTGAGGCGACTGTTGGCGGAGAAGGACGCGGCGTGGCGGAGGAGACACTGGACGAGTACGGGTTCATCAAGGGCGACTTGATCAGCGTGGCGGTCAATATTCCGGAGCCTTCTCGACGCGCAGAAGGGCGTGAGCGCGAGCACGCCCACGCCCGCGAGCTACCACGAGACGTGCATCGTCGGCCGCAACCGGCGCGCGGAGGATGGCGGCGCGACGAGGGTCGTGATGCCCGCACCGGACCGGACAGCGAGCGCTGGGGCCGCCGCAGCCGGAGTCCGGTGGGGCGGCGGGACAGCTGGCGCGGGAGGGCGTAGCGCCTGTGCTCCCGATATGACGCAGCGCGCGGCGTGGAGGCGTGGATCAGTGAGTCACCGCATTTCTGTGCGGTTTATGCGGCGAGAGTCGTCCCGTTGAGCCTCCGACACTGTGAGGTTTGGAGGTCTAAGGACGCAGATATATCTTGGCAGGTAGGCTATGCGGTAGGAGCTTGAGGAGGGCATGGAGTATGAAACGACGTATGGCGATGCGACAATGACGGGCACCTGAGGTGGCTGACGCTCGAGACGCCCAGACGTGGCATATTGCGTTTCATCATTGTCCACTATGTCCGCGGTGCCGAAGATGCCCACGGTCAACTTGTCCATCGATCGATCGCACGGCTTGACATGGGCATCGAGCAGCTGGAAGCCTGGCTGCGGAACATACGCTGCTTGCTGATGGCAGCGCAGTACGTAAAGAGAAATGGGAGGAGTACTTTATTAGATCCCGCTTGTAATGGGGGATAATAATGATTTGATTCAGGGGTGCACCCCCGGCGCAGGCATTGACCCTGGGTGGGTTCACGGAACGGCCAACGCCACATCTCCCCTCGCGCTCGCTCTTTCTCCTCCTCATCCACCTCTTCTCTTCTCTTCATCTCTCTTCTCATCTCTACTCTCTCTCTCTCTCTCTCTCTCTCTCTCTCTCTCTCCATCGCCAGCAACTACATCTTCAACCCCAACTCTTACCCCTGCCCTCCCCAACACCCACTCCAGGTCGACCACCCCC